TGAATAATCTACAACGAAATCTGAACACGCACACCAGATCGGATCGGCTGCCGCCTGTACGACCTCGTATGCCGCCTTTTCAGAAGACTAAGTGCACTGTATCGGTATCTTGGCGCTCATCGGCCGTCTTGATGGAGCACTGACATGCTCTTGTACTTTCGTATGTCCAATATCTCGGGCTGTCTATTCGAAGAAAAAACTCGTCAGTTGAATAATGATGACATGAGGGTAGTTTACGGAGCACGTTGTCGGCATGCACGAGATAGACCTCTTGAGTATCGGCAATGACGTTATTGTAGTCTGTTCCGTCGGACGTCAGTGTGCCTGCCCGTAGCTGAAGAGAAGATCTATGTCATCGCTGAATGCAGTGGCTGACGATTCGAATCTGCAAAGCCTGCTTGCAAGCATGAGTACAAGCGGCAAAACATCGGCCATTGCCACGATCGAAAAGCCCGTCCGGCACGCACCTTCCTCGGCCACCCGAATCTACACTGAAACGCGCAGCGTTAAGCTTCGGCTACGTTCTCGGAACATGAAGGCAATCGCGTCGCTAAATCTGTGCGGGGGCCGTGCACATAGATCTACCACGAGGGTTGGATTGGCCGTAAGGTTCTTGATGCTGCTCTAGCCGATGGATGTAGCGGGTGAGCTTGAGCTAATGGGATGGGCGGTTCGGCGCGTTAGTAGGCGCTGAGATGTCAACATGTCACTAGTCGACTTCGGTATCAGACTGTGGCCTCCCGCCACAGCAATCTATGAATCAGACCGTTGCATGAGGTAGGTGGCATATAAGGGCGCGGACACTGTCATATGAGGACGTCCGACCCCTGGCCTCAGGCTTTGGCTCGTGTCCAGGTGAATCGCCAAAAGAGTGCCTTAGTGCTCCATTTGCTATTACAGCGCTTCAAGGCTAATTGAATGGCAATATACCCGCTGGCGCCTGTAATGTCAAACTATCGTTCTAGGACACTAAGCGTCGACACGGGGAGAATGGAGAACGTTCAGCGCTCAGCTCGAAAAGGACTGCCTGAATGGTTGTCCAATAGGCATTGGCAGTCCCTAGACCTATCATGCTTAGATCTGCCCATTCGCGAGTGCATTAGGTGGGGAAATAAGAACAGGCTCACTTCTCACTCCGATAACAGCTTGGGTTGTCTTGCTGTCGTCGTATAAGGAGTCTGAACAATGAAGGAGTCAGATGGGGAGAGATAAGTTGATATCCTTGATGAGAGTAGTTGATCTGCAGGGATCGGCCACTCGGATTCATGGAAGTAAGTCCAGGACGTTTCAGAACCCCTTGTTTTCCAGCTTTGGGCGTTCCCGCTAACTTCTTGCGCTGAGAACTTCGGGCTTGTACAAGCCACTCTCAGAGCGCAAAATCGGCTGTTCTCAAGCTGCGAGATGATTTGAATTCTCCTACCGCATCGAGCATAGCCTGAGTCTACCTGCAGTACTGAAATTCCTTGCAGTTCACCCACCCGTCCAGCTGGCAAGCATGTTGTAATTCAACACGGCCGCACCTGCTACGTTGCACAATGCACGCAGTCCAATTATGCCGGCATCCCGTGAGCACTCCAGGCCGAAATTTCAGCACAGCCAGGCCAAGATACTGCGGCTAGTCCAGTACCATCCGACTTTCCCGCGAGCCCTGCCTGCCATTTGACTCGAGAGAAACCACAAACCCACGTTGCCGAAGCGGGGAACTCACAAGGGCCACAGGAGTATCGTTAAGGCACAGATTGCGTTAGCGCCCGGACGCCTGAACTGAACGCGCCTAACTGATATGTAGATCGGGATCGGGCAGGGTAATTTCGATCTCGTGAAAAGTGGAACGATAGCCTTCAACTTTGACAGAACTTTGTAAGATAGCTCTGTCAATTCTCCCCGCGAACTTGTACTCATGTATTGTGTCGTTCAAATGCTGAAATTTCCATAAACGTGCGCAGATCAGTCTGCTTCATGTCATTCGTGTGTGTCAATATTTAACAAGGTGCCTGCGTACGCGTAAACTATAGGACAGGAAGGAAGATCATCGCAGCGGTATGTGTTACATGATAAGAGCGCTTGTCTATATATGTACTTGTACTAACTAACCAAGGGACAGTCCCGTGCCATGCCCCGCGATATATAAACAATACAGCGTCGTGATTGGCAGATCAAGCATTGCACCACCCCGACCGCCGACCGCGCCTCCAGATAGTTCAGGCGGTGCCCCAAGCCAGCCCCCGCAACCGACATCGGCGACCACAACCTGCCCGGCACATTACACTGGCAGACTCTCGACCGCGACCTCAGTAGACCCCCGGGACGAGCCTATATCGCACCTTCTCGGCATAAGCCTCCCATACGGGCCCAAACGCGCGCCTTAGCTCTGAATCCTCCGTCGCGAGCCGGTGGTTCGTACTGCGGAGCGCATACGCGACCTTCACTACCCAGAATCCCAGCGCGAACCACGCGACGAACGTCCCGACGCCGGAAGATCGCTGGCAGGCGCCACCAACCGCGTCCGCCAATGGCACGGCGCGCGCGTCGACGCCAAGACCGAACGAGTTCAATTGCGTGGAGCAGGAGCCGAGCTGGAGCCAGCACTCGCGGAGCCACGAGCCCGGTGCGAGCGCGACGACGCTGGAGCCCAGCAGCGTGAAGTACACGCCCGTATAACTCGGATGGCGCACGAACGCGTACGGACCCGTCATGACGAGGGAGTGCGTAGGGGTGATCGCGAGCTCGAAGGTGAAGAGCGGTCCGAGCGTGTAGAAGCAGGTCATGCGGATAAGCGCGCCGGTGAGTGTGACGAGCATGCCGAGAACCAGGAACGGTGATGGTGAGGTGAGCGCGGGTGACCGTGAGGGGCAGAGAAGGGGCGCAAGGAGGGGGGCGAAGGGTAGTGACGGGAATGCGGCGACCGCTGTGGCGAGTGCGTCAAAGACGGTCTCGATCCACACCATCATCTGGAAACAGAAATGAGCACATCGCGCGGCAAAGGAGATTCCTCGTGAAATAGTCGGTTGTCAGGTGGAGCGGCACGAACCTTACTGCAGAAAGTGACCCATCGTATACACCGCTCAAAGAGCGTCTTGCGCGCGATACAGTGCTTTGGTGGTGCCGGGGGGTTGGGCGGGGAGAGCGAAAGGTGCACGGAGAGGCCCGTGACGAGCACAAGTGCGATTTTGAGGAGGGCCGCAGCAGAGGCAGGGTCGTAGGTGAGGGACATGACGAATGACGAGAAGGTGGTCAGCATGAGTGCGTTTTTCAAGCAAACGATGGCGGTCGAAAGGGGAAGGCGTGTCCCTGGCTTAGAAGCGATGGCACACGGCTTGGATGCAGCGAGCCGCGCGGAGGCTATAGGATCAGAGGCTCAATTAGCCGAGGGGACGGTGGGACGTGATGTGCATCAGAGACGGCTTATAAGTATGTCGCTACCAAGGATAAGGGGATGAGAAATTCGGGCAGAAGATGGTGTTCCGGGGAACTCCCTGCGGCGAGGCCCGAAGACAGAAGGCGAGGGAGAGATACATCCCGCTGGCGTTTGGCACGCCTCGAGCCTGTGAATCAGGGCAGCACTAAGGAACTCTGCATACGCGGCGCTCCCCACGCACCTGCAGCTCTGCACACATCTCAGATTGCCCGCTGACAGTGTAGGGCCGAGACGGGTGAACGCGAAGATGATCTGTAGCGAGCGAGAGGCAATCACGCGATCTCAGCGTCAAGCCGTCTGATCTTCCGAGGAAGGACCCCTGGCAATCGTTGAGGTCGCGATGGCGGACGGAAAAAAAGTGTTTTCGGCATTCATACTTGGTCTGCTCACCCTAGCTGAGGCCTTCGCCATTCAGACAAATTCGGCCCTTGCTTGCCGAGCACCAATTCCCAGAAATTTGGATCAGGGCTCCGCACCTGTTGTCGGGGGTCCTTCCAAAGGGCACTACGGGAAGTCACGACCCAAATACGTCCACGGCCATTGCCGTTACGGGGGGCTGGCTCAAGCCTGAGAAGCAAGTCCGTGTGCAGACGACGCCGTACCTCTTCGGCTTCGAACTGCAGACTCGGGAAGCACGAACACACGAACGTCGTCACCGTTTACCATTGTCGAGATAGACGCGAAGATTCATTTGGACGGAGCTGGGCTCTCTTTCTCTGGCGAGTACAGCCCAGACGCTGTTACCAAACGGAGGACCTAAGCGAAGCTGGCGTGACTTCATCAGGAGGGGACTATCCCCATTTTGTTGCAAACAACGCCTATGCGATTGAATGCACTGACGACAGCCTATTGGCGTCGGATACATAGATACCGGCGACGGGAAGGAGGAGAACGGACATACTATTCTTCCGAGAAAACTGGCGAGATGCTTCCGCGAGTACATGATCGGCCGGACTGCACTGATCAATTCCCCGGGCGCTTCCGGCCTTCATCCGCCATTTCGCCCGTTGACTTGAGCTAAGCTCGCACTCTTCCATGTATGGGAATGTTCCGTACCAGGATCATAGCGGAGCTTTGCGCCGGTTGCGTAGTGGAAGGCCCGCCGCCCACCCCGGTTCACGGTGCTCGCACACCGACGGTGCGGGAATTTGCTATTGGTGCCAGACCATCAGTAGTTACCAGCACAAATCACCTCCGAATACTGCCGTCGACAGCTCGCTTCGCCCATGCAAGTTGCCGGACGACCAACACCTAAACACACATCGGAGATCATTCATTGCTGCGCCACAGCCATTTCATCTCGGAATGTCTCTCTTGGATCCGGCCTGTCATGCGTCCCAAGGAGCCAACCACTGAGCGTTGATCTCACTGAGATAGTGTATACAGCCCTGCTCTACGCGGCACGATCCGCGATAATTGTTCATGTACTGATCACCAGGACAATACAGTCCGTTATCGGCGTTTCGATCCAACCCAGCTTATCACCGCATCTTCTGGGAGCAGAATGAAGGAAAGCACAAGACATCAGTGTCGCATATGCACGCCTGCGACGTCGCGGCTACTCACATCAGAATACGATGCAATTATAGGGTAGAGGACGAATTCGCCGAGCTCGCCTTTTTCCCCCGCTTCATTTACCCTGAGATTCTGATTGCAAACCTTCCTTGGAAGATCGGCTCGCAGACTGCTGGAACCAGAATCGCAATCGCATACCTCTGACGCAGGTTCTTCGTCCCGTGGCCGGCTCCACGGTCCAATGCAGCTTATCTCGAGAAGTACTAGTACCGGCTCAAACTCCTGTCATCCGGACGCCCGCATCTACATAATGGCAGTGTTTGCATGCATGCACACTATTCCGAAGTAAGCTCTGAGGCCCTGGATGCGACTTCATCATAGCTCCGTTCTATTGGTCAAAAGTTCCAAACGGCGCTCTGAGACGCATTCCGGGAGTCAGCTGGGAAGCTTGCGGCCTTGTTCCGAGACTCCTGTCCCAGACCGAGTTCACGCCACATCTTATGGACATCCGTCAGCAGATGTCTACCCCTAGCAGTTCACTTCGCTGGTCGCACGCCCCTCACCTCTAGTTCCTCGAAGTGATATCCACAGCCCAACGGACGCGCGAGAAGCCAGCACTGAATTTGCAATACACGTGTTGCCTGCCGGAATCGCTGCACGAAGCACACTCGTGAACTTCCAGCGCTCGAATGGGAAAATTCATACAGCGTGGGCTTCTCCGGCATTTGTGGTAGCCTGAGTCTGAACGTGTCAGGCGACGGGCGGCATCCGACGGAGATGCCTGCGAAGGTTTCGTGGCCCTAGCCGTCCCACCAGGAATTCTACTGCACACGATGCGATGCTGTGAGCAGGTACGAGATTGTCAAAATCCGCGGACATGCGCGTGCATAAAGTTTCTCGCGAGCGCCGGACATGAGTGTGGGTGCGCATTACGCCATGGCGGCATACGCCAGAATGTCCAGAGCAAACTCGATGCTGTCAGAATACAAGAACATATCGTCGATGATGCGGGTCGCCGACGTTCGAGTCCATTGCAAGGTTCAGATACAACAACAAAGATCTTGGCAGTGCCGCACAGTAGATGCGTGATGCATCTCCACGCCTGCGAACATCGGGCATCATAACGTGTTTAGTAACATCTGCACGCACGTTTGGCTATACTAAAGGGGCGGGCCTGGCGCCCCTCCACGCGTTATTCGTCGATCCTTGGCAGCACCTGGGTCGCTGGCGCGTGGCCGCTCCTCACTGGCCGCCTTCGCCGTTGTCTTCTTGGTCGCCGAGGGCATGCAAACGTCCACCCTGCTTCTCGTCTGATGTCCGCACGGTCTCGCCGAACGGGAGAAGGCGACGTTCCCATGGACAGTGATCGGATATGGGCATCCCGAGCCGGTTGAGCTCTGTCCTGTAAGGGTATCCCTTGTCTAGTGCTGTGCGCTCGACAGCGAGGCCCATGTGCAGTGCGCGCGTTGTGCTGCACGCCGTCCGTACCAGCGCAGCCGTCACAGTGCGACGTTACGCACTCGGTTGCTTATCACCGTGTATGTATCAACTCGGCGAAGGCCGTGTAGCCATCTGCAAGGTTTTCGAAATTCAACTTGAAAGCCCGATGAGGATCCCCCCTTTGCCGGCGGCAGAAGGCTCGATGTGCGAGGAGCTGAGGCTGCGGAGCTGAGCTGAGTCGTCGGTGACCGGGTTGAGTGATATTGGGAAAGTGCGTCCAGATACCACCTCGCGAGAACAGGACCGCGAGGTTGGCGAGCTAGCTTGCATCCTTCATTTCGCTCGCTTTTCACTTTGTGTTGCCGTCTTCCGTCGGACCGTCGCTGCGGCGTGTGTTGCTTGGATCTGCTGCAAGGAGTGATGAGACTACAGGTTACTGCACGCAACGTCCTCACCCACCCTTACCGACTGTGCATGTCCTGCAATGAATGAACGATCTACTCAAGTCCGTGACGGCCTGAGCTCTCGCATAACGCCGAGGGGCCCTGTAGACCGATGTACAGCCGAAACCTTCTCCCTCTGATGTTCGACGCAATGTGAGCACACACTACGGACTTCCTGCTTGGGAACGTCAGCCGAGTCTGTGAGCCGCTGCGCAGTCCAAGGCTGTCGCGGGCATGGTCGCGTATTTTGAGGTGCTTGCGAGCATGCTTTGCGTTCTTGGCACGTAGATGTATGCTTCCAGAACGCCTCTTTGCGCGAAATGGAGCGAAGGAGTTTGCAGCTTCTTTCGTTTCGCTCCGGGTTCATCTTTTCCGGTGCGTCTCGTGGCCTCAGGGATCCTACGCTCGCTTGTCTCCAAACAGGAGAAGAGCATCTACCGGCTGTTGTCCTCCATTCTGTCCGGCGTACGACCCTGTGGATGGGAAGATACGTACTCCTGCAGAGCAAAAGGTCACCGACGGCCGCTTGACCCGACAGGCCAGGCATACCGAGACAAAGGAGGTCGCATCTGCAGGAAAGCGTTCATGGGTTTGTTTGGCTAGATACACCCCCTTGCCAGACCTCCTTGCCAGGATGTCGGACAATATTGCCTCTAAGGACCGTCAGAGCAAACAGGGAGATGCCATCCGCGCAACCATCTGAGAAGGCAGCTTTGATTAAACGCCGTTCATGGAAGAAGGTGTGATTTATGATTGGACGAATGCATGGCACACCGGGCCTTCGCCGCTGTGCGTGCAACTTTCATGATCATTTAGGATCTACATAGTCGCTTTCCGGAGCCGACCTTTCTACGGTCATCTTTATGCCCTATTTGAAGGTATATCACTACTTACGGTTGCGGTCAGAACATGCGCATTCAACCTTGACCGATCTCCGATGACGGAAGAGATTTCACTTTACCGGCTGCTATACACCTTTGAGATATTCGTATTTTGCGCCGGTGTGCGAGTGAGTGTTTGCAGACGTATGATGATGTCCGGGGGGAGGCGGGAGCTATCGCGGAGACTTTCCTTATTTGACGCCACCCGGATGGTTCTCGTGTGTCGGGCGTCTCCCGGCTTGCCACTGTTCCTCAGATTTCCGCCGTGACCAACTTAAGTGTTCATCCCAGCTTTCTCGCCTAGTCTCGTCGCACGTCTGACTGTTCACCCTCTCGGTATATGTGTGCCTGTACACGGCCTATTGGTATTACACGTCCATTCAGTCCGGCGTGACGCAGCTCTCGATCCCTCTTCACCCTATATCAATCACACATATTCAATCGTATCCTGACATACATCGTCGACCATGCCTTCATCCTCGATGCCTGCGATTTCCCCGGAGACGTGGAAACGCGTCCCCACGACCGCCGCTGCGATCTTCAGCATCACCATGCCGTACCGCCCACCGAAAAACCCCGTCGGTGCGTTTTTCTGGCGCAAGCGCATGCTGTTCGAGACGACGATGGGGCTCGCGTTGCTTGAACGGTGGGAGAAGATCCTGCTGAGTGAGTACAGTTCAGATCCATCGCTCTGCATGTGGCAGTGTGATTTACTGATGCGACGCGGGGTAGTCATCATTCTATACTCGATGCTCATACTCGTCGTCACTGGGCTGTATAAGTACGCTCCCCAGTACGCTGTGTTCGTCAAGCAGCGCACGGCATATTATATTTATGGTAACGAGCCGGAGGAGAACGTGGGTCGTGTGGCAGATTGGGTCGTGCGCAACCTTACTGGGGAGTTATGAGGTGTTTGCAGGTGCTGTTTAGGAGGCTTGTTGACATGTTATAGGTAAGGCTTGTCGCGTTTAGTGCTCTGCTGTCGACAATGCTGACGCCTGAAGCAGCACATCTCTACTTAATGTATATGTATGCCTATGTGACATGCCCATCATGTTGTTTGCTAGACAGTGTCTTTTTCAATGCTCTGGCAGGCATACGCGCGGAAATGAGTGAACAATCCGTTCATATCGATAAATGAAACACTCGTTCTAGGAGGTCCATCGTGGAGGATATCCGACTAGTCAGTGTTCAATGTGTGTCAGACTGTAAACTTACGTGTGGCTCTGTCACACGGACTGTCCTACACCCGACGATGGCAATGATAGCTCCTTTTGAACATGATCTCCGAAGGCTATGCAAGTGTCCGAATGAATTTGTATCAGCTGTGGAATGTGAGGGGCTATCTATGGATGATATCCGGTATTGCCATTCTCACCTTGCACGTAATCATCGCACCATCCTCGCTCACTGGACCGAGGCTCGCTTAATGAGCTACCGCATTGTGAGGACAACTTAAGGGTGCGGGAACATGGCACGCATATGCCCGCTCGAGCCGTTAAGTGGCGACAGGCTCAGACGGCTCATCACACGCGTTTGCGATGCATTGGCTCGATGCTGTTCAGACTGATCGTCAATGGTCCCAGCTGTTCCATCGCCGTTGTTATCTTCGAATAGTCACTCGCTCTCACAATCATATCTCTGATAGGGGCATAATTCAGCAAGAGAACGAGGCATGTATTTGCTCCTGGTCATCATCGAGCCTTCAAAGCTTCTTGTCTTCACAATCAATCATATATCATAGGTCAATTTGAGTATCGTCGATCATTTAATACTAGATGTCGCTGTAGGATGCGCCCCGGAACACGTAACATCATTACGTTGTAGGCTGCAATGATCGACGCTAAACCGGCATGTATGACACTTTGACTTATAGGAATGACGCTGCAGCCCTGATCTGCGCGTATGTATTCATTAATCCCACAGCATTCCATAGAAAATGAAGCATGAGTATACGACCTAGGCCGTAGCCTCGGCATTCTTGCGCTCACGATACACTGCCCTGCCGCTGATCTGTCTATTCTCCGGCATCCGAGCGAGCTGACGCTTGCTGCGTATGCGGGGCCGCACATGGCTGTACCACTCCCAGGCCGCGCGCACGAGCTCCCCATCTGCGTCGTACGGTGTTGGGATTTCCGAGTACCCTGGGCGTGCGGTCGGATGGCGCACATATATCGCGGAACAGGTCGCGAATGACGGCTCGATATACGCAGGGATAAAGATGGATGGAGAGGCGTAGGGTGGCAGGTGAAAGGGCGTGAGGTCCGATTTGCGCTTTGGCTTGGGCGACTTCGGCTCTTCCTTGGCTCGGGATTCGCTTGCGTCCCTCACATCCGAGGCAGTCCCAGACGTAGCGGCCTCGCTATTTCCTTTTGTCTTCTCAGCAGAGTCAGTTTCTGCGGAGTTTTCGGCGGCAGACGACTCGGTCTCCTTTTCTTGCTCTTCGTCCTCCTCGGATACCTTTGTGGTGATTTCTTTTTTTGGCGCTGCGCTAGCCTTGAGGAAGCGGATTGCCTTCGGATTCACCGAGATCATGTCGCCTGGAGCCAGTCTCGTATTTGGAAGCGTGTGCTGCTTATTCTGTTAGAGTGTCGCGGTCGGGACAAATATCGGCGAACGCACCTTCTGCCCGTTCAGCATAACTTCTCCGTGTATAATGAGCCTCCGCGCCTCGTATACACTGTGCGCAAAGCAGCATCGGAACACGAGTACGTCGATCCGCCTCTCCACCTCCCTGAACATCAGACTACCCACAGGCGCGAGCCCCTTGGCCTGCTCAAGCTCAATCCTCTTGACCTCCTTCTCCGCGGCCATGTCGCGATGCGCCCACTTGTTGAGCGCGGCGAGATTTGCGCTCTTCGCGACATGCGAGCGTACATCCGGCAGCATCTCGGGGAGATACCACCGCTTGAAGACCTTCTCGGGGATGTAGTCGCCATGGTACGCGCGCAGGAGCGCTTTGGCAATCCATCGCTGCTGAAACAGACTTTTATGGGTATTGGAAAAGTCTATTTCGCGTGTTTTTCCACCGAAAGAGCGTTGCCAGAGGTTGTACAAGTTGCGCACGCCCCAGCTCTGATTATACAAATGTTGAACGAATGCAAGCGCGTTGGGGATAAACTAACGCACCATGCGGGGCATAGCCCGCTTGAGGTTATATACGTTTGCATCGCGCATGCCGTCCTACCCGGGAGAGGACAGGAGGGTTAGTTGGAGGATGTCGGGAATAAGGACGAAGGGATTGTGGCCAAATACGGCGTAAGCCACGTGTGACGTTCGCAGCTACTTTTGATAGTTGGTGGCGTCACAGCCCGAAACGGGGCTGTGGCTGGTCGGTGCTCTACGGAGCGCGCCGTTACATACGCCCCCAGCCATCGTATACGATGGGTCCTGGCTGTACATATCACTGCGCAAAATTGTAGATTACGCATAGTAGAATATGATGGCAATTTGTAAATTTCACACGCATTATGAGCGGAAGTCACGCAGATGTCGCCATTTTGCTGATCTGCTTTCAATCCACATACTACTCACTGGATACAACTAGATCACACACGACAGCAACCCCATATGCTGGCCAGCTGCTTTGTTATGAAGTCCAAAAAGATCTGAAAGGTGGATTAGGAATATATATACTAATTATCCCAGGTAAGTTCCGGATAACACGTACATAGCAACAAATAGCATGCCAGTGGTGCGAATGGATGGCGGACGCGCGTAACGCATATAGTCACCTCGCTCTCGACGCTTTCCTCATGAACTAGCGGTCTTCTCGCGGATGCGACGATGTCTTCGGTGCGTTAAAGGTAGCTTCAGTTTTATGCTGATTTTCTTATTGTCGCAGACTGTGTCGCGCTGCTCCTGTTCGCGTTGCAGCAAGAATCACTAACCGGCGTGAGCGCCTAGGCCTGATCCGGGACCCCGATGTAGACATTAGCGAGGAACTTGCAGCGTCTGATGACCTCCATGACGAAGTCGATCTCGGTCGCGTACGTGATGTCGGTTGCGCTCCGTGATGCCAGAGCCACCGGTGAGGAGGCCGTACAGCTCTCCAGCGCCATTGACGATGACCGAGCCAGAGTCTCCCTTGGCGGAGAAGGGGCCGGAGTTCTTGTCGTAGGGGAAGATGGCCAACTCCATCGAAATTTGCTCTTCGTCGGTGTCCTTCAAGTACGTGCGCGCGTACGAGACGACATTGTTGGCGCGTCCAACCGTCAGGCGCGTGGTGCGGCCTTTCTTCAGGACGACGATGCAGCGGTTGCCATCCTGGTCAGTCTTGGTGGGGTTGCGGATCTCCTCGTCCGCGACAACGCCAGAGAGATGCAGGAGGCGATCGACTGGATAGTCGAAGCTGTGCACGTTCTCGATGTTCGCGGTGTGCATCATCTCGGAGAGCTTGTTGGGATCGAACTCGAATCCGAGGTCAATGGCGTTGCCGGGGAAGTTGTTGGGCCTGCGGCTGATCTTGCTGAGGTCCATCTCGACGACGGCGACGTCCTGAGTAAACTGATTGGGGCCGGCATCGACCACGATGGGGGGAGAGTAGACCACGTGTCCAATGACGCGGTTCTTCTCGGGCGCCCAGTCTTTCGTGACAAGGCGCTGGAACTCGACGAGAGCCTTCTTGGTCGCCTCTGCTTCCTTGATCGCACTCTGGGCATCCGCGAGCCCCTTCGCAGCCTGGGGAGCGCCCTCCCTAGCGTTCCAATAGACGAGCTTCTTCTGCTGGACGGTAATGATGCCATCCTGTCCGTCGATCTGCTTCTGAATGAAGACGAGGTACTCCTTGAACGAAGACTCACTGAGGAGGACGACGTCCTTGCGGGGCATGCCCGAGCTGCTCGACTTGTACTCGAAAAGCTTGTTGTCATCTGTGCTCGGGGGGAAGAGGACATGGCGAGCAGTCACGAGCAGAAGCCTCTTCCCGTCCGTGACGTAGAAACCTCCGCTGCCTTCACCCCAGGGCGTGCGGCGGGAACAGATGGTCATGCCGAGTGTCGAGGCAAGGGGCCATGCGAACTTCGGCAGTCGGGTCGGACTTGAGGTCGAAGGCGGGTGGAAGGAACTGGGGGCCAGCGCGGCGGAAGACGTCCGCCTCGCGCATTTCCACTTCCACGTCTAAGATACCGCGGGCTACCACAAGGCTCTTGCAGTGAAGAGCTGCGTCGATAGCGACTTCGTAAGAGAGGGATGAATCAGGCCGGACGCCAATCCACAGGATAACGTCGCCCGAATGCTCGTCCGCGTAGCAGATACGAACAATATCCGTGCTGGACCAGTTGATCTTCTTCTCACGTAGGGCGACGTGCACCTCCGCCGCCAGGCCCTTCTCCCAGACGTCCTGGATGTCGTGGTTGCCGACGACCTTGAGCTCCTTGGGCCGAAAGTACTCCTCAGCACCACGGGGGAGCTCCCACACACCGCGACTGGTGCGGCAAATCAAGACTGGGCCCGTGGAAGCAGTGTGCAATCCGGCGTAGTAGTGTTTTGCCTCCATCGAGGAGATGGCGGACGGGGGGGAAGGAGTACCGGGAGGCGAAGGACGATCTCCAGGAGCACCGATAAGAGTAGGTCCAGAGAGCTCAGAGGGGGCAGGCTGGCCATCTGGGCTCAGAGCCATAAGTGGTGTTATCGGACACTGTGGACGAAGAGGAAACGAAACATTGAGTAAAGCAGAAAAAATGCGAAGGAACTGACTGGTAGGGACGAAACGAGCGAAACAGTTGAGTAAAAGTGGGGAGTGACTTAAAAAGGAAATCGCTCAGCCACAGCTGAAAAAGTGTCGGCGCGGAGCGCGCCGTTACACCACGTGACGTGGCGTATAGTACGCGAAACAAGGTGTTTCTTGGGTGTTTCTGCTTGGTTTCTGCACTTCCTGGAGCCTTAAATCCTCCATGTGCACCCTCTGCTGTCTGGATCTCCATCCAGGACAAGCTTATTGCTATACAGCACATACTGAGATCTCTCGCGAATATTAGATTTGCTGGTTGGAATCGAACAACCCGAGAGTCAACTTCGACCGTGAACTTCTCGCGCACGTTGGGACGCGTACACGAGATTGTGTTCGACCTCTGTACGTACTACGGTTTGGTCGTTCTACTGCTAGACTTATGAAACGCAGATACACCGGCTAACACGACGTGCAAGTGGGCAGGACGGACTACAGAGTACGAAAGAGATGGAGCCTTATACTCCCCGACGACGGAAGAAGAATTTGACGTTGTCGACGAAGGAGTATACGAAGGTATGTCCTGAAGCTGGATATGCGTAGAGTTTTCATATGGAAAGAACAATAGGTGACAGGGACGATAGCGTCTGTTCGGCGAACGCGTCAATATGTCGAAGACGGATATGAAGAGGATCCTGGAGTTTTTTCTGCACGTCCCAGCCTGGATAGAGGTATGCTTCGTACTCTCATCAGTATGCGTGTTCCGACGAAGCAGCTATGGGTAGCACCTGAGGAACCGTCCTTCTACGCGGAGACATCGTTCGTGCGCGCTCCGCTCAACTCGAGAGTAGCATCCGGCACAGCACCAAAGGACAAGAGCAAAGGCAAGGGCAAGGCGAAGGCGAAGGAGAGCTTCGAGGGTGTTCCTCTCGAGGTACAAGAGGCACTTGTCCTGGAGGACCTCTTATTTGTTTTGATGGTACGCTTATTCTAAGCGTATCGAGCGAATTGATAGCAACCGTTTTATGTGCATATCGCAGGGCATTGAGGGAGTGTATGTCACTCACCTTCCTGACTACTCTCCAGATGACGAGGACCCATTGCAAGGGGTAACTTTCGTCGTGTCTCCCTCATTAGGTAGGTGGCTATCCGTACCTGGGGATTATCCGGATCTCTCATCAGTTATAGACCCTTCGTTGCGTGACCTCGTCGAACGCATTTTACCACTTGCAACATACTACACTGCTGTGACTTCCTTCATCGAGCTACGGAGCCATTTAGACTTTGGGCTTGTGAATCATGCGCTATGCGCTGCCATGCGCGACATGCTCAAAGTATGCTTGAGTCTGGTGTGGTCTGTTTCTGCTGACACGTTTCTCATCAGGAGTACCAAACTCTTCTTGCCCAGCTCGAACACGCTTTCAGCACCTCCTCCTCATTCACCCTGCAGAAGCTCTGGTTCTACGTGCACCCCACCCTGCACACCCTCTCTTTACTCTATCTCCTCACTACCGAGCTTGCGAGAGCAGATGGTACCTCCGACGCGCAGTCCGAGTCAGAGTCCGAGAGCTCGGTTGACAGCGAGGAGGCGGCGCGCAACGAGGCGCTCGGGCTCGGCGGCGCGAAGCTCAAGGCTATGCTCAGCGAGATAAACAAGGGCGTGGATGAAGGTGCGAGCGCGACCCCAGTGAAGGGCGGCGAGGTGCTTGCGATCATCTTCGAGCGCATGCAGAACATGTCGGGCGACCCTGCGGCGCGAGCGCTGTACGGCGAGCTGCTCCGCGCCGCGGGAAAGCCATATATCGAGATGCTGCAGGCTTGGATACTAATGGGCCGGCTGGTTGACCCGTATGAGGAGTTGTGCGTCAAGGAAAGCAAGTTCATCGATCGCGGGACGCTCGAGGTGGACTATACGGACGAATACTGGGAGCGGCGATATACCGTAAATCATACCGATCTTTCTGTGGCCGCTTCTGCTGACGTGTACATACAGTTGCGAGACGGCTCGACAACCGGTGGATCTTCCCAAACCGCCGGAGTGCCTCCGCCACGTACTCCAGGTGGTCGGTTACCTGGGGGTGCCTGTGTCCCTCCTATGCTGGAGAAGTGGAAGCATAAGATACTCCTCGCGGGGAAGTACCTGAACGTCATCCGGGAATGTGGTATTGAGATCAGGCGTAATTCAAACCAAGCCGATGACGATCTGTCCTTGGACAATGAGAAGCGAGTACATTTCATGATCATGTTGTATCCCATTAAGCTAATGATCGTAGATTATACAAATCGATCGATGAGGCGTACACTCACGCGAACCACACTCTGCTCGAGCTGCTCCTGCGGGACCAGCAGCTAATCCCGCGGCTGCGCTCCTTCAAACGGTTCTTCTTCCTCTCGCAGTCGACGTTCATCACACATCTCCTTGACCTCTCGCACTCGGAGCTACGCAGACCCGCGAAGGGCGCATCGCTTGTGAAGCTGCAGAGCCTGCTCGACCTCGCGCTCAACACAGACACGCAGGGCGAGGATGCGATGTTCCGTGAGGACGTATGCGTCACCATGGCGACGAGCGGGCTGTATGAATGGCTGATAGATGTACTGCGGGAGCATGGAGTGATTGGCGAGGACACTGGCAAGCGGACGGATGCGCATTCTAGAGAGGAATCGAAAAAGGACAGGGACAAGGATGAGAAGAAGTCATTACAAGGCAAGATGCATCGGCGTGTAGACAGTGCGTCTGGCTAACGGGAATGGGCTCACCAGCGATCGACGCGCTGACGTTGGACTACACTGTCAAGTTCCCCCTCTCGCTCGTCATCTCGCGCAAGACCGTCCTGCGCTACCAGCTGATCTTCCGCTTCCTATTGCATCTCAAACACGTCGAACAGACGCTGACGAGCATGTGGCTCGAGCAGAAGATGCCTATATGGCGCCGCGCACCCCCTGCGAGCGAGTGGGGCATGCAGCTGGAGAACTGGCGCAAGCGCGTGTTCCTGCTGCGGGCGCGCATGCTTGCGTTCGTGCAACACATACTGGGATTTACGACGTTCGAGGTACTCGAGCCGAACTGGCGCAAGCTCGAAGGAAAACTCGAGGCGCGGAAGGTGGAGACGGTTGACCAGCTTCTGAAGGAACATGTAGATTTCTTGGATACATGCCTGAAGGAGTGCATGCTGACCAGCTCGAGGCTTCTTGGTGTGAGCGGTCGTTCGCGTGTTAGCTCTGCGGTTCCTCTGATTTATTTACGGTTTTGTAGGCTTACTCGCGCCTCATGACGACGTGCTCCACATTTGCGCTGTATGCCGCTTCTTTCACGAAGTCGTTGAACAGCGCGTTCGCTTCGGAGGGTGTGCCTGAGGGCGATAAGGAGTTTGCGAAAAGGTGGGACTACCTGAATAAGTTCGAGACGCACTTCAATCACTGGTGAGCAGTTTGCCGCACGCCGTGCTTGAGACCAGCTGACAATCGGCGATGGCATGGCAGGTTCAAGGTACAGTCGTCAATAGTCACCATTAGAAAGAATCTCTTGCTCACAATCATGCATTGTAGATTCACCTCGACCTTGTCCAGTACGACGCTTCCCGCGAGAACGTAACATTGCTGCCTTTGGTTGTCCGGCTAAGCAGTATCAAGTCTTCGCTTTAGTTTCAGCGTCTCGCGTATTGCTTTGACGCCTCTATACCCATTTCGCGCGGCCGTGCTCATAATCTTATACCCTCGCTTTGCATGACGATTGAATAGAACTCGCGGTGCCAGTCAGTGACATTGACCACTGCCGGGCCGACAGGAACAGATATGCAAGTACGCCAAGAGCTGCGGATGCCACGTATGTACCCATGCCGACATGACCGGATTCGACAACTGCCAAGGCGTTCCTTCTCCAACATAGCCTCACAAGTTTCACCGCTGCGGACTCAGGCATCTTGAGACAAGGCGTCGCACCAGACAACGGAAAATAACAACCACAGTGCGCGCCCTACCGACAGCTATGGTTCCATAATCCCACAGTCTGAACACCACAGAGACACGAGTACCGTGATGCCTCGGTTGCTCAGGCAGATCATCGCGGATTAGTCTACATCCACACTGCGGGGATGCGCCAGATCGAGTGTCCCGCCGGCTATGGTGCGTGCCACCTAGTCACCGCCACTTTTGTCCCAGTGGCCAATTTGACGGACGAAAAATTCGAACGTTGAGATAGGACTTGTTGGCTCAGAGGGCACCTTTTGTTTGAACTAGTACCAAGACAAACCAGTATTGAATGTGTCTGTAGCCCCAAGACCAATACTACGTGTCGCGCCGTCAGGCGCTGCCGAAAATGGAAGCCAAGCTGTCAAATATAGCAGTGCACTGCCATATTTGGAATTTTATTCCCACATTTCAAAAACTTTATGTCACCCGATTTTTGGAACTTCTGTCTGGCAGTCAACTACGTTCATGAGACCACACATCTCTACCAGAGGGACAAGGGAATGATAATGTTTGGACAGGCGGTGGGAGGTGGCACGCACCATACATTCATCCAAATTGCTCGATTGGTTTTGTTTGGCATGGTTCTCCTCGCTTAGAGAGTCCAGCGTTCGACGCTCGATGTTCGGTCTTCACGTTGAATGGGTTCAGTCGACAGTTGTCTAGACGTGAGCCGGTGACAGCGATGCCCGCTCTAACCCATATTATACTCCACGCTAAGCCTCATGTTAGCTCTTCTCTCGACTCCAACTTCCTCACACGCACGGCTGTCTCTTCCGGCGAATTATTGCTCTGTGTTTCATGATATATTCATCGTTTGCGGTCCGAACCCTGGTGGCGCGTTTCATAGAGACGGCAGACAACGTTATATATTCGGCTGCCCTGAAAATGCCCTCCAACCACTTCCCATCTGCGTGAAATACCCATACCCCTGCACCACGCATCAGGCCCTACCCAGATCCTCGAGCTCACACCTAGCATCAACCTGCGCAAGGATACCACGGAAGGAACGATCTTCCTCTCGGCTCAGTCCCCCTCCACGCACGCGCAGACGCATCCGCAACCACAGTCGAGCATGTCGATCAACGCGGCGCCGCCGCGCACGGAGATGTCCTGTACAGAATGGAAACGCGAGCCAACGATTCTAGACGTGTTTTTCGGGTTCCTGTTGCCCTATCGACCGCCACGCAGCGCGCTGGGCGCGTTCGTCTGGCGGCGACGCATGTGGCTCGAGACGACCTTCGCGCTGTCGATGATGGAGCCCTGGGAGAAGGTGCTTGTTGGTGCGTGTTACATGCTATACGTCGTTGATTGAAGCGGTCTGATGTGATTCCCCGCGTTCGCCAGCCTGCTTCTTCTGGACGCTGTTCGCGCTCCTCACTGCCGGGATCTACCTCTACCTTCCTGACCACATCTCCTACGTGTACGGACGCACGAAATACTACCTGCTGGGACGCGAGCTGGGGGTCACGTCGGCCCTCAGCTGGAGCTCACGATGGGCTGCGGCCGGGAACGTCACGCCTCCTCTAGGATACGTGCTCGACGTACGTGACGCGCTGTGAACCACGCCTTGACGGAGAGATTGGGAGGCTGTGCTTTGTGTGACGGGAAGAGGAGCGTTCAAGACGCGGTGACGCATTTCTTGGAAGGGCAAACTAGGTGGGTTCTGCCATATTGCTGGTGACCATAGAGTGCAGGTCTGACCGCTAATGCTACAGATGCGCCCTAAGATGGGGCGACAAAATATACAATATATCCGACGGTACTACAACTCGCTACTTGGTTGCGAACAAACCTTGTTATTTCTCTTCATGCAGATACTTTGTTTTATGTATGCTCTTGGACGATCGTACTAAGCAGAACAGTTACAGTCTGGTCAAATGCACGACGAGTAAGATTGACACAGGGCAAACAATACTTATGCACATTCCAGACGAGAGACAAAAAATTAGTAAATACATTACTACAGATTCAGTCCAGTGCAGATGCATCCAACCGCAACAACAGCCACCGTCTAACAGTCCCATCCTAGGACGAAGCTCTTCGGGTCCTTTTCCTCCACCGGCACCTGCTCTACGTCGACTTTCACGTCATACACCTCCGCCTCTTCACCATCCTCCAGCACGACGGTATGCTCCTCGATGTCAATTTCCTCGACGAGCTTGATGGGGCAGATCGCAGCGCCGAACTCGTCATGCAGGAGGAGGTCGACGACGTTGCGCGCCGCGATGGTCTCGGTTTCCATCGTCGAGATGAACCTGTAAGAAACAACGTTTGTTATATGCGAGATGGGGCAAGCGCCTGCAGCTGGCTTACGGCTCGAATGCGTTCACATAGTACAAGCCCTCTGTGACCTTGATCGGCGCGAACGACGTGGTCGGAGGTAGCACAGGGTACGCGTCCCACTAAGAAGAAGAGCGTCATGAGCGAAGCTAACAACACGACAACCCGGCTGTTTACTGACCTCTTTGCGCAGCACCCATCCTACTTTTCCAAACATATTCTCCAGCCAATCATCTGTAAGCCTCTTCTTGGAGAAGATCTTCACCACCCACTCCTCGCCGGCCTCGCCTGCCCATGGCTCGCCGTCCGCCGCGCGCACCTTCCCATGATACGTCAGGGAGTTGAACTCGGGCTCCGCGCCCGTACCCTCACGTACTGCATTCGCTGTCGTAAGTAGTGTCGTCGGCGCGGAGTGGGCGCCGAGCCCGAAGTACGCGGAGTTTGGGCTGGGCGCGGGTGTGCTCAGGAGAGTGACATGCAGGCGGACGTACGGCTGTTCCGGAAACGACTCGGCAAGCGCCTCGGGGAACAGCGAGATGTTCGCGCTGTGGAATGGCGCGGCGAGGATGACCGCGCGATACGCTTGGCGCGAGTCGGCAGTGCTGACGAGCCAAGCACCCGACGCCTCGTCGTGTTTCAGCGCGGTGACGGCGGTTTCGAGACTCACCGAAGCGTTGCTCCGCTTCACGAACTCTTCGAATAGCTGGAAGTTTCCGCCCTTGACACTGGATGCACCGTCCGCGGCCATCGAGCACATGCCCTCGAGCGCGTGGATGGCGTCGACGTTCTGCCCGTAGTTTACGCGCGTGAGCGCGTCGACGAGCTCGCGCGTGTACTGCCGGTTGATGCCCTTCGTGTCCAAGTACTCGGCCGCCGTTTGCGCGAGGATGGGCGTCCAGTCAAGCTCTTCGGCGAGCGTCGTGATGTTGGAGAAACGCGGCGCGGAGGGTGCATAGAGCGTGAGATAGGTGTCGATCATTGACTGCACGGTAGCCTTTGCGCGCCGGTGGGCAGAGAAGCCGTACCTCCAGGCGACCTTGACCGTATCTAGCCAACCAGTGTAGAAGCCCTTGCCGCCCGTCTGTACCGTAGACATGTCAGTTAATTACGAGGGTGCAGAATCATACAGCGGATGGACACAGACCGTGAGCAGGATCTGCGAGCCATCCCAGAGCCCCATAACGCTGTCGTCTTTCCCGAAGTCGATCTTCTCGAGGTCAAACTCCTCTATAGCGCGCCACAAATTCTTGTTGTCCTCGACGAAGATGGATGCGCCGAGCTCGACGGGCTGTAGCTCCTTATTGTCGTAGGGGTACACCACGGTGCTGCCTGGCCCATTCACTCAGCTTTCATCATGACACTCACTCCAGGTAGCATCAATACGCACGGCCACCAATGTAGTTACTCTTCTCGTACACGTCCACTTCGACGTCCAACCCGAACCGCTGCTTCGCCTTCGCGATCCAGAACGCCGCAGACGAGCCGCCTGCACCTGCACCTATGATGGCAATCTTGTTGGGAGGATTTTCGACAGAAAGGGAGTCTATGGAAGATACGCTTCCGTGGCTGTTCGATAGGAATGGGATGTTGAAGGGCAGCTGGAAAGCGGTAGCGTGCCCAACTAGGAGTGCAGCCGCGACTATTAGATGAGCCCGCATAGTGCAATATACCGCACGCTGTGCAAGGTGCCGTAGAAATTGTTGCAGAGCAAGAATGAAATCTTCGTGTGATACACCAGGAGATCGAGACGAAAAGCTTCTGTCCGTCGTAGTAGGTCGTGAACAAGCCTCAAGGCGCCACCGGCGAGCTCAGCCACAAACTGATCAAACTGCTGCCGACATCATCCTTCTGTTCTCTGAGACGAATTCACGAACACACTACCATATTCTCTTCTGAAGACCCTCCCGATTTAACTGGTGATCATGGGTATCTCTGCCTCAACCAACTTGCTGCTCAATGGTATGTGCGCTCTCAGCGCTGAGCGCTCATGTAACCTTTCCTTTTTCAAGTGAGCGCGACGCTGGCAGCGTAGCGCCCGAGAAGACAAGCAGTAACATACATCACGTGCATGACCACACGCGGGCACGTGCCTCGCCATTCTCGCGTCGCGCGCTTCCAAGTTGAACCCTCCTCCCCATCTTCTACGACGACCAAGTGAAGAGCAATCTCCTCCGCGCGGTATAAGCACGCATTTTCCTCAGCATATAAGCCTGTGCTCGACGTTTTGACATTTTTCATCGCGTTCACACTTCCACAAGCCTGTCATGAGCCGCGCCACTAGGGCCCGGAGGGGTGCTACGATGCAGTCTACTCAGACAGGTCGACCTTCAACAGGCAAAGCATCTTCTTCCCGTGCTCCTGTTCGGAAGGCTAGTCCGGAAGCTGGCCCTTCCGGGACTCGCACTCCTACGGACGGACAGCAGGCCACCGCCCCGCCTCGCACTCCCGAGAATCGGAACAGGCCTCCCAACAGTGGTCCACTTCTGCACACTCCCATGGCAAGAAACGAGAACTCGAGTCAGGAGTATGGGTTTGATGGTGTAGAGGCGGAGAAACGTTATCTGCGTCTAGCTGACGAGGCTCAGGACTGGACACTCGGCCCAATGCCTGTCGTGGATTTCTGCAATAGTCTATGTCCTGGCTTCAAGGAGATGTCATTTGAGGGCATGCCTCCCTCTGCGGGAGCCTTTGCGGATGTTCCTAAGCAAGCCGAGAAGGAACAGGAACTCTACGTTCCACTTGTAAGTCGCTGAGACCCGCATATCATACTGCTGCTGAAGTGACACTATTGTAGATTACCGCGGTGAATGGTCAGGGCGATGAATGCAGATGTCCAGGAATCACGTTCAAAGATACATCGTCACGGGCGGAGACTTCGGGTCCCGGTGTGCAGAAGCCAGATCTTTGCGGCTACCGAGATGGTGTAGAGGTTCCCGAGAAGAAAAGCAAGAGCAGTGCGGCTGTTGCTCATATGGGCTACGCGGAAATATTCATTGAAGTGAAACGCAGCGTAGCGGTCGACTTTTTCACGGATCCCCCGAAGAATGTGGAACGCTCAACGCACCAGTTCATCCTTAATCATTCGTCGTTGAAAAACAAGGATATTGCAAAGAGAGCTCTCGGGCAGAATATTGCATATGCTACGGAGATTCTTGCCCGGCAGCATCGCCACTCCCTCTTCTCGTTGTCCATGTCGGGCTCCCATGTTAGATTGTTCTACTGGGATCGTGGCGGGATGATTGTTACGGAATCTGTCGATCTGCATCAGGATCCCGAGTTGGTGTGTAGGTTCTTGTGGTGGTTCGGCCATGCTAGCGATCATGCCCGAGGCTTCGACATGACGGTGGAATGGGCTACGGATGCAGCGGAGGAGGAAACGTTCAAGAAGGCGATTGCTCAGCACGTCAAGGAGCAGTTGCTGCTCTCTGCTTCGGTTGAGGACGTTATGCGCCCACCAAAGAGGAAGAAGGGAAAGGCAGCAGTCGAGGGACAAATCCCAGAAGATCAGGAACGACTGAAACGGGGTTTGCGCGAGCACTACGAGCCGGGCAAAGTCGCAGTCATTCACGTGTTCGAGGAGGCTGGCGAGCAAGGCACCACCGAGGTTCGACCGGTCCGCTATCTCGTTTCATGCCCTGTTGTATCGCCCATGTCGGTTGCAAGTCGAGCCACGCGCGGATATTGGGCGATGGCTTTGGATGGCAGCGTCAGGTTTCTGAAGGACACTTGGCGCTATCGGGATAAAAAAGAAGAAATACAGCCGGAAGGAACCATTCTGGAAGGCTTGAAACAGTACGAAATACGGAATGTGCCCAAAGTTATGCACCATGGTGATGTGAAGCTAAGTAGTGAACATGGTGAGCATTGAGCTCGTTTCTCGCATGCAATCGAGTGACCATCGGTCTCTGATCAGATACAGAATATCAAGAGACGCGTACACACGAGTTCGTCAAAGCTCCGTGGTTGTGTAAAGGCACTGGTGTAGTTGGAAAGTCTCGAGAGATCACGGTTTCGCGGCACGTGCACTATAGAGTCGTTTTGGATATCGCTGGCTACAGCCTACCCCATCTTCAGAGCTCGAAGGAGCTTCTTCGCAGTACCCATGATGTTCTCGATGGTACGTTGTTGTGCGTCTTCTAGTAGAAGACTTCATTGACGGTCTCCCACTCTAGCAATGACGGATGCCTACAAAAAGGCCAAGAAGATTCACCGCGATCTAAGTGTAAGAAACATCGTTTTGTTTAGGAAGCCTGGCGAGGATAGAAGGACCGGATATCTAATAGATTGGGAGTTCTGCTGCGGCATCAAGCGTGCTCCAAGGGGCCGCAAATGGCACATCACTGTAAGTGTATACTTCCAAATCACGGAACGTCTCGTTAAATCACGCTGCAGGGCACCTGGCAGTTCATGTCGGTGAACGTCCTGACTAAATCTAACTATCTGCACGTTATCCAGGACGACATGGAGTCTTTACTCTACGTAGTCCTCTACTGCGCTGCACGATGGCTGGGTCATAATCAATCTGGGGAGGACCTGGAGACCTTCTTCTCTGAGTTCTTCGATGAACACCTCGTCATCGGCGGAAAGGATAAAGGCGGTCTACGGAAGATAGCGAACAAGGTTGAGCGGTCCCAAACTTCAGCCTTCAAGTTCAAACCTCCTGCCTTGCACCGTTGGTTGAACAAAGCCATGAATTTGAATTCTCCGGAAAACACATACAAGAAGGGTGGGTACCCGAGATCCTGGACTCTCGCTAATTTAGCGCGGATGTCGGATGAGATCTTAAACATGCGGTTCCCTGTTAAGCCGGATAGAGTAGAACGCAAGATTCACAATGTTGCTGCCGAACGGCCACCTTTCCGAGCCACCACTACTTCCATGGGCCGCAGTCTCGCTGTTGCTCAGAACGGAGAGGAAGACGACGAGGGCGATGAATCTGAGCCAGTGGTTGGCAAGGGAAAGCAACGCGCTGTGGATACACGCTCTAGGCGGGGGCAGAAACGCGTGGCAGAAACTATCGCTGGGAAGGGCAAACAACGCGCCGGGGAGCCAAGCTCCAGCAGATCGAAGAAACGCCGCGGCGAAGAACCTGTCATGCTGGACGACAGCGAGGTTGACGAGGGTGTCGTACAACAGGACGAGGACTCGATGGACGTCGATGAGCAGGAAGTCACGGAAGCTATCCACGAACGAACCAGCCTCGGCAAACGTCGGGCGTCGATAGCGGTCGACGACGAACGGCCATTGAAGAAGACGAAGACAAAGCCAGGAAAGTCGAGCGCCAAGGCCGGCACAAGTGGGCAACGCTCGCGCACACACCAGCAGACCTCCGCGGAAGCTGGTCCCAGTCGCCGGTCACCTACTCCCCCGCCTCGACCTCAGCCGGACAGCTCTCGCTCCAAGACGCAGACACTGCAGGGACAACATACGACCTTGCGTCGGTCGGCCCGGATAGGTGCTGCGGCACAGTCCACGACTCTCGGTGCATCAAAGCCGGTTGTACGTCGGCGTACCTAGAAGCCTTCTAGTCGCTGTGGCTATTCGAACGGGACTAATGAGAACGCTTGCTATGGATAGGGAAGTTTGGTCTTTGGGGCAGTAGTATGGGAGTTACTTCAAGCAAGCTGGGTGGTGTTCCGAACTGACTCGTGTATATGGATCCTGTCGAAGGTTTCAGGAGTTTCGGGATGCATGCTCAGACATTGGATGGGTAGGATCAATAGTATTGTACTCGTGAAAGCGAATTGTTGCATCATGTCTGACGTCTGACTTGTATTACTGGCAAGCGATGAATGTGTGCTACTTTATGTACGTTGTGAATGCTCATCTTTGCTGATCAACATTACACATAATGTACAGCTAATATTTTGACGCAGACGGTGAAGCGAGAGCGATCTCGGACGAGTGCTTGCACTAATTATAGTGATTGACCGCGCTCTGCGATGACCTCCGAGCGCATCCTCGTGTCAATCTTGCAAGTAAAATACGATGGTTCTGTTACTAATGATTTGGTTTTGTGAGAAGGCCGAGCAAACTGAGCTAATATACAACGCAAAGTTCAAGTAATACACAAGACATTAAAGTGAGTGGGGCAATGAAGCGGTATAAATCTAATCACGCATTCAAAATTTTGAGAATTATATCCTTCTACGTCTAGTCGGCATCTTGTCGACCACCCTCTCGTTCTCCAAGGATTTTAACTCGCTTGGTATCGATCGCTGACGTTGTCATCACTAGCCAAATTCTCCTTGATCTCCTCGACATCGACACGCTGCCACGCCTCGCAAGATTGGAGGATATGCCTGTTCCCCGACCGCTCGCTCTTGAAGGTACTGTTGCAAGCGGGACAAACCCACTCAATCTTGAGGTGATGATCTTCAATGTGCCTCGCCGCTGAAGAAAAATTGCTTGCCTGGCACCCCGGCCAGTAGCAACATGATGCATCACACCTGTGCTTCTGGGAGAGGTGGCGGCGCATCTGCAGCGCGCTGGAGCTGTGGGAGCAACCAGGCCATGGACAGTTGATATCGCCACCACGGTCGACAGCGTACGCCCTTGGATGTTCGGGGACTGCAGTGCTTGCGGGATTGATGTTCGTCTTGGCGGAGGGGGGCTGTCGCGACGCCAACGTGGCTCGTTTGCGCTTCTCACCCGCGATTGCAGATGAGGGAATACTATTCTGCAAATGAGCCTTATCTCCTTTGATGGCTTCAGGCCTAGTTTGCTGCCTGGACTTCCGCTTCCGAGAAGCTCTGCTGGGAGCCCGAGCATTTCGGCATCAAATGAGCATGCCAGTGCCTCTGCCGTCGTTGATCTGCAGACGAAAGGACTCGTCTCGTCTTATGGAGCCTATATGCGCATACTGTTCCCGCGGGACATGTGGGCTCGCCGATTGTACATGTTTTTCTTTGTCCGAGCTTTGTTTGGGAGTAGGCATCGCATTAATGTCAGAGAAAGCGAGGCCTGGAGATGTCTCCAGTGTCTAATGAGAGGCGGCCGTCTTATCTTGTGACAGCAGGCTAGCAGAGACCGAGTCCGTCGTGCAACTTTCGAGCCGAGCACTCCACTTGGGTCGAACGCAACGAACATGAACATCACAGCCACCACGCGCAGAGTGCAGTTTCGCTTGTGGTGTTGAAGTGATCACGATATCTTCGCCAAATGTTTCGGCAAGAGGAAACTGAGGCCACGGTATATCGAACTTCACTGGGTGTGGAGGCGCTATACAATCATTATCGTTCAACGTTGTCTGCGAGAGGGTTTTTTCGGATTTTGACGCCGTTGCTTTCTCTGCCTCGGGTGAGGCGATACTTGTAATCGCTGTCCATGAAATCGCTGCGCGGAAAGCTCGTTCAAATATTATCGACGCGCCCAGCGCGTCGCATATAGTCGGCGTTTTGGCATCCTGTCCATTTCCCGTACGTGTAAACGCACCGTTCGCAGAACCTAAATGCCTAAGACACACCTTGTTTCGTAGAACCCACACCAGCCAACATGTTACAACCATCATGAAGAGCATAACGCCACCGGCAGCACAGACTACCCTCGAAGGCACACGAGTGCCAGGATACGAACCGAGTTGACGAAGAAAAGCGGGACCCGAAGGAACGTCCACAACATCCGTGGCTATGAAACGGAAAGGCTGAAAGAAAGGATCGGCAGGTGACATAGTGATGCGATACACGTTAGGCTGTGTGCAAGCAGTGAGCGGGGGATGTGGGCGGAGAAAAGAGAGAGTCGGTGTGTGGAGTCCTTATTTAGCGGCGGCGGCGACTGGCATGTTGGAATGGAACGGCATGTCACCGAAGGTGCAGATGTCGATGGCCGACAGCGTTGACAGTCTGTCTTGATCGATCATCAGCTCTTCTCGATGTCGATGCTACTGCCAAATAATGCAGTCAGCCGCGCACAATGGATACAAGCAAGGCAGAGCCGCGAAAGAGAGCACCCTGTTACGCTGCAGGTTGGACATCAAGGTCAAGCGTGCTCGAGCTCGAGTTTCATGTGTTTGTTCACGGGAGCAAGACCCTTCTATGATAGACAGGTGAACAGTAGCAGTAATTGACAGTAGCCAGGCCACAACGTGCCGTAGGGACGCGGACAGTACAGTGGAGGAGCAACACTTGAAGCTTGAATGGTCGACGTCGTATGTTTCCAGGATGACTTGTTAGGCCTTGGGAATTCCTCGCAAACATACGTTTCGCTACCTTCGCTGCGCCATTCTAGGAAGGAGAGAAGTCGATTTTATGGGTTGCGAACGATGCTGAGCACTAGATTATCCACGCCCCTTCCAGCGGAAACCTGATCGCAACCTTCACCATTGCGACGACACAATATTGGCAAGATTCGCAATTTCTGCTATCGCAGAGACAGTAGTTCCGGCGAGGAGAAATCAAGCACATGCGAGGATTGCGCAACAAAAATAGCTAGCCGATCGGTGTGAGCGCCGCTGTGATCATACTACGAGCCTGCGGATACATGTTCCCGGCTTGTATTCCCAGAACGGGGACACTGCAAGAGAATACACGCCTAGATCATCTTGCTGGACGAAGGGAGGCTTCACGAACACCACAGCATGGAACACCTTCTCCACTTCGAGGTCGTCCTTCGTGGAGGCTTCCAGCGACGCGACCGCATCCTCTCACGTTGCGATAACGGGATCGCACATAGGATAGACGACTCGGAGTCGAATGTCGAGAATGTGGGGAGGCGAGTAGCGCAAGCTGGGGCTAGGACAGTAGGCAGGCCGTGATCACCGTCGTTCGAGCTGCTGTCTGAGGCATGGATAACATGGGGAGGTGCCTTGTTGAGAATCACTTGGTGGACGTGGAACTTTGCATTGTCAGACGAGACGAGAGCAATGTCAGCCATAGGTCGACGGAAAGGCGAGGATGCAAAGGAAGCCGTGGCCATGTACACCGTTAACGTTGACCTGCGCGTCCGTGGCCTCCGTCGTTGGGCGCTCTGAAACAGATGAGCGCTCGTGCTAATAGTAAGTCACGACCGCGCTCGTCGACGCCCGACTCTTCCGCGGTGACTTACAGACGCATCCTCGTGTCAATCTTGCGCATAAAATATGATGATTCTGTTACTATGTGAATTGATTTTGTGAGAAGGCCGAGCAAATTGATCTAATGTACAATGCAAAGTCTAAGTAGTACACAAGACAATAGTACAGTGGGTGAGGAAATGAAACGGTATAAATATTATCATGCATCCGAATATTAAGAATCATATCTTTCTACGCTTAGTCGGCCTCTCATTCCCCAAGGACTTAGACTCGCTTTGAATCGATCGCTGACCGTTGTCATCACTGGTCCAATTCTCCTTGACCTCCTCGACATCGACACGCTGCCACGCCTCGCACGATCGACGGATATGCCTGTTTCCCGACCGTTCGCTTTTGAAGGTGCTGTTGCAAGCAGGACAAATCCATTCAATCTCGAGGTGATAATCGTCAATGTGCCTCGGCGCAGAAGAGAAATGGCTTGCCTGGCACCCCGGCCAGTAGCAAGACGAGGCATCCCCGGGCCGCCTGTGCTTGTTAGAAAGGTGGTGGCGCATTTGCAGCACGCCCGCGCTGTGGCTGCACCCAGGCCATGGACACTCGATATCGCCATGACGGTCTACAGCGTACACCCTTGGCCGTTTAAGGACTGCAGTATTTGCAGGATTGACGTCGGCCTTCGTTGAGGGGGGTTGTCGCGACGCCAACGTGGCTCGTTTGCGCTTCCCGTCCCGGACTGAAGATGAGGGAATGTTATTGTGCAGATCAGCCTTGCTTCCTTTGACAGCTTGAGGCCTAGTTCGTTGCTTGCACCTCCGCTTCCGAGAAGTTCCAGTGGGACCCTCGGCATCGGATGGGGCGTATGACGAATCTGAACTGGAGGATGACCGCGATGGGGAGCGAGAGGACGGTCGGCTAGGAGAGGAGCCGCGAGAAATTGCAGCAGACGAAGCATGAGAGCATGCTGCATGAGATTCGCACGAGCTGGTGTGTGAGTCGGCCTCGACCGGCGGAGCCGCCGCGGCGCATATCACCTCTTCTCCGCTGACAGTCGCCTGACGCGTTGGGCTGGCCCTGCTCGGCGATGTTGAAGAGAGCGGATCCCGTATTGACCTACACAATTAAAGATCAGTATGTCATGCCCCAACATGCCTCTGTTTCGCTACTCACTTCCACGCAGAAGGCCGTCCGGAGCCTCCTTGTCGCCGGGAACCCTCGCCTGTACCGGCTTGCACGTGGTCACGTAAAACCTTAGGGCTACAGATGAATGAATCAGCTACATTCCATTGATAACACATGGCGCATACCTCTGCGATCTAACACGTTGGAGGACAGCCTTAGTGGACTCACGAGATGGACCCACAGCATATCGATCCCCTCGATCCTCTACTACACCGGCAATGCCAATAGAGCTCGCTGCGACGGGGTCGTGAGCTGAGAATCTCATGGAAGCAGCGACATAGTCTTCCTGGAGAGGTTGGCGCGGGAAGATGAATGGCTCGGAAGCGGGTTTTCGGATGGACATTGGCGGCGCCGACCAGTTCATGTTCATGCCGAACCGCTTCTCGAGAATGGAGGCACTAAATGCAACTCAATGTCAATGCCAAGTCTCAGATATTCTCGGCAATACTCACTATGATGCCCTATCCGCAAACCCATCCAGACACCTCTCTCGCTCGTACTCCAAAACGAGCGCGAAATCGAAGTCTCGCTCATGCACAGCAGACAGTTCCTTTTGAATGCGCGAGTCATCTCGGCCTGCCTTCGACTCCGGATTTGCTGAAAGGAGGAAACTCCAGTAACTGTAGTTCACGCAGATATTATGAGTTTCCTGACTACGTGGACACAATTCGGTACATACCTTTCATCGCAGAATGAGTCTAAGACGGCGCCAGAGTGTTCAGCACGTGGGAGAAAAATGTCTTCCTCATTCACACCGCGCTCCCATATCGTGTCACCTAGTTCGGCGGGAACTAGCACTGGATAGCCAACCACCAGGCTATCCGATTCACAGGCTACCTCCGATAGATTGGAATGGGAGTGCAGGCCATTGGACGATGAAAGAATGGAGTCGGCGCCTGTCTGGAGTGGCGTTGAGCCACTTGGCCACTCGGAGTGGCCATCGATCAGTAGGTGGGATCTGTATGCTTATGAATGAGCGCTGCGCAGTGACTATAAAAGAAGGCGATGCATACCGTTGTCCGTAGTCCGACTCACGAGCGCGAGGGGCAGGCTGAGGTGGTATGTTGTCTTTCAAATCGGTGTCCGCTTTAAAAGCAACATTACCCTCGGAGGCCGCTTCATCGCCTGCCGTGTTCGACGATGCGGAGTGGTTGCAGTCCACTGCGCGATAGATGAGCTATTGTTTCAATCGCACTGTAGAGGTAGTGAACGATAGCGTACTCAGCAATGCAAGCGCCTTTGTTGTCTAGCGAAGCTTCGGCCCAATAATCACCTTGTGTCCTGGCCGTCGAGTTTGATTGCGAGGTGGAGGACGATGCAACGCGAGCTTGGGCCATCTCACAGAGTTTAAAGCAAAATGGCAATTGGAGGAAAGAGTCCGGAGAGTGTTTGACACAAGAGACAAAGCGGAAGGAAGATTCACGTCTGCGTCGGAGAGTACGTGACAGCTGTGGCAGTCAAGAAGAGAACAGCACCGGGTAGATATAGGGCGAGCGCGGTACGCGTGGGGCGTGCATTCAACGCCTCAACAAATCGCCGAGCCCAACCCAACGCGTTTACACGCAGTGGCCCTTGATCAATTGTGTGTGGCACACCGAACACGTTGCCATGTATTCGCCGGCGCGTCGTGGCGTACCAATCAATATCTAGATAGGAAGATCCTTGAGCGGTACTTAGCCACCGGAGCCGATGCCTCCGCGCTCAGCCTGTGGCCGCAGGGCTCAGCACCGCCAAAATCCTAAACGGAACCGCAATAAACGGCGGTGGCAAGCTCTTCGTGTTTCTCAACGCTCAAAACCGCGTCAACAAGACGCCTGAGGTGAGCTTTGTTGCGATGGAAGATCTGCAGAGAATCATGGATCACAGCAGTCGATGGAAGGATTCATGACACTCACGGCGCTCATCTTAGACGTGAGACGGGTTTCAAGCCGATAAGTGGATGGTAGAACGTGTGATATTTTGAAATGCATACAAGATCTTATATAACGTTGGCCGAACACGGATGGGATTACCTTCGGCGGTTCGCAGAGTCCTCAGAGTCTGTCGACAGGTTCCACTGAGATGTCGCCGGTGGGAATTGAGTGCCTCGAGCGTACGAATGATAACTTGGCGAGAATAGAGAGTGAATTTACTATATGAGTTGAGAGCCCATGGTAGCCGACACAGATCTGAAGGTGCACGCAACGTGGCATGAACACTCCTGCTGCTGGCGCAGGCTTATAGTCTTTTCACCGAACAGTAACGCGTAAATGAGCCGGACTGTGGCTGATGGGAAGGAATTGTGACGAATTGAATATTCGGATAGACACTCCACACACCGTCAATGCCATAGCTTGATTACTTTGTACAGCACACTCCTGCTGGTGCAAGACATAGGTAGTCACCATCGATGCTGATTACAGATGTCAGGACTGCAGAACCCGAAGATATGGTGCTTGTTCATGGCATTTCGTGTCGATAGCCCTCTCTCCTTCGAACATTGGGAGAGTGAGATAGAGGGTATCGGCTAGGCGCTTTGGAGAGGCAACAGCGTATTATGATATAAATGATGTACTTAATGTACTGGCTAAGGGGAAACAAGTGAGACACTCCAGATGACTGACGTTTTGAACGTCGGGGCCGCCGTTGAGCACCACTTTCAGTCACAGCAGGATTATTTGACGAGAATAAGTCATAAAGATGGAACCAACCAGCCTGCATTGTCAGAATAAGAAGTTCCTGCTGATCCTTGAGAACCTGAGAGCGAATACGAGCTGGTCGCAATGGTCGCGGTCGAACGGTGTACTCTGTGCCACGGGCGCTTGTTCAAGACAACGCGGTCACATGATTGAACGCGTAAAATGTCACGAGCAAGCACATCGCACTGCATGTTGAGCGTTGTTCAGTAATGACGTTGTCCATGGGTATCTTATTTCCAGGGAAAGTCGAATATGCTAGACTTGGTTGCGTACGCGAACATTTTCATGTGAATGCCATGAGACACGCTCTGATATTCACATACGTCGCGAGTCATTGAGATATCGTGAATCTGTATATCTTCTTGCTCATAAAGCCACTAGAAAATTAAGATGTTTTGATGCAACAGCATGTGAAAGTCTGAAAACCGCGTGCTTCTCAGCGCTGAGCTCATGTAGCCATGTGCGAGAAATAGATCATTGCGCATCCTGCTTTGTATTGATCGCACATTTGTCGAGTACATATATATTACAGGATTCCGTAGTGTGATGATTATATAGACAGTATCAAAAACAAAGTAGAAGATGAAGCAAACGAAATGTGACGCGGCTAGCGTACAATTATTGGGATCGGACGTGTTTGTATGGCTTCTTCCGCGAGGATTGATCCAAGTTCTCGTCCGCAGGCCGTTTGCGGGCAGCTTTGGAGGCTCTCTGAGGCCTTCGTGCTTCTTGTGAACCCTTTAAGCCGCTACGAGCCAACTCAATCTCATCATCTTCTTCGACAGCGTTACCAGAGACGCAATCATGCTTCGTCTTGAGGTGTCGCGCGAGCGAATCGACCCTAGAGAATGAGAGATTGCATCCGACTGAAGGACATCTCCACTTTATGCAGAGGTGATTGCGCTCAACGTGCCTTTTAAGGTTGGAAAAGCCACGCGTTCTGTCGCATTCGTCCCATCTGCAGCTGTCACCGAGCACATGAGCAGTGCGGATGTGCACCCACATGTCCAGCGGGCTGCAAGAATGGGTGCAGGGCAGCAACCCAGGCGTCGCATGTCTCCACTGGCAAACGACAGAGTCCGCTGTAGCGACGCGTAAGTGGTCGGATATTTTAAGTTCCGAGTCATCAGAGCCAGAGGCTGTGGGTGAGGACATGGTCGGTGAATGAGCCCGCGAGGCAGGTTCTTTGACCAATGCTGGGGCTGGGGATCTTCTTGACCGTATATGTCTCATGGTTGCTGTGGTAGATACATTACCAACCGCGTTCAATGACGCAGCCACGAGTGGCTCTCTATCGCTACAAGATGAATAACGATAATGTCAGGAACAGCTTGCATAGAATAGACGTATGCGACGTACGCGAGAGTGCGTACACTCAAGCTCTTATCCTTGCAGGCTTTTGGCTGACTGGTGGCCGGTGTATTCATTGTAGCTGGCGGAATACTGGGACTGCCGGATGCTTTGTTGAGAAGCGCGTGTCCTTGAGGCACCATCGCACTGAAGTCTAGCATATGAACAGCTGCGATGCGACATAGTGACGAGACGTACCTCTGAGACATGCTCTGGTGCGACTTCATTGATCTCCCAGCAATAGCATCTTGAGGCGCACGGTTTTCTGAATCATTCAAGTCGTGGTCGTCCGTCTCGCGCATGTTCCATAGGAGTGGCGGAGCTTGCTGCTCGATGATGTTTGTTATTGATGGACCTGACCAATGGGCTTCTGCGTCGCGATACGCCGTGGATTTGCTAACGCTATGCATATTCCAGAGTCAGCCCTGTTGTGGTACCTCCACGTGAAACACATACCTTGCAACCCGGTAGCCCTCAGAAAGATCCCGGCGCCTTGATTGTCTGTCCTTGAGCAGTGATGTCTCAAAGTCATGAATGCCTGTAGTGGACTTTTTGTGAGAAATGAGCGGACCAACATGCCGTAACGCCCTCGAACCTTCTGGGTCAAGGAAGTCCCAATGTCTGATTGATGCATGCAGACTGGATTAGTCACAGAGCAGAAGATAGTTGACCGGCCACACACCTGTCCCTTTCCGAACTGTCCTCTCCCTCAGGGAGCTTGCTATGATCCTGCCAATCAATCACTCCTGCTCCCAATTCTTGAAATTCTTCCGGTGGGAGTACTTCCTGGAAATAGAGGATATCGTCCAGTGTGTACGGAAGTGGTGGCATGCAGGCAGATGGGAAGAGGATGGTAGGGACGACCGGAGTGGCGTCGGCGCTCGTCTGAGAAGAGGTTGAGCCACTCGGCCGTGCGGAGTGGCGGCGGGCCACACGGCGTCGCGGCATTTGCAAACTGATTCTACTATTGAGTATCTGGTGCCCCACGAAGACAATATAAGAGCGTGATGCGTACGATGAAGTGGCGCACTCCCCGCCGGAGTCAAGAATAGTCTTTGGCGGTGCAATTGGTTCTGTTGTGTCGCCCGCATCGGAAGCAATGAGCATCGTTGCTGCTAGCTCCTGACTTTGGGATGGAGAAGGTAAGACTTCTTTCGAGCTGAGAATGTTTCGTGAGTCGTTCTATTCATTGACTTTGCGACAGGATAGAGTCAACGTACTCGGGGATCGCAGGTACGCTGTGGGTGCTCGAACTGGATGAACTAGACATTTCGCCTTGCCTTCGGAGCTCTGTAGTCGACTGTTGAGGACGCTGACACGGCTGAGCCGTAAGAGTAGACGCGTGTGTGGCGAGGACAGAGTGTGCAGTAGCCATTGACAACTGTACGAGTATAAACTGCTGAAGATTAGAGGATCAAAGGAGTTTGTTCGCGGTTCAGAGAAGGACAATGTCCGCTTGAACGGTACGCGGTTTAAACGTAGGGACGAATCACGCACGCGACGCGTCCACACGTCGCGTCGCGTCGCGAAATTCAACAAGGTCACGCACACAGGCTCTTGGACAACGCGCATGACAGAATATCGTTCGTTTGGTTCGGGGATCTCCTCGGGCACGATATAGATAGTAAGGACGCTGGATGATGGCTCATCCAGCGGTAGACAGCATTATGCGCCTAATTTGGTTCCGAGACGAGCAAAATGACGGTCGGATGCCGCGCCGAATGGCGTCCGAGTGGCGGCAGCATGCACACCGCGTGTTCTTGGCGCTTGATGGGTTTCGGATGGTAACACATGCTAAAGATCTGTAATGATGTCCGTGGGGATTTTGAGGACAGAGCAGAAAAATATAATTTCGGCGAGCATGCCTAGTTCAGATGGTGCGAAAGGTAAAAAAGAGGAGCAATGACACTCGTTGGAGTATGAGCTGATAAGAGCTGTGTGAACTTCGCGGCTTACCAGTCTGCCAAGGAAGGATCATTGGGAGACGGTAAATGAGGAGTCCCGTTCGCAAATTCATGGACTTTGGTTATCAGACATTCAATTTCTTTTCTAAGGATGGATGATAAATAATTCAGCGATTGCGCGGCTACCATCTGAATCGGCAATTTACCAATGGTTCAAAGTCAAGGTTAAGCGCCAGAGTGACGACGTTGCGTGGAGATTATCTATGAATGTCTATAAGAAAATGAGTACTTACATTCATAGAGATGGTTTGCCGACACGTCAGAACATATATACATGGATATGTGCACATTTAATCGTGATAGAGGTAGGTCATGGTGAGCGCGCCAGCAGAACGTTCACTTCCAAACGTTACGCACCTACGCGCATTCACTGCGGTAGTACTTGGATTATTTAAGTAGAGAGCATAACTGGTAAAGGTGCATGGTACGATATGCCAAACGGAATCCGGCCTGAGATCTTGGTTGAAATCCTTTGTTCCTTTCGGACCGGTGGCTTGCTGATCGAGGACTCCTAGAGCGCTTTTGTCTCGTAGTTTGCTGACTTCGTGAGCACATTTGGCACACTAAGATTGTCCTCGTGCTTGATCACTCGAAAGGTAAAGCCATCTGTCGAAGAAAGCTGGTCGACGATCACCATCCTAATCATCCGACTCTCCGAGATAGTCACCTGAACTGAAGTCTCCGAACGTAGCGTTGTCACCGATCCGTAACGTGGTTGTTCCACTCGACGCTATAGATGATAACGTATCTGCTCGGTCGGAGCGAGCTAACACTTGTGAAATCGCAGTGCTTGAGCGGTGCCGGTGAACGTTAAAGATCGGAGGGTCCGCGATCAAACTTTACCCCGTATGGCAACAGTCGGTCAGGCTTGGGCGGTATTCACTATCTTTGGGGCAACGCTGGGATCAAAAGCCGGCACTGATGGCACCTTCACACTCAGACATACGGAGCATCGAAATATATAACAAAAGGAAGACCCAGATCAAGTTGGCACTGGTGACGCTACAATGCAGGACCGACGAACGATGAAGTGGAGAAGAGAGAGATTTAGTATTGGCGATGACGATGGACAAGGGATCACAGAACATGGCTTGGCCGGTGATTTCAAGCATTTGCGTAGGCACTGACTTCTTGCACAGCCAGAGGATATTGCCTACGATATAGCTTCATAATGAAATGTAGACAGCGCAAGCCTCAAGGTCGGCATTGCCTGAGCATCCTGCAGTCAGTGCCACAACACAAAATCACTGTCAACTGCTCAGATTGCTGTCCGTCGTGCCGTTCATCAACACCATCCACTCTCAGGTTCCTGGTGGTCACTCCAGTGTCCAAACTTCTCAACCCTGCCGTTTGAGTCAGATCATCCAATTTCCACAGACATGGCACGTTATATTCATGAACATTCATATATCGTCTTATCAGAGAAACTGCAACTAGAGAAGGAACCGTAATCGATATACAATTATGCTAGGACCACTGTGCTAGTATGCACGTAACATCACTGATGATGAATTATACTTGTACAAGTGAAGCAATGGAAAAACGAAGAAAGAAACCCATAATAAGACAATGCCTCCACATCTAATGCCTCTTCCGCTTCACCGATTGATCATCTTGGTCATTCAATGGACGGTGAGTGCCCTCACACGATCCAGAATCTTGAGCAGGCTCACCTGTGGCTGAAACCCGATTGCTTCTAGATGATTCTTCTGCACGACCTGACATGCGGGCTCGAGCAGCTGAGCGAGTCTCAAAGTCATCCCGTTTTGTAGATGAATCGTTTCCGCTCCATATTGGCTCTCGATCCTCTTCTCTTCAGCGCGCCGCACGCGAGGGGCAGCTTTACGACATTGCATAGGCCTCACTTTCTTCGGCGTCGGCACTCGCATCCTTGACCGAAGCCTTTGCCTCGTTATACTCCTTCGCTGGACGGAGGGGCTTCATGGGTCTCGTGCGTGGCAGAACTGCCCTCCGATGTCGCCCGAGATTGGGAAGGACCATCACGACCTTCCGAGACCTCGGATTCCGGGGGCCCAGTGAAAGCGCGAGCCTCTGAGGCAAGCTCAGACGCGTCTTCTCTCTCCAATCCCAACAGACCTGCCAGCGTTTGAAATTCCGACAGTCCCGTCACGTCCTGCAGATCGTCCAAAATTCCTTTCTACGTCAACTCTGAGGGTACAGCCGAAGTGGGACAACTTCCGCAGGTTTTCCTGAGTCGTCGATGGGAACAGTTCTACTGAAATATGTTTACACCATCCACATTGAACAGGCGGCTGGTTGTGAATCTTCAGGTGCCTGTAAAGCCCGATTTGCATCCTCTTCTTGGTCTTGCAGTCCTGCCAGCAACAAGAAACATTGACAGCTTTGTGATCGAAGTGCAGGCTCTTGCAATGCTCGTGGAAATCCTCCCAGCTTTTGGATATGTGACCGCAGGGTCTGTTTTCCTCAATGAGCCACCACCTGCAAAGGTATTCACCGGTCTCGCCCGCGTCCCCAGTATGCTCGTCATTGCCATGCTGTCGTGCAGCTTGTTGATTTGAGTTAGTTGCTGTCAAGGTCATACCCAGAGAAAATACGTGTGACTGCTGCGGAGGAGGCACGGAGCCAGAGTGGGGATAGCCGCCGTGCGGGGAGATCTCTAGGTCAGCAGGAGTATGCAAGGGATGAGACGGGTATGCCAGGGCAGCTGTGTATGGGCCCGCGGAAAAGGAGGATGCAACCGGAGGCAAGACTGCAGGAGCTGGCGATTGGCTTGCCGCTGGCGTGTTTTCGAACGGTGGGTAACTCCAGGTGTCGTAGGACCTGGATGGGCCCGCGACAGGGACGGACGGCGGTGCCACGAAAGCATGCACCTGTTGGGATGAAGAACTTGCGATCGAATTATGGGCCCGCGATGACATAGATCCACCATTCGTGCCGAGAGGAGACTCAGCTAGAAGTATGGGATCAATCTTGCTGATATCGAAGTCGTTCGCAGGAATGGACAGATGGTGTTCAAGTCCCAGCAAAGGAGAAGCACCAGGTGTATATACTGCGAGAGGAGGTCCTGGCTCGGTGGCATTGTGGCGAGAGCGTTTTGAAGGACGTCCGACTGCCTCATCCGTAGCGCCGTTGGGCATATACATCTCGATCTTGGGCTTCGCGAGGCGCCAAGTGGCAGCGGGGAAGGGATCATCTGCACCTTCTGCTACCGGTGCAGCTCGAAATGGAGTGGTCTGGAAACCTGGTGGATAGGCGGACTGAGGCATACGCATATACTCCGGAGCTACTGGAGCTTGCGCAATCTGCCCGTTCCCATACCGCTGTGCTCTGACGAACGAGTACAACTTATCTTATCATCAGAGTAGGGCTAAAAATGTAGCATAGTATACGTACTGTGTCATGAACATGTCGGCCCCCATATTGTAAGATGGGTGAAGGAAATTTCGGCCATTGCTACCCAAGAAAATTGACGCAGGTAAAGGATGAGCTGCTGTATACAGAGGACACAGGGCAGGATTCTACGCACGATGGTGACGGTCCGGCAAAGCTTGGGCACAGTCATGAATGCCTATAGTGGAGTTTTTGTGAGAAATGAGTGGACCAGCATGCAATAATGCCACTGAACCTTCTGCGTCAAGGAAATCCCAATGACTGATTGGTGCATGCAGACTGGCTTAGTCACTGAGCAGAAGATAATTGATCAGCCACACACCTGTCCTTTTCCAAACCATCTTCTCCCTCAGGGAGCTTGCTGTGATCCTTCCAATCAATCCCTCCTGCTCCTAAGTCTTGAAGTTCTTCTGACGTGAGCACTTCCTGGAAATAAAGGATGTCGTCGAGATTGTACGGAAGTGGCGGCATCCAGGCAGATGGGAAGGGGAGGGCGCGGACAAGCGGAGTGGCGTCGGCGCTCGTCTGAGGTGGGGTTGAGCCACTCGGCCGTGGGGAGTGGCGGCGGGCCACACGGCGTTGCGGTGTATGCGAACTGATTTGATATGAGTATCCGGTGCTCCATGAAAGCAATATAAGAGCGCGGTATGTACGACGAAGCGACGCGCTCCCGGCCAGCGTCAGGAATAGTCTCTGATGGTACGTGTTCTTGCGATGTATAACCCGCATCGGAAGCAATGCGCATCGTTGCTGCTGGCTCCTGACTTTGGGATGGAGAAGGCAAGACTTCTTTCGAGCTGAGAATATTCCGTGAGTCGTTCCATTCATTGCATTTTCAGACAACGTAGGATCAACGTACTCAGGGATGGCAGGGACGTTGGGCGCGCTCGAAGTGGACGAACTAGATGGTTGTCCATGCCTTTGCAGCTCCATAGTCGACCGTTGACGATGCTGATATAGTTGAGCTGTGGACGTAGATCCATGCGTAGCGATAACGGAGTGTGCAGTAGCCATTGATAGCTGTAGGAGTAGAAGTTGCTGAAGATGAAAGGACGAAAATAGTTTGTTCGCGGCTCGGAGAAGGACAATGTTCGCTTAAAAGGTACGCGGTTTTAATGTAGGGACGAATCGCGCACGCGACGCGTCCACATGTCGCGTCGCGTCGCGGAATTCGACAATGTCACGCACACAAGCTCTTGGACAACGCGCATGACAGAACACCCGTTCGTTTATGTTCGGGGGTCTCCTCGGGCACGACATAGATAGTAAGGACGCTGGGTATTGGCTCACCCAGCGGTGGACAGCATTGTGGGCCTAATTTGGTTCCGAGGGGAGCAAAATGACGGTCGGATGCCGCGCCGAATAGCGTCCGAGTGGCGGCAGCGTGCACACCGCGTGTTCTTGGCGTTTGATGGTTTTCGTATGGCAACACATGCTAGAGATCTGTAGTGATGTCGAGCATAAGAATATTGGTTCAACGAGCATGCCTGGTTCAGATGGTTCTGAAGGTAAAGAAGAGGAGCAATAACACTCACTGATGAGATCTGAGCTGATAAGAGCTGTGTGAACTTCGCGGCTTAGCAGTCTGCCAAGGAAGGATCAATGGGAGACGGTAAATGAGGAGTCCCGTTTGGAAATTCATGGACTTTGGTTATCAGATGTCCTGTTTCTTTTCTAAGGAGGGATGATAAAGCATTCAGCGATTGCGCGGCTACCATCTGAATCGGTATTGACCAATGGTCCAAAGTCAAGGTTAAGCGCCAGAGTGACGACGTTGCGTGGAGGTCATCTACGAATGTCTATAAGAAAACGAGTACTTACATTGTTAGATCTACCTCGATGACATGTCAGAACATGCATAACTGGATAGAACATGTGTAAATGGATATGTGCACTATCAATCGCAATAGAGGTAGGTCACGGTGAACGCGCCAAGAGATTATTCACTTCCAAACGCACCCTATGCACAATCATTGCGGTAGTACTTGGATTACCCAGGTAGATGGGATGATTGCTAAAGAATGAATGTACGGTATGCGGAACGGAACCCGGCCTAATACTGTCTTGGTGGAAATCCTTATTCTTTCGGTTGCTTGCTGGTCACGGACTGGAACGCTTTCGTCTCGTAAAAATGGTAGTTTTCTGGTTTCCAGAGCATATCTGGCACCGTAAGGATCGCCATTGCACTCGATTCCTGAAGAGCATAGGCCGTGTTATCGACGATCACCATCCTAATCATCCGACTCTCCGAGATAGTCACTCTAACTGGAGTCTTTGAAGGTAACATTGTCACCGATCCGTGCCACTCGACGTTATAGCATGATAGCGCATCTGTTCGGCTGGAGTAAGCAGTGGCACTTGTGAAATCGTGTTTGAGCGGTGCGAGTGAGTTTACAGATCGGACGGTCTGCGATCAAACTTTACTCCGAATGGCAACAGTCGGGCTTGGGCGGCATTTCACCATCTCTGGCATGAGACGGAAAGCTGGCAATTAATGGCACCTTCGCACATTCAGACACACGGAACATCAAGGTATACTACAAAAGGAAGATGCAGATTAAGTTGGGAGTGACGCTATGATGCAGGACCGACGAATGATGAATTGGAGAAGAGAGGGATTCAGTATCGATGATGACGATGGACAAGGAATCACAGAACATGACTTGGCTAGTGATTCTGAACGTTCAGTGAAGTAAGTTCATATGCCTAATCAAAGCATCTCGGCGGCTCAGTTTTTGACCACAGAAGTCGCATGGATACGGAACCCTGATCTCCTCATGCAAGTTGAGATGCCGCACAAGATCCTTTGGAAATCCATGACGGGTTTCGCACGAACCCCACTTGCATTTGACTTGAGAAGCTGTGATGTGTTCTTGCTCGATATGTTCCTGTACTTCGAGCCTCGTCCCCTTGAATGTGCAAGGGTACGCCCCTCGCCAACGACACTGTACGTTCGGTTGAGCGTTCGCCGGCAACGACTGGCGCATGCGGGCGACTCGCGCAAAGAATTTTGCGTCGCGACGAGGTGAAGAACGTGGTGTACGATGAGACGAACTAGCTGTCTTCTTTTTGCAATGACGCTTTTGCGGGCTGGCGGTCGTACAAGCTAGAGATCGAGACGCCTGCATGGGTATCCCCTGCGCTATACGATGCTGGCGGCGCGTTCGAGGCTCAGGCAAGGGGCGCGGGTGCTGCATGACATGAGGTTGCATGGATGAGTGAGGGAAACAAGGCGCGGCTTCCTGAGCTGTCTTATTCCATTTCTTCATGAATTCTTCATTCGGTACGTGAGCGAACGTGCGCCGATTTCCTCCCAGATTCGTTGAAAATTGCGGGATGGGACGTATGATTAACTTTTCGGTGCCCCAGTCCTGCTTCGAAGGCTCTTGCGCCCACATGTCCACTGACCACGGGTTTCTCAAGCAAGGAACAGTTGGTGGCCAGACCGCGGTTGTTCTGGCGTTGAGAGGAGATGGGTGGTCAGATTGTTTAATGGTGAGAATGATTATCAACGCACCGGAACTCGGCGTCACTCATATGTTGCACATTCTCCTTATCCATATGGAGTAGGCGAGGATTCAGGCATGTAACGTTGAGGGCGCGATGGCTTGATTGAGCGACGTAAGTTAGGAGACAATTGAGCGATAAATACTTGACTCACATTTCGTTTAAAGGTGTCGGTTTCTTTGTCACAGAAAAATCATGGCCGTCGACGGCCGCAGCTTTCTGGTGAAGGATGATTTGCATTGCGGAAGAAGCAAGAACTCGGAAGGAAGAGAAATTTGACGGGACCGGTCTCAGTGGCGAGGGAACTGAAGTATTCTCCAACGGGCTGCTGGGCCATCTTATATACCAGCAACCGGAACACGAGGTCCAAAATGAAGATCAAACGTCGCGGAGTAAGAATCACAATTACGCATTCTACGGAATGTGTCAATGTGGAGCAAAGCATTGGCGCGCTAGCGTGCCCAGAAAATTGATGACTTCTGTGATAGCCACAGGACAACCTGTGAGAAGTTGCGCGAGAAGCATTGCATATGCTTCTAAAACGTAAAGGGCCACTCAAAATGTCTCGGAGCATATAACGTATCGATGGCCCATTGATAGGCGCCTGGGGCTTGGACCGCCCTACTTGCCCTACGTCCATTGAGCTACTAGAGAAATGCTGCAGCTAGGACCTGCTTTACTTCAGCGTACGTGCCGCCAGAGGTAGAGCAATACCTTTGAGGCCCCCATGCGGGAGAAGGGACCGATAATGCTGTGCCAGGTGCCGCTCGCGTCGCGGAAATCCTATTACGCATGCCAGCGTGCCCAGAAACTGCTGACTTCTGATTTGGCCACTGGACAACGTGTGAAAATTCGCGTGAAACATCGGATATGGTTTTTAACCGCAAAGGACCATTCAAGATCGTCCGGAACATAGAACGTATTGATGGGCCCATTGATAGGCGCCTGGGGCTTGGACCGCCGTCCTTGTCCTATCTCCATCGAGTTCCTTGACAAATGCTGCAGCTAGGACCTCCTTTACTTCAGCCCGCATACTGCAGCAGTAGAGCAATATCTTTGAATGAACGCCCTCATACGGGAGAAGGGACCGGTAATGCTATGCGAGTCGCTCGGTGTGGCTATTGATGTCCGAAGTCGCAACACGTTGCACAGTGCAAGTGGCAACGCATGTTGACTCCAAAATGCTTCCGAATCCGATGCCTTTGTCCGCGTGATACCCCAGAATTTGATGGGAGGCTTGTTGCCGCTCGACGCCTCCTGCTCAGTGTGCCCTATCCATCGCCTCAGCTCGTCACCAACGACAGAGGTCTTGGGTACCCTGAGAAGGACTCGATAATGCAGTAGACTTACATGAACAACATACTAGCCAAGCTGCATGCTCACTTTGAGATCTCTTTCTCGCCGTCTTCCTTGTGGCGGTATCATGTCTCCTGGTCATCACCCGACCCCGTTGTTTCGGCCCTTGTCACCCGTTACACAGCACAGAAAGCCACGAAATCGACGCGAAACCTGTCGATACGGATGCGCTGCAGACTGGCCGGGTAAAGCAGCATCCTATGAGTCATAATCGTTCCACTTCGCCGAGAGCGCCACTTATACTGTGGACTGCGAAGACATACCAATAGACGTGAGTAGCCTTCCATGTCTCAATCGAATATTATCTCACCTGCTACCATCTCTCGGCCGCACGGTACAGCATCGACAAAACGATTCAACGCCGGCGCCCCATCGTTGGATTTTTGACTGAGCCACTCCCTCCCTGAACTTCGCTTCATGCCCGAGTCAGACTCTCCTTTGATCCGCATATCCGACGCTGTCGACATCAGATTCAAAGATGTTCCTCCCAGCTAAGAGCGTCCGTTGCATATACAGAGCGTCCAGTACCAGCTCTCACAGGCGCCCATCGAACATCATAGACGCCCATAGATCTAAACTCGGTGAGGGACACAGCCGCGGGCTTTGGACTTACTAGTCTTTCCATTTATGCCGATATTCTGCGTTTTTCTTTCAGTGAGTTCAATGTTGTGGGGGTTGAACTTGCTATGACTCTTCCTGCGCACTTCATCCACGTAGATCACAAAGCTCCTGATCAATACTCATCAATAATTGTTACACACAGTGTCGCATGGACAACTATGCGCACAACGTATCCTTTCGCCTCGCAGTCACAGGTCAGTCGAGAACAACATTATAGATTATGAAGCCAAAGTGCAAAGTAGGACTCTAGAATGTAGCAATACTCCAGCAATACTCCAGCAATACTCCAGCAACCAGCAGATGACAGAACGCAGAAAACCATGCAGCATGTAACATTCACTCCTCGCTCTCATAGCCCTCCTCGTCCACTGCCGCCGCCTGCTTGCTCTTCGCCTTCTCACTCTCCGGATGGCTAACCAACTCCACAACCAACTGCCCCCCTGTCTTCAGCATGTCCACATCACCGAGCCTCTTTGCCGGCTGCCACTCGATCTCCTTCCTTGGGTATGCCAGCACGAGCTTGAACCCCCACCACTGCTCCGGCGTGCGCCCCGATTGTCTTATCTCCTCAACGAGTCCTTCTTCCCCAGGCGCCGCGCCGCTCAAAGGGACCTGCGGGTCGCCCACTTCGCTGAGCTCCGCCGGTATGAACAAAGAGTCCGCATGCGCGTAGAGCGACGTCATCGTATCCGCGTCGCCGAAGAACCGTACTGCCCGCCGCCCGTCGGGCATCCGCAAGCCTACGCGCATTGTCTTTCCCCTGCCCGTTTCCCCCGGCCGCGGCTCGCGCAGCACGAGCGCGCGCCCGCCGTACCTGCGCCACGCCATCCGATGCTCCTCCCACGCCTTTCGCTTCTCCTCCGCGTGCATCGCTTCCTCGCGCGCCCTCTCTTCCGCCTCCGCATACAGCCGCCGCTCTTCTTCCGCCCTACGCTCTTCCTCCATCCGGCGCAACACCCGCTCCTCATCGCGTTTGCGACTTTCTTCGAACGCCCGGTCCTGCTCGGCTCGTAATGCGCGTTCTCTCTCCCGCTCTCGCGCCTGTGCACGTATGCGCTCGAGGAAGGGCTTGACCCGGGGCAGAACTTGCTCGTTCAGATGGGTCACGAGCGTCTGTGCCGCGGTGGGTGCAGACGTGGAAGGAATCGATGGTCCCTGATGCCGTGAGAGGACAGTCATAGTAGGAGTAGAAGACGCGCCAGAGCCAGCGATTCGGCGAGGCTGAAGAGCGATGAAGGCGACGAAGGGGTATGTGGTTGCTTGCAGTTTGTGGGACGCTGCATAGCAAGATAAATATGAGGATAACCAGAGGCGATATAGACGTACCACTCCATGCTTCCTTGTCCCTGATATCCCCACCCCAGACAATGATGTCGTTATCCTGAATGACCTTTATGAATGATGGGTCTGTCAAGGTGCTTCTATTCAATGTGATTATTCGTGAGCAGCGCATGCGAACAGTTATCGATGAAACCCGCGAACCTCTTGAATTCCGGGACGTCGTCATGCTCGTCGCTCACCAAGATCACGCATCCGAGCTTGACGGACTTTTCGCACCACCGCGCAAACTCTTCATAACCGCCCAAAAAGAAATCCGGTAACAAATTCCTCTCGGCATCCACTTCACCGTCATAGCTATGCGCAGCAGACCTCGAAGCGAGTGCCGACGGACCAGCGACGTCAGCGCCAGACGAGATGCCATTCCCGTTCGCAGAAACATGCCCACTTCCACGGACACCACTGCGACTTACACACACCGCGCCAGTTTCCTCTTCCAGCGCACGAACCCACCGCTCCGCGACGGTCTTCGGATCCATAGCTCTCGCGTCGTGCCCTGTGCTTGAGCCTAATGGCCGAAAGGACAGGCTCGACCACGTGAAGGGTGCGAATTGCGGGAATGGAATGCGCAGGAGCCGAAGGATGAAGCGAAGAACGGACGTGAACAAGCGAAGAGGTATCGCGAGGACGGTGAGGATCGTGCCAAGTGGACGTAAGATCAAGCTGTACGACGAGGGAGGCTGTGGGTAGAACGAGTGTTACAAGAGAGATCATTGCTAAGTGGTTGACATCAGCTTACCACCTGCCTGAATTCTCGACCGTTACGTGCAGGTCTCAACAGACTCTGCGAAGAGTCGTCCACCTCGAAGGTCTCCATTTGGGCAGTGGTGTGAGTAGGAGCTTCGGTTGGGGAGTTCATTTCGAAGATGACGTTGGCAGCACGCTGTGATGAAGCGATGGCCAAGGTCAGCACTGTGAGATTAAATAAGTGCGCGAAAGGATGGGGTGAAGAGTCAGATCTTCGGACGAACAGCCTTCAGAAAGCGCTCAACCGTCCCATCCTGTGGGGAACAATGTGGTCCCACTGAGCGCGTGATGCCGAACTACGTCGACCCAACTCGGGAAAGCATGTGCACCGCATATTTCCGTTTGCAAAGTAGCGTGCATAAGCGAGCAACATCGACCGCAAGGGCAACGTAAGGCTTCTAGCGACGATGCAAGCGAAAGACAAGCTTGCGAACCTGACCTGCGAGATCGTCGCCCGCTTACCCGCAGCACTGCAGCAGCGAGGTCACATTGCATTTAATGCATGCATGTCCGTACGGGCCTCCTCAGCCACGTCAGCAGCACTGAGTATTGCGACAATAGGCAGCATGATACACTGGACATTCAATGTGAGATAGAAAGCAACATACCTGAACGTCCCAATCCACGCTGTCCAAGACATTCATCGCTACGTCAGGGTCGCCGCCATTCATGAGAGCCTGCAGCTGGCTCAGAGCCTCCCTCTGAGATGCGGAGAGCGTGTCGATGTCCATTTATGGAGATTCGACCAAAGAATACATTCAAAGACAGAAATAAAGGTCAAAGGAGCGGTGCGTTGAGCCTCTAGCAGAGTGAGAGAGTTGTGGCAGATGGTGGCTTTAGGCTTGAGAGTCCGATTTAATGTGTCAGATTTAGTCGGCTAAGTGGGTAGTTAGATAACGCGAGGCAGTTACTAAATCAGCATGATCCTAAACTCGGCCACTCCCATACGACCTCACAGCTCTTCATCATTCCTGCATTCGCTCAAAGCCGTTCAGCTATGGGAGAGGTTGTGAACGTTCTCGTCGCCGTTGCTGTAATTGTGCTCATCGTTCGGTGGGCAACATCCGGTACGCTTGACCGGTTTGCACTGCGTGCTCGAGTCTGTAGCTGACCCGACTCGGCATGCCCTACCATTTACTCAAACGGACTGTAGGGAAGGATGCAACGGCTGAGCCATCTCCTTCCACTGTTCTGGGGTTTCGACCCAAGAATGTTACGATAGAGATGGTGCGTGCTGAAGTATTGACATTATGTGGTCCCGAAGTGGCTCATAATCGTCTCTCTAAGGTCGAGACGGTGCATAGCATGTTCCCCGATATTCCAAGGTACATCCACATGAACTATTGCTTTATTCGCACACCCTGAGACACATGCGGTGGAAGTGATAACATCCGATACGATCTGCTCCGCACAGGTAGTGTGCAGCAAACAACCAACACCATTCTAGAGCGTGGTTTCCTGCCTGCTGTAGGTCCTCATGCGTTCTATGCGTCTTTCATTGCTTACATCTCGGCATGGAAGCCTCCACCTGCATACTACACGATCTATCCTCGTGCCGTAGATTCCACTCACAGCCCTGCTGGCACCCTCCGCCCAACAACCGCGGGCAGCTCCACCGGCAACAAGCCAAGCTCGGAAAACCTCATCACGCGGTATACCCTACAAGACCGGATTGTGGCCTCTTCTGGTGTGTCCGTCACGACGCCTGAAGAAGCGGGAGGGAAAGCGGTATGGGAGGACAGTCCGGAGAAGCGCGAAGCGAGTCTGCGGGAGAGGAAGGCACGAATGGTCCTCGCTGCACGACAGTGAGTAACGTAGCCCTCAGGTAGCGGGATGCCGAAATGCTGATATCACAATCATAGGCGGCTTCTCGAGCAGCAACAGGCAGCCCAAGCTGGCTCATCCTCTGCTTCATGAGCGTCTCGTCTGGATGTCTTGATCGCGTCGCTTTCAGTTCCGGCTGAAAATCTTCAAATTGTGTACATTGTCTGACTGGAGCCTGTGCTACAATTGATGGATCATCTTAAACCTCGCAACTCTCCATCTCACGTTGCTTTGCGACTTGCCAGAGCTAACATGGATCTACACGTTCACACGTGCCTTCTGAGGTGAGTAAAATTTTGCGAATGACATACCAGTCCGAGCATTACGAACGGACACAAAAGACAAGGCTGTGCCATTGTTACGACTGGCAGGAACTCATTGGACATTTTTACGTGAGCTGAGTCATACGCTGCCGCGTCCACTGTGCTCCGCCGATGCAGCTTTCTCGTCAGGCATGCTCGGGAACTCTGTTCTTTTCAGCGCTCGCGGCGACTCTTTCAGCACGGAGCTTGTGACTCATTCGACAGAGATGAGTCATTTTCGTTCGCGGCTATATCTCGCGGCTCAGCGCTCAGCCTTCATTCGGACCAGCGCATACATGGTGTTCTGCCACGCTGTAGTATGTGCGCATGCATCGCATCGCTTGCTGGTACCAGCTTTCCCATGCAACAAAGGGCACAACAGACCCATTCAAACGTACCAGAACGTCATTCAGATTTCTTCGAATTCGTAACCATTCAAGAAATGCTTGCCGGAAATCGCTTGAAAGGTTTAGTCATCGGGACCGCCTCGCGTCAAAGTTCCACAACTTTGACTTGCTGAATACTGCACTTCGGTCCACGTGTGGTGCCCCAAACCCTTCTCTGGCGGTGAGCCTCACTAGCTTGGAAGCGTCCTTACAGGTCATATTGTCGCGAATGCCAAGGGGTTCCTGCTGAACGTGGCCACCGCTGTCGTTCAAAGGGTTAAGACAGACTTCTTGTCAATGCAATAAGAAGGCTGGCGAGAGATACAATATATCCGCCTAGCCCACCTGCTTTCACCGCCGTCGCTTTGCTTATTTGACGAAGCGTTGGCTCCAGGCTTCGACAATGTGATCATCCCTGTATCCCTTTGATCGCGATTCGCCGTGCCTCCGCCACACTGCGCTTCTGTGCCTTTCAGTGGGCGTCTCCCCGCAGCCTGAGCTCGTTCACTGCGAGACCAAAACCTGACAACTGCCAATCTTGCACTTCGTCAGAGCTGCCAGTGTGCCTTCGCACCAGCCGACCGTGCAGTGGGATGGCTGAGAACCTAGCTAAGAACCCCAGATTGCAAAGCAGGATGGTCAGACTGTGCTATATGGTAAGCAGGCTCGTGAACCATGTGAAATAATTACCGTTGAGCGTCGTGGACGGTGCTGGTAAAGATGATGACCGAGTTTTATGAGTTAGCCTGCCGCCCGGCGTAGCGACGATGACATGCGGCCGCTCCGCCAACGCCGTTGCCTGGTCCATTCTGCTCTATTTTCCCCCGCCAAACACCATCCCGCACCGTATGCCAATTTCTGCATCAAGGCGTCGAATTTACGTGCCATTTGGAGCGCAATTTTCCGCATTGTCGCGAAGATGCTACGCGAAGTGTGGTTGAGGGGCGAGGCGGCAGTTTCGCCGGAGCCTGTGGGCACGATGCCTATGTCGTGCCCCGAGAGAACGGGGGGAAGGCAAGCATGGCGCGAGCTCGAATGAGCTCGAGGAAAGGTTAGAGGAGGTAGCTGTCTCGGACTCAGCAGGGTCATTGATAAAGCTTAAAGACTCTATGAAGAGTACTAGTAGCCTGCATTCTTCTGTCATGCGCGCGGTGAAATGGAATGTCTGAGACTGGGGTACTTGATCCAAGCTGAAGTGAGGAGTGGCCCGATTTGTCTCTGCTGACCCGGCGCCACCAGAATAGAGTTCATGATCCTGATCAAACGATAAATGCGATGTCGCCACGACCAAAATAGGCAGGCGACGTGCTTCTATCTATGTCCTTTCAATTTCAACTTGCAACGCGCGTAACTCGTCCTTTAATGCGGCTCTTTTCCTTTCCAGATCTATTCCTTGACAGAAGAGGAGGCTCCCCGCCTAAAAAAAAGGCGGGCGAGAATATCTTGCAGCCTCATAGTAGGTACCATGGTCCATGTCGCAATCGCGCGCTTTGGAGCAACGTCAATGTCAGATTTGCGAGGATCAGGCCCGGAGGATCTGGCACCTAATCGTCGAGTGCCAAGCACACCGTACTTGACCATGCGCTTGTTACCACAGTCAACGTCAACGGCGTGTGCATGCACGGGTCCGACCACGCGTCCATGCGCGCACTCCTCGCAGCCAATCTAGCTTTATGGGAACGGAATGTGCACGGTATGCACGGTGCGGAGGCATCTGGCCATCGCGACATGACAGCTGCCTGGACGTCGAGCAGTGTTAGCATCGTGCGCGTCATGGTCGCAGGGCAGGGAATGAACGAAAAGTGTCATAAGCTCGAGTGAGTAGACGCGCTTGCTCCTTCTCACCAAACCATGACATTCGCCACCCTGCGCGCCCTCCACGCCCTCATCGGCGCCGCCCTAGACGACATCGAGCGCGTCTACCACGATGCCGGACTCGCCTCCCCGCCCACTCTGCCTACCCCGTACTCCCCCACATCCTCGTACGCCTCGCCCGCCAGCCCATCGCTCACGTCGTTGTACGGTCCATACACGCCCTACTCGCCAGTACCGTCTCCACACCCGCATTTGCATGCGCGCACTCCGTCGAGCGTGTCCGTATCATCGCTGTCGAGCTATTCTGCGACGGAGGGCGAGGAGGAAGAGACAGGGACGCTCTCACTTGGGTCATCGCACGCATCACTCGCGTCCTTCGCGAACGCCGCGATGAGCGCAGATGCGGAGCTGAAGACGACGAAGACACAGGGCGGCGCAGGAGTCGCTTTTCCTCTCTCCACTCCGCCGACGCCCGTCAGTCCCTCGACGCCGCCCACGAATGCAACGACATCTGCTACGCCTACTCGGCCTGCGCGTACCTACATCTCGACACCGATCTTGACGCCGTCACATCCGTATTCATCTTTCTATCGAGGTGCTGATGTCCATGCTACCGCCCAGCCCTCCGCCTTTCCATCCACCGTCACCCTGCCCGACTACCTCGCCGTAGCGCGCTCTACACAGAGCCTTGCCTCTCCTCCTCAAGCCCAATCTAGCTCGCACCTCTACTCCGAATCGTCCTCGCACGCCCAACAGCACAGTCCCGGAATCCTCCGTTCAAAACAAGCTCAGTCGCACACGCAGATCAAGCATCCGACACCGGCCCCGACCTCCTCCCCCGCTCCGCGCCGTCGCTCACACACGCTCACATCAGCGTCGTCCGCGCTCCGGCGCGTGTCGGGCTTCTTCTCTGGGTCAGCAAAGTCCACCAGTCCGCTGCCTCCGCCGAGCCCGGTGCTGGCGACGCCGGTTCGTGGTGTGAAGACGTTCGCAGGCGTGGGCGTGTGCCACTCGCAGGGTGCGAGGGTGGCGGGAACGCCGCCAAGCCCGATTACGTTCGCGTCGCCGTCGCCCCCGGAGGATGGAACGAGGAGGCGGAGCACGAGCATGGCAGCGGCGAGCGCTGGGGTGAGCGCGACGCCGAAGAAAAGTAGGGCAAGCTCTCGACAATTCGACGTTCCAGTTTCATATAACCAGGCGGAAGGCGCATATAAGCGCGGCTCGGGCGCATATAGTCAGGTGAAGGACTCATCTGGTCGCACACCAGGCGCATATACCCGTCATACACCCAACACTCCCACACCAGACTTGCCGCGCACGCCAAAGTCCAACGGCGTGCTACGGACGCTGAGGAGTAGTCCCGCACTGGGCACGCCGACGTCCTCGTCGGCGGCCTTTGAGCAGGCAAATGCACTCGTTACGCCGCGTTCGGGAGACGGCGCTGGGAGGAAACAGCGCCCAAGGCCGAGTCCCCTTCTTCCAAGGTCTATGGAGATTGTGTCACAGCATTGCCAGCCTCCGCCGACGCCTTTAAGCCTGTTCTCACTCGCGTCGGGTGTGTCGGTTGAGGAGGGTGAGAGTGGGCAGGAGGGCAATGGCGGGTTTCCGTGTGCGAGCGAGGTGTCGTTGACGGCGGTTGGGAGGGCATCTGCGAGCAGGACTGTGTGTGAGAGGGAGGGATTGGAGCCGGGTTGGGAGAAAGAGGGAGGTGGACTTGCGGCTGCGTGGGAGGAGCCGGTGAAGGTGAATGGGCAAGGGAAGGGAAGGAAGGAGAGGGCGGTAGTGATGCTGGATTGGCCGTCGTTGGACGTACCGGTGTATGCGGTGCAGAGTGGGGAGGAGTCATCTGGAGGATTGCGTGGAGATGGGAAGGGCGGATCGCCCGGCATGCAGTCGTCGGGTGAGCAAGGAACGCCACCGACCGCTCCTGAGACGAACGCGAGCGCAGGTTCGACTCCGAAGAGAGATAAAGAAGAGCTTCAAGTCCTCTCGGAGGCGCTTACGACGCACCCTGCGGTGCTTGCGGCAGCGAGCCGACTTGTTGCTGCATGCGGGCAACTGAGCGCGGCGGTACAAAGGCCATTTTTGACGGTGTGTGACGCGGCGATGGGAGTGAGTGATTCTGTATCGTGCCTTCCTCGTTATTGCCGATGAGCTCCTCTCTCTTGCTTTTCTCGGTGAACCCTCTAATGGATTACTTACGATGCGTGCTTTGGATGTAGTATCACCTCCCGGCGTGTCTGCGTCTGCTCGAGGCGGCGCATGTCCCGGAGATATTGCGTGAGGCGGGCCCTCGCGGGATGCATGTACGGGAGATTGCAAGGCGAGTGGGGGAGGTGAGGAGGGCCAACAGGGCTGCCGCGAGGGAAAAACACGCAGGGTGTGATGGGGATTGCGAAGATGTCGAGGAAGAGCCGGCGTTGGATGCTGCATTGCTGAGTGCGTAGTCTTTCATGTGTTGGTGAGGGAGGAGAGCGAGCTGATCGCCCGTAGGTCATGTTCTACGGCTGCTCGCGACGCACCATATTACCAGGGAGGTACGGCCGGACGTGTTCGCGAATAACCGGATTTCCGGTGCGATTTATTCGGGAAGGAGCCTGGATGACCTGGGAAGAGCGTAAGCCGTCTCTCTCTCGTCGGGACCGTGCTCGGCTCCTTGCTGATTGTCATATTGGTAGACCCGAGTCGAAGTATGATGGGACGGATGGGATCTCTGCGTTCGTTGGTCTATGGTATGTGGTTATGCTCACGTTTAGACGTTGTCAACGTTTGGTCTGACTGTCGTGGCGTCTCAGCACGGACGAGCTGTTCAAGTCGGCCGCATATATGACGGATTGCTACCTTCCGTCGTTAGAGGCGACCGTTGCGGGTGGCCCTTCTAAGAGTAATTCAGAGGAGGCTCAACGGCAGAAAAGCAGGAATTCAAGCACGGCAAATGCTCAGGATGTATTCGGAAAGACGTCAGACGGAAGTCATGCCAGTCTGGCGGACTTGGCTCTTGGCGATGGCCAGCCCTCCGCTTCGCGTTCGGCCGCACATCATGATCAGAGTGCTGAACTTTCCAAGCTCGTTCGACGTGCGCGGGCTTTTTCGTCCGCGCGGGCGGTCCCCGCAAGTCCGCCTCGCCGGAAAGCGCCAGACATGCCGCGGAAGGAGCCAGAACAGACGAAGCGTGCACCGGCAAAGGTCTCCGGTAACCCAATGCATGCACCGTTCAACTTGGCGTTCAGGACGTCGGCGCCGTACTTTGAGTGGCTGGAGACGAAGGAGAACGCTGCGCGGCTGAAGCGGTTCGGACGTGCGATGACTGGGACAGGCTCGTGGGAGGTGCCGGGTGCGATTGTCGGTGGTGAGTGCTGGCGTGGGATGTATGAAGCCGTGGTGTCGGAACTCATTGGAGATTTTGGGTTATGCAGCATTTCCATGGCATCAGCTGCCGGCGCAGTCGGTCGTTGTGGATGTTGGAGGTGGAATTGGGTCGACGTCGCTATTGCTGGCGCATGCCTTCCCACATCTTCGATTTCTGGTTCAGGATCGACCGCAAGTGGTTAAGATGGGAGAGATAGTATGTGGTACCCGTTTTGATGCAGCCCAAGCTCTCTTTCTGATTCTAGGTCGTTGCTTTTTGGTTTTTACAGGCATGGCGCGAACGCTCTCCGGAACTGTTGGAGACCGGCCGAGCGGCTTTTCAAGCGCACAATTTTTTCGCACCACAGCCGCTGTGGCCAGCTTCACTGCGTCATGAGCGCGACAATGATGATGCTGCGAGAGAGCAGGCTCCAAATGGATCCCCAGCTGTCTTCCTGCTGCGCGTGGTCACTCATGACTGGCCAGATGCCTATGTGAAGAGGTATATGCGTTTGTTTCCAAGAATATCGAGTTGATAATGCCAGTACTAAACGTGGTTATTGTAGAATTCTCCTGCATCTTCGCCGTGCTGCAGGTCCTGACACGAAGTTGTTGCTCGCCGACCACGTGCTGCCTCTGGCATGCGTGGACGAAGATCCTGATCCAGAGTCGCCACACGGTATCCAGCACATGAACGAGAAGATGAAGGCTCCTCCGCTCCCCGGCACGGTGCGGTCACTTGCGCCAGAGGGCTCGCCGTTACTGCCGAACTTGGGCAAGGCGAATGCTAATGCGTATTGGCTGGATCTGACAGTATGTTTTGACTCGTCGCGGAAACGGAAAGGCTGGCATTTGCAAACTGACGGGTTGCTCAGATGCGTGTGACATTCAATGCGCAGGAGCGCACGCTTCGCGAGCTCCTTGCGCTGGCTGAGACTGCCGGCTGGAGGATCGTGCAGGTGTCTCGTGCGGAGGGGTCTCTCTTCGGGCATGTCACTGCTGTTCCGGTTGACATTCCTCCGGAAAGCCTGGCACTGTTGGATACGCCTCTTCCTGGTATTGTTGAGGCAGATGCCGGCGAGGGTAAACAGATATACATCAATGGCATGAATGACAAGACTGACAACCTGTCAATAGGTTCTGATGCAAAAGTCAAGAGCCCTCCTATGGGTGACACCTTCTGCTCATTTGTCGACCTGCCCTCGGAGGATGCGTTGCAGAAAGGCGTTAGAGCAAGCAAGCGCGCGACGCAGAGGTGGCAAGCGCGTGCGACTGAATGGAGGCAGCGTCTCGTGAAGAAGAGCTCTACAATCTGGAAGGACCGGAGAGGCCAGCAGGCTGCTTCTCCGCTACCTGTTCCGCCTGTCGAGCTGTTGCCGGCTGCGGATGTCGGTATGGGTGCTGGGAAGCGTGTGAGCAAGGGCAGGAAGGCGAGTATTAGTACGCTTGCGGGTGGGGAGGATAGACAGAGGGATACGAAAAGAGGACTGCGGCGGGTGCTGTCTCGTGCGCAGGTCAGTAGTGGAATAATGGATCGATAGCTTAATTATGAATAATAGAACTTATTATATTTGCTCTTCACCATGAATTTGCGTGGCCAGCGTGGCTGTTGAATCAACGTTGACAACGTTCGGCGTTCACTTCGCGTTCACGTATGCCTTGATCAGCGCGAGTTATCAATACCCGGTAGGTTTTCATGCTGTAGGATTGGAAAAAACAGTGTATATGAAGCTTATGAACTGATCATCGGAGGACACTGGTAGTGGGGAGTGCGACTTCAGAAAAAGATAATACGTCTAGGAATCAATCAACAATTGATGAGTTGACCGAGGTGGCGAAGTTGATTTCTTCCGCTCAATGTGTCATAAACAATGAGGGAGGGGAAGCGCAAAACCTGAGGATATGTAACACATACTGTCCGAGGTCGAGATAGATGGTTTGATATTATGCCCCATTCTGGTATGCACTTCATATGCCAAAGGTTCATATTGTCCAGTTTGTCTTTGTAGAGATTCGATTTTTGATCCTTACCGGTCGTGAGACCCAATCCTTGAACGGATGAGGACGTGTGATGGAATCCGAATGCGATTCTGGGTACATATTGTGGTGGAGTTTAACTAATTTCGGCAATGCGGAAATGTCAACGTCAGCAAAATCGAAGAACATGGAGGAATCTGTAGGCGTAATGATCGTAAGTAATGGCACACGTAGTCAAGCGTTAGAGCACCTCACAACGAAAGTATATGCAGTTTATTTGGGATATTTGGGAGAATCGATCAGCATCTAGACCCTTGCGCCGGATCCTCGATGGTAATTGATAAAAGGCATTTTAACGATCTCTTCAGCCGTCATAAGGAACTGTTTTGTGCTTTTAAAGGCTTCTTGTATCGTGATATATCCAAATCCACGTGCGTCCGCCATTGCTGAGATTGTGATCGCATCATGGAACAAGAAAGTCTGAACTTACTGTCACCTCTTTGATGATGCGCCATCGGAATGGACACTTTAGGGAAATCAGAGTCCGTCATGTCAATTGATGGATGAAGGATACTCAGTAGGATGGGAGTTTAAGTCCAGAGCAGTTTCGTAAGAAAAAGCTCTAATACATACACTCATTGAAGCCCTGTCGCTACATAGATCATATAAGTGGCATACGCTTCATCATCATCTTAGAATTGCCGACATACCTTGGCGAACGCGTGGGTGGGCGCCAGAAACATAATCCTAACACGTTAAGCGTGCTTAAGACTTCCTGATAGGCAAACAATTTCTTTTCGCAAAATTCGTGAAGCAATATGGCTTTGGACGACTTGAATGTACACCAAAAGCTAAGAGATAAGTATCCGTCGATGCGAGCACATTGTATGTGACCTGGGCATAATTTCGCGTACATCCAAAAATGTTTGATTAGAACAGCGGTTGAAGTTGGCCTGTAATAATAGAAAAGGCGTATAGAAAGGCAATACTGGTTCCTGATCGAGAGTCGCATTGCAGGGCATTATAGAGCCGAGTCGATTAAAGACATACTCAACGTTGCCAAGGAAAACACCAGCCAGTAACGCCGTAATCTTTGAGCTCGTACGATCTCGAGGTAGAGCAGGATTGCTCAGAGTTTGATAAATTGCTGTGACATGAAACATGAGACCGCTGTCACTAGGAGGGAATAGAGGCTCGAGGACAGCTAGATTCAGTCGATTCAGCGTCAAACGCTCTGGTGCATCGACTGTACGCCGAGATATTGGAACTCAAAATCCACAGCGTGCACATGAACTGAAAAGCACCTCGTATGTGAGGACGGGATGTGCGGCCAAGGGGCAACTGTCAGGGATACTGCAAAGTGCTGCTCTCTGAATCAGTATATTGTGATGACTTGCACTGCTCTGGACACAGATAGAAATGGAACAGTGAAAGTTCCTATCATCCTCATTCCCTCGAAAAGGGGGGGCGAATTTTGAGAATGTTGAGCCTACTTTACCACGATCACCGCAACAAATTCCGAGTCGCATGGGGGAAATGTAAGAGTACCTACTTGATTCGATAGATAAGCCCCGACAACCTGTAGAGATCCTGTCCTCTGAAGATACGAGTGTCTTCGGCCTTAATCAACAGAGTGGTATGCCGCCCGCTAGTGCAAAAAGATAACTTTTCTTCACTCTCTCCGCTCACGGTCTCTGGAAACTCAGATGCCGCAAAGCTTCAACGTATAATCGCATTATACTTCTTCCAGTGGAAAAAAGGCAAAAAGAAAACTCCGCTTACCTGACACCTTGCACTCCATCAAATGGTCTGGAAAACAGATACAAGAGTCGAAAGGAAGTACAACGGAAGTGACAAACTTAGTCAAAGCTTGCTTGCGAGCGCTTACAACATAGCATTGGTAACACCGAATCAAGCGATCCGTGTATCTGAGCGCTAACGTCTCTCTGTCTAACCACTCTACTTCGACTCGCTCTCCTCGTTATGGCCCTTCCCAAGGTATCAGAATAACTCATGCGTTCCCTTCTGACTGTCATTGACATCTCTCTATCACCTCAACCAAAGCGGATCATCAAGGTGCGCACTGATCAGCGGCACCGACGCCTTCGAGTCTGAACTCGCGCCATCTCGGCATTACCTTTTGTTCGTCGACGCATAGGAGACCGAGCGACTAGTAGCGGACCCTGCGCCTGGAATATCCGCCGCCCCACACGAAGACAACCTTCGGTACTTCGACGTTACGATACAAGGTCCCGATGGCAGTCCATTTGCAAGTGCGTGCATCCTATCTGGTCTATGGCAGCGGGAAGGGCAATGCTGACTGCATGACATCCTTGTGGCCGACCCTGGGATCGCGATGGACATGTAGATGGCGTGTTCAAGTTAGAATTGTTTCTGCCAGAGGAATACCCGATGAGCCCGCCGAAAGTGCGGTTCCTCACCAAGATTTATCACCCTAACATCGGTGCGTCTATCTATGGCCACTAATGCACCATTTCCACCCTCATGTCGACTTCGATGGCAGACAAGTTGGGCCGGATCTGTTTGGATATCTTGAAGGGTGCGTCGTGATGTCACTATCTATCTTGTCTTGACTCACACGACTTCTACCACCATCCAATCGCTGTTTCTCGATCATCTCCATGCTACATTTATGTGCCGCATGAAACCATCGTTTTCCTTCCATGCTCTGCAACTGTGATATCGAACCATCAGACAAATGGTCGCCCGCGCTACAGATCCGCACTGTCCTCCTCTCCATCCAGGCCCTTCTCAGTTCACCGAACCCTGACGATCCGCTCGCAACCGATGTCGCGAAGCATTACAAAGAGAACGAGAAGGACGCACAGCGCGTCAGTCGGGAATGGACTGAGAAGTACGCCACTGCATGATCACGACAGCGCGCGGTGTGTCTGTTGATCAGAAGCAGTGTGGCTGATACCGGCCAGAAGCAGATGCGGTTCCATTGTTGTAGCTCTATGTAACGGCTCTATACGAGAAGGCGGGGAATCTGGATAGCTTTGTAAGCAGCTACTCGACCTCAGTATCCGACCTTTTGATTTGTACATACAGGACGAGGCGGAGGCGTCAGATGCCACGTCACGAAACGTATCAGTCCAAATAGATGTTTATGGGCCCCTACTTTAGTGAATCGAGACCAGTGATTACGCCTGATTATACTACATTGGTCGCAGCAGCTTTGCAACATCGTTTCGTGACGGCGTTTCCAGCTTACTGACCGTAAAGAGATGACATTTCTTGTAAGCTGCAGCAAGCGAGATGCTCTTAGTTTATGTCGGACTTTCGTCTGAGTGAGTCATCCACCCATGATCCACGGACGCCGTTGCTGATATGGTATTGTTGTCAACTCTTTCTCTCATAGATTGAGCAGACGTCTCAGGATCCTCCTCATCACGCTAGGCGTCTCTGCCATCCCCCATCACACGTGTTCATATATGCAACTTGAGAGAATGTTGAAGTTCAATCGCAGCAGCTGCAAGCTCTTTGCATCGGCAGGCGTCGCATTTGTGAGAGGAAAATCAGCGACTCAAATCATAAGTGCAGCCACGACGACATCGACATCCAGTCTGTTGATGTTATCCAGTACAGTATCAAGCTCGTCCAGTGTGCCACAATGCAGCATATGGATCTCTGGCCCGCCCGCAAGGGCTCACATTGATGGAGATGCAGTTGTGGTACGTCCCGTGAAGTCATCTGTTCAGTATGCCCTTTCATTCCCTGCTGGCATTGACGCGGACATGACAGCGACGACAGCCGGTTTGTACTGAATGTCTTTCAGGAACTGCGGAGATGTTCCGGGTTGTCGGATGCTATGGAGGTAGGCCACAACATTGGCTCCTCTATTCCTCACGTACCATACATTCACGTCCGATTCTTCGACTACAAGAAAGTGACCTCTTTGTCACACTCTTGAGTTTTACTACTGTTCCATGGTCATTGACGTCGAGCTTGCCTCCAATTCTCTCCATGCAGTGACAATATAGCAGTCTGATATTATCGCGCGTCTCCTAGACCATCAAAGTCTCGTGACGGACCACCCCATAACCCAGAACTTTACCCCCGCTGCGCTCGTGAGGTCACTCCTATCAATCTCCCTCAACACTGTTCCGACCTTCACCGCTCCTTTCCGGAACACCTCGCCATCCCACAACCTCACCCAACTCTCCGGCGAGTGACAGAATGTGTGAGTGCCCATGGTGTTCTTCTTGAGTTGCTCCACTCTATAGCCTTTCTCCGGCCGAGCACTATGCTCCCCGAAGATGATGGAACCGGGAAGAGGTGAGAGCAGGCCTGCGATGGATCGCGCAAGCTGCAATTGCTCCATTTCACTGAAGAGATGGAACACGGAAGACACGTGTATGACGGAGACGTGTCCGGCAAGGGAAGTGAGGTGCTGTAGGGAAGAGAGCGGAGGGGCCGGTGTCTCTGGCGGAGAATAGAAAGGTGGCATTAGCTTCAAAAAGGTTGGATCAAGCACGCTTCCTGGTAGGAAATGTACTGGGAACGTCTCTTTCGTGGACTTGAAGAGGTGATGACCTAGTTCCCAGAACACTGACATTAATGCCTGTCGTTAGCCAGCAGCTTGACCATCATACGGGGATGAAGAGCGTACTAGGTTCAATATCGGAGGCTATAGCATTTTCAATAGGAAACCCGTCCGCGATTGCCTTTCTAATATCGTTCCCGACTGCATCTTTGCGTGAGTCTTGCGTTTTGAACAAAGAACTTTTATACTGACAGCAGCAGCCGAGATCGAGAAGGATGGCCCCTTTCCGTTCCTTTCCTAGCTTCAAGAGTTGACCGTAGGCGGGCAGGAGAGAGACCTTGAGCCTGTGCTTAGATGTCATAATCTCTTCATCTCTCGTTGGACATGAAGAAGAACATACTTCGTGAAAGCGAATAGGCGGATGCAATTATAAGGATGAACCTGTATTTCATGTCAGCACCACCAGCAAGAACGACGGACGTCACTTCATGGCGACATGTAGAATACCTTATATGCGTCCGCCTGGATGCCAAGAATATGCTGCTCCAGTTCGTTCTCATCTTGGATCCCGGTCTGAGTCTTGAAGAACGCAAGCTCATTCTCATCCAAATAGTAGCGGTTGCTTCCCCGAGAAAATTTGTATGGCTCGATAACTTGCGTCCTTGGCTGATGTTGAATGTCGGTCATGGTAACTTGAAGGCACGAGCGGCGCTGTGACAATAGTGCAGAACCTATTCTGTCCATATATACAGAGCTGATGAAGGCGCGCTTCGACTGGTTAACCGTTGGGGCATCCTTGGTTGGGATAGCTCCAGGTTGTCCCAACGGAACACAATTCAGTCAACTAACGTGTATTTCGACAGCCGCATTCGCCTTAGTCTCGGCCAAAGTCAGTAGGGCACCCGCTGTCTGTCGAACTCAAATGCAGTCTACTCAATCGAGAATCAGGAATAACAGACGCCACGTCCGATAGCCTGCATACTTTGCTTTGACAAAGAGCCACGCAAATGCTACCATCGATGAGATGTATCATATGCTATGCTTCATGTGGGCGTCCCAACGATCGTCTGAAGTTTTAACCCTGCTTCTGCTGCTCAGCAAGCCTTGGTGCAAGGTTGAAGTCTTCCCGAGCTGCCGAGAACCATGCATAAGCCGAATGTTCCTTGTATTTTGCAATCTCTTCATGCTGGAAATTAATCAACACTTTTGCATATAGGATTGTATCGAAAAATTGTCAAAAGTATGATCGATCCGGACATGTGAAACACTCGAAACATGCCATAGTCTGCCGTCGAGGTCATACAAGGCAGCGAAGATGCATCCTGAATCAAAAAATGTAGCGTCATTTACAGCCAAGACCAATCTCATTCTTACGACATACCTAGGACACTGCTGAAGAGGCGAAGAGTGTCGCGAAGAGAGAGTTTACGATAAATGCTACACGAGCGCTATCAAGCGGACCGGGAGGCTGGCACAGGCAGTATACTCAGGGTTCGGCCCGTCGGAACGATGCTGTTGTTGCGGAATTTATTTCCACGGAGTATGATTCAAGGCAAAGAGGCCGCCGCAACGGGCAGTCGACAAATGGGACTTGGAGTTGTTTTATATGCCTAAGCACTGTGCGTTAGGTACGCCATATCCACTGTCTCCGAATATGATTCTGTTTTACTGACGAATAATCTTCCCATCCTTCTCCCGGCCGCCGCAAGCCTTTTTTGCGGCTACATCAGGAAAACATCACTTTTTCTTTTTGGCTTCTTTTTGTACCTTTTTCTTACAAAAAAAGGCAGAAAAGAGAACAATGTAGAAAAAAGCATGAGGATCGGCTGATTCCTCACTTTCTCATGGCCTTTTGCTTCCTTGACGACGCTTGGCAACACTGATTTGCCCAAAAAGTTGTCGTCAAGTCCATTAAAGGAACAAAATCCCAGAAGCCTATCAGGAAATTCCAAGGCAGATTCTCTGACCTTTTGTCCTTGAACGGACTTTTCACAAACTTTCTGATCAGAAAGCAACCAAAAAGTGCTCAAAAAGAAGCGAACAAGGCAAATTCAAGCCGATCCTCACGCTTATTTCTACATTATTTTCTTTTCTGCCTTTTTTGTAAGAAAAAGGTACAAAAAGAAGCAAAAAAGAAAAAGTGACATTTTCCTGATGTATGCCGACCAGATGCACGGGAGCGTGAAATATTCTTCATGCTGGCAGGCATATAAAGCTCGCTTTCATAGCCATCCATGAGGATCGCCTCAACACACTATGAGGAAGAAATCAAGGTCGGGCTGATACGTCGCTTTCCCGACCTTGACGTTCATCTGATCGATAAAATGATGCGATTTTATCTGTCCACAAGATCCGCAAGCTTTTGGGGTAATCATGCCACGGCGGTATGTAACTGACTAAATGACTGTGAAGATATATGAAATGTGCTACAAGGCTACAGTTTGTGTCAACAGGAACGCCATGGTCGTCACCCTATCATCGTGACGACGTCTGCTATGATGTGAAAATATCAAAGATACAGATGGAAGCGTATTCAATGCCCAGCCCCAGAAACCTCAAGCAATAGGAGAAAGGAGTATATAGACCAGGCGTTTCTGAGAAGAATTCGAGCTGAGTACGGATCAGGAATGCGCAGCGGGAAAGCGATTTGGAAAATCCTCGATCAGGACCGTCGCTATCGAGTAATGAACGCGACGATTTCGCGGATGCCGAGATGTGTCGCTGATAAAATCTTTGCGAAATCGTATATGCCGGAATTGCTACGTTTCTTCCGTCAAGAATGATTTTGCATCAAGGTGCCATTAATTGTACACACCGTGTTACTTCCAGCAATTGTGCAGGAGTAGCTCTCCGCCGGGTCATCACAGAATGTGGCTCCTTCTCCGCGGCCGCAGTGTCCGCCCAGATTTTCACGAACGAGACTTCATCGTCAGAGGTAGGGATGCAATAAGTGGTTGTCTGTTCGGTGGTCACTTCAACTTGGATTACAACACGCGGGTGTGCGTTTGCGTGAATATCGGAATGGTGTGTGGTGGTATAAGTTGTGGAAAACATGAGCGCAGTGCCAGGAGGTAATCTGCTCCGAGTGACCCGATGATGAGGGCTGCTGAGGGTTGCTGAGAGGCAAGCTGGGTAGATATACATCGCGCTTGCCGCAGTGCAGCGGATCCCACTTGCGCCACCTAGTGCGCATGCCTGATTAGTATAGCAGTTGCGATAACGGATCGTCTGGCACCACTCGGGGCCGAGTTCGAGTTGTCCATGTAGCTCGTTGCGGCATTAGGGACCCACATATCTCATGGGAGCCTAGGAGAGCTTATGCGCTTGGATGACATAAACTTCAGACAGATTTCACACGATGGTATCATGTTACGGCATCTATGTTCCTTGTGCGCTCGATATGTCTGGATATTAGGATCGTATCAGTCCTTGATTGTAACTTGCTACTAACGTGTACGCCTTGGTTGTATATTTGTATTTGCAGAGGAGAGAGACTCGCCGCTTCAGTCGTATCGAGACCCAATGGTGCGCGACGAGCACGGAACAGAGCTACTCGCCGTCTCTGGTAGTCATCCCCGAGAACTGGCAATATATCAGGTAAGCAGTGGCTTTAAAGTTCAGATGGAACGAAGAGAATTTCAGTGTGTACATGACTTCGGTGATGCGTCGGCTCTGACCATGTACGGGGATACTAGGCGAACGTGGCAGCTGAAAGGTATTGTCTCGAGAGTAGTTGGCTTCCATGCAATCTGCCAGTGAGCTAATTCACTCTGAACTATAGGCGGGCGTTTGAGATTACATGACAGAGTTGAGTTAAATTGGCGGTAATAGCGATAGGGCTTTACCTTTTAGGGACCGATATCCATACGTCGCTACGAGAGTGAAGGAATCATGAAGTGTATTGGTGAGCGACCGGGCCATCGGATCTTGAGGGCGAGCCTTCGAGGGGACCCCAGAGTTGGCCTGGGTATGCTTCTGCAAGAAATGCTTCTCCAGCTTGCCCATATCACTGTATCCCGTGGCGCATGATACGAGACAATGATAGAACTCCCAAAGCGCAGATTGGCATGCATACATTAGAAAAGTCTCTTCTTACTTATCATGCTTGGATCTGCTTATCCGAAGAGTTCAAGACTGTAAGCGGAGAAATGGCGGCTTATTAACGTCTTACTCACTGGTATAAGCAGCTTCAAGTCAATACGTAGATCCTCGACTTTCCCGACGCACTGGTTGCGTGACGAGCCTCGTTATGAGCCGTTTCACAGCATGAAGAGCCAAACCACTGGCCCCTCCAGTCAGCGTGGGAGGAACCCGAGAGACGCAGTTCCTTGACGTGCGTCAGCATCTTTTTTGAATCATTAAAGTAAATGTACCCTCTCCATTGGCAGAAGCTCGAAACATATCGGCATGCGTGACGAGAGATGACATCATTGTTGTCCTCAGAGCGAGTCTGAGAATAGGGCTCAATAGAAAAATGAAAGGACCGGGTTTTCTGAGCTTGCAAGTCACAACAACAGATGGACACTTTAATCATTCGTCACATTCAGCGTTCAGTGTGAGAAATATAGCCATGCCACTCACTGCAATTGAGTATATCTCGAGGTAGCGACGAGTGAGCTGAAGACCGTGAGTCTTGAACGATTTATGTGTCATGGCATTTCGATCACTGTTTCTACAAACTTTCCACTCACACAGATATATCTTGAAATAAACTTCTATGCATGAGATCAGTCGAAATCAGTAGATTCTTCGAGTACCGCTACTTTTTGCCTCCTTGCAAGGTTGTGCTCCGGATCTTTCCTCGCCCCGAATAGAGGCAGCCTCAGGCAGCTTATAGTTGAAGGCGTGAGTACCGCCACAGCCGCGTGTACCGCAAAGAAGTCCTCATGAAGACCTTGTGGTCTATGCGCTGCGTCAAAACTCGTGTCGGATGGCACCGCCCTGCACCGCCTCGGGAAGAACGCGACGAAATTAGCGGTACCTTTGGAGTACATTTTATGGGTCTCAGGTATAAATTCCCGAAACATTTGTAATGGAGAATAAATGAGAGAAAGGGACTCAGAATGAGTAAAGGAGGAGGCCATTTTGTAGGTGAAGTACTGCAACGACTCGCGCTTTGGACTCTGGAGACTCGAGAGGCGCGTCTTTCTCACACGTGATCGTGTTGAGGTCCGCGACACTGCATGTGGCTGGCGCGCGTCTGTAAAGCCACCTATAACCTGTTTCACGACCTCTGCGTGGGTCTTTATGGCACCCACTAGTACTCAGAACGAAGACGCATACTACTCCACTGCATTGAGTCAGATCCAGGACAGGCCGTTCCGTCCACCTACGTATACAGCAGAAGCCCGGGATGTTCAGCGGCGCCAGGTCGATGTGCGCAAGCGAGTTCAGGCGATAATATATACTCCTGACCGCCCTGCAGATACCCCCTCCTGCTACGCACAAGCCATCAGATGAGGATTTGTATAAGTGTGACGTTCACCCTGGCGCGCATTTACCAAACATCAACCTGCTGAGGCACCACTTCTTGAACGAAGGCCGCCTTACGGAGCAGCAGGCACTCTTCATTCTGGAGCAGACAACCACATTGCTAAGTCACGAACCGAATGTGTTGCACGTTGATGGCCCAGTGACGAGTGAGTGCAATCGCTGGGACTCACGATGCACATTGTACTCATGCGAACTATCCCACTACTACCTTTAGTCTGTGGAGATATCCACGGCCAATATGTGCGTTACGAGCCATGTCCATATCATCCGTCTCAAGGAAGCTCATGTGGTACTCTCAGTACGACCTGATGAAGATCTTTGAGGTCGGCGGATCCTTGACTGAGAATAATTATCTCTTCCTCGGGGATTATGTTGATCGTGGATATTTCTCAATTGAGGTAAGTCTCCGTTCCACCATCTGTTGGTCCCAGAGCCACGTCTATAAAGTGCCACGCATTTCAGAGTGCTATGAAGCTCGGCATGCTTCAAGACGGCATCGACTGCACTGGCGAGACGAATGTATATCCTCTCCACGTGTTGCCATGATCTGCCGATAGCTTTAGCGCTGGAACATGATGCGTCCATTTGGATCGAGTTACTTGAACAAATGCTGCCATCATTTCCGTCTTGAAAGAGTGCTCTGATTGTCGCCGAAGTGTTGCCATCATGCGTGGAGGGTTAAATCTCTTTGGCAGCAAGCCGATCAGACATCCGCGTTGCTGTCAGCCCTGTTGTTGATCCAGGCTCACAAGTCGTCATTCTTAGTGCCTGCTCTATCTCTACGCACTCAAGCTATCGTATTCGGACAAGCTCTTTCTGCTTCGAGGGAACCACGAGTGCCGACACTTGACAGAATACTTCACCTTCAAGTCCGAATGCCTGCACAAGTACTCAGAGACGGTGTACGACGCTTGCATCCGCTCCTTTCAAGCACTTCCCGTGGCCGCTCTGATTGAGGGGAAATTCTTCTGCGTACATGGTGGTATCTCGCCGGAGCTGATGCAGCTTCAAGACCTGGAGAAGGTGAGAGGATGTATCGAGTATTCGGTCAGTTGGTGCTCATCGATGCAGATGAACCGCTTCGTGGAGCCTGCGTCTGTCGGACTGCTGTGCGATCTGTTGTGGGCCGATCCCATCCCGAACTATGGACACGAGGTGAGAAGTGTATCTGAACGACGACCTCGATTGTGTTCATAAACATGTCTCCCGCACTTAGCAAGATCACACGCGCGAGCACCCTCAGGGGCTGCCTCCTGGCCACCTGTTCGAACCTAATCTCACTCGGGGATGCAGCTACTTCTACACGTGAGTATCAACTAGGCTTGTGCACACACTCTCTAACGCGCTTGCAGATACGAGGCGGCCTGCCAGTTTCTGGATAGGAATAACCTACTGGGCATCTTCCGCGGTCATGAAGCTCAAGACGCTGGGTGAGTACCTGGATGTCATGCAGGCTGAGTTGTCCCTGGCTCATATTGGATCCGGCAAGCTATACGATGCACCGCAAGACAGGAACGAAGAAATTTCCTTCGGTCATCACTGTCTTCAGCGCACCGAACTACCTCGATGCCTATCGCAACCGCGGTGCGGTGGTACGGTATAAGAACAAGAACATTGTGATCCGGCAGTATAACGCGTCGCCGCACCCCTACTGGCTTCCCAACTTCAAGGACGCGTTTACGTGGTCACTGCCGTTTGTCGGCGCGAAGATCACGGAAATGCTTTTGGCGATCTTGTCCGTCTGCTCTGAGGCCGAACTCGAGGAGGGTTCGCACACTTCGGAGGAGGACGATGCCCAGACGAAGGAGCAGCATGTGCACCCCAGTGAACGAAGGCAGGAGATCAAAAATAAGATTCTCGCAGTTGGGAAGATGCAGAGGATCTTTACAATATTGCGGTATGTGCTTGCTCTCGCCGTTACTTTTGCACAATTATCGATAATAACATGCCCGCCAATGCAGGAAAGAAGCGGAGAATGCGACGGAGCTCAGCCCCACAGCGCCTACATCCACCACAGCCCCCACACCATGGCCTGGAGGATTCGCCGTATCCACGCCCGATTCTGACGCGCTCAGCGTTCAGACGACTCAGCTGCGCAAGTACATCCGCTCCTTTGACGATGCGCGGCGCTCCGACCTCGCCAACGAGCGGCTGCCGCAATATCCATCGGCGACGAGCCCACTCGTGCCTGCGCCGAGCATGCGCCTCCTCGGTCTGGCCGGCGACGAACCTGGTAGTGCAAATCAGCTTAGCTTACACGCGTTGATCCGCAGGGCACTCCAGGAGGAGGGAATGGAGGACGATGGCATGGTGGAGCGCCTGGCGGAGAAGATTGCGAACTCGAAAGAGGTGAGCGTCAGGCCGAGAGCATTGAAAAGGATTGAGACTGCGCCATGAGGCAGGATGGACGGCTTGCGTACCGATGGATTGACTTGAGTTACGTACTACGTGGGTGTGGATGGCTTTATGCATACTGCCCGTATTTATACCCTCCTGAGTCCTGACTGTTGTCTGTATTTTATTGTGTACTAGCAGTCGTAGCTTGTGGACCCGAATGAAAAGGACAATGCAACATTGTTCTGCGATACATAACGACACTGCTTCGTACCATTTTGACATTATAAGAGGGGACAATGTGAGCTTTGGCCGGGACCACCCGGCCGCATAAAGCTTCGATGCTCGCAACAACCTAGTACCATACCACCATATCAGCAGCTGGATACACTTTCCGTTGGCGTTTCGACTGTGATTTAATAAGTATGTTTTCGGGGGAGTTTTCTGGAGCAAATGTCAAGCCGAGCATTTTCGTTGAACCGGCTTTCATTGTGTTGTTTCCGCGCAGTGTCTGAGAGCGAGGACCCGGAGTGACGCACAGCTAGCGCATGGCTCTACAGAAGCCTCCACCGCGGAGCTTAAACTCAGGTACGGTTCTATTGTTGTAGGTGGTCAATACATCACTATTTTGCCACACGATTGGGCGAGTGGCCCGGGCTCTTGGCTGTGGCCCACTTACGCCTCGAGGCTCAATTATCACCTGTGACCAATGCTTCGCTCCATTGACACATTCCGTAGAATGCGTAATTGTCATTGTTACTCCGCGACGTTTGATCTTCATTTTGGACCTCTTGTTCCGGTTGCTGGCATATAAGATGGCCCAGCGGGCCCGTTGGAGAATACTTCAGTTCCCTCGCCACTCGAGACCGGTCCCATCAAAGTTCATCTTCCTTCCCAGTCCTTGCTTCTTCCGCAATGCGAACCGTTCTTAATCAGAAGGCGACGGCCGTCGACGGCCATGATTTTTCTGTGGCACAGAGGCCGACATCTTTGAACGAAACGTGAGTCAAATATTTATCGCTCAATTATTCCCCAACTTACGTCGCTCAATCAAGCCATCGCGCCCTCGACGTTACATGCCTGGATCCTCGCCTACTCCATATGGATAAGGAGAATGTGCAACATATGAGTGACGCCGAATTCCAGTGCGTTGATTTCTATTCTCACCATTGAACAATCTGACCACCCATCTCCTCTCAACGCCAGAACAACCGCAGTCTGGCCACCAACTGTTCCTGCCTTGAGAAACCCATGGTCAGTGGAAGTGTGGCCGCAGGAGCCTTCGAAGCAGGACTGGTGTGCCGAGGAGTTAATCATACGGTCCATACCACAATTCTCAGAGAATCTGAAAGGAAAGTGGCATGCGTTCACTCTCAATCCGAATGAAGGACGTCCGACGAAACGGAACAAGAGAGCCCAGGAAGCCGCGTCTTGTTTCTCCCGCTCACCCACGCAATCTCATATCATGCAGCACCCGCGCCCTTTGCCTGAGCCTCGAACGCGCCTCCAGCGTCGTATAGCGCAGAGAATACCCATAGAGGCGCTTCGATCTCTAGCCTATGCGGCCGCCAGCCCCCGAAAGCACCATCGCCAAAAGAAGGCAGCTAGTTCCTCTCATCGTACACCACATTCTTCACCTCGTCGCGACGCAAAGTTCTTTGCGCATGTCGCCCGCATGCGCCAGTCGTTGCCGGCGAATGCTCAACCGAACGTACAGTGCCGTTGGCGCGGGGCGCGCCCTTGCACATTTAAGGGGACAAGGCTCGAAGTACAGGAGCATATTGAGCAAGAGCACCTCACAAGTTCTGAAATCAAATGCAAGTGGGGCTCATGCGAAACGCGTCACACATTTCCCAAGGATCTTGTGCGGCACCTCAACTTGCATGAGGAGATCAGGGTTCCGTATCCATGCGACTTCTGTGGTCAAAAACTGAGCCGCCGAGATGCTTTGATTAGGCATATGAACTCACTTCACTGAACGTTTAGAATCACTAGCCAAGTCATGTTCTGTGATCCCTTGTCTATCGTCATCGTCAGTACTGAATCTCTCTCTTCTCTAGTTCATCGTTCGTCGGTCCTGCATAGTAGCGTCACTGCCAACTTGATCTGCATCTTCCTTTTGTAATATATTTCGATGCTCCGTATGTCTGAACGTGCGAAGGTGCCATTGTCAGCTTTCTCCCATGCCAAAGATGGTGAAATGCCGCCCAAGCCCGACTGTTGCCATACGGGGTAAAGTTTGATCGCGGACCCTCCGATCTTTACCGGCACCGCTCAAGCACTCGATTTCACAAGTATTAGCTCGCTCCGACCGAGCAGATGCGCTATCATGCTATAGCGTCGAGTGGAACAGCCACATTACGGATCGGTGACAACGCTACCTTCGGAGACTTCAGTTAGGGTGACTATCTTGGAGAGTCGGATGATTAGGACGATGGTGATCGTCGATAACTAGCTACCTTGAGCAGACGGCCTATGTTCTCCAGGAATCGAGTGCGATGACGATCCTTACGATGCCAGGTATGCTCGGGAAACCAGGAAACTACCATTTTCTACGAGACGAAAGCGCTCTAGTCCGTGACCTGCAAGCAACCGAAAGAATAAGGATTTCCACCAAGATAGTATCAGGCCAGGTTCCGTTCCGCATGCCATAATATTAACTCTTCAGCAGTCATACAATCTACCTGGGTCAATCCAAGTACTACCGCAATGATTGTGCGTACGGTGCGTTTGGAAGTGAATGTTCTCTTGGCGCGTTCACCGTGACCTACCTCTATCACGATGAATTGTGCACATGTCCATTTATATATGTTCTGACTTGTCGGCAAACCATCTCTATGAACGTAAGTGCTCGTCTTTTTGTAGACATCCGTAGTTGACCTCCACACGACGTCGTCACTGTGGCGCTTAACCTTGGCTTTGAACCATTGGTAAATGCCGACTCAGGTGATTGTCGCGCGCAATCGCTGAATGTCTTATCATCCCTTCATAGAAAAAATTGAATATCTGATAACCGAAGTCCATGAATCCTCAAACGGGACTTCTCGTTCATCGTCTCCAAGTGATCCTTCCTTGGCAGACTGGTAAGCCGCGAAGTTCTCATAGTTCTCATCACTGATCAGCTGAGACTCCAACAGTGAGTTTCATTGCTCCTCTTCTTTACCTTTCGTACCATCTGAACTAGGCATGCTCGCCGGAGCAATATTCTTCTACTCTGTCCTCAAAATCCCCACGGACATCATTACAGATCTTTAGCATGTGTTGCCATACGAAATCCATCAAGCGCCAAGAACACGAGGTGTGCATGCTGCCGCCACTCGGACGCCATTGGCGCGGCATCCGACCGTCATTTTGCTCTTCTCGGAACCAAATTAGGCGCATAATGCTGTCCACCGCTGGGTGAGCCATCACCCAGCGTCCTTACTATCTATATCGTGCCCGAGGAGACCCCGAATCTAAACGAACGGGTATTCTGTCATGCGCGTTGTCTAACAGATGGTATACGTGACCTTGTTGAATTTCGCGACGCGACGCGACGTGTGGGCGCGTCGCGTGCGTGATTTGTCCCTACATTAAAACCGCGTACCATTTAAGCAGACATTGTCCTTCTCTGAGCCGCGAACAAACTCTTTTCGTCCTTCAATCTTCAGCAATTGCTACTCGTACAGCTGTCAATGGCTACTGCACACTCCGTCATCGCCACACATGCGTCTACTTCCATGGCTCAGCCGTGTCGGCATCCTCAACAGTCGACTACAGAGCTCCGAAGGCAAGGAGAAATGTCTAGTTCATCTAGTTCGAGCACCCACAACGTACCGGTGACCCTCGAGTACGTTGACTCTACCCTGTCTACCCTGTCTGAAAAGACAATGAGTGGAACGACTCACGAAATATTCTCAGCTCGAAAGAAGTCCTGCCTTCTCCATCCCCAAGTCAGGAGCCAGCAGTAGCGATGCGCGTTGCTCCCGATGCGGGCGATACAACGGATACAACTGCACCACTAAAGACTGCTCCTGACACTGGCGGGGAGCACGTCGCTTCGTCGTACGTATCGCGCTCTTATATTGCTTTCATGGAGCATCAGATACTTAGATAAAATCAGCTCGCACACACCGCAACGCTGTGTGGCTCGCCGCCACTCCGCATCACCGAGTGGCTCAACGCCACCTCAGACGAGTGCCGACGCCACTCCGGTGGTCCATACCCCCTTACTCCCATTTGCCAGCATACCACCACTTCCTTACACACTCGAAGACATCCTCTATCTTCAGGAAGTACTCCCCTGGGAGGAGTTCCAAGAATTGGGATCAAGAGAGGTTGATTGGGAGGACCACAGCAAACTCCCTGACGCAGGGGACGGTTTGGAACATGACGAGTATGTGATTATTCGGCTATTATCTACTCGATGACTGATTAAGTTTTAATCCAATCCGCATGTATCAATTAGTTTTTGGAATTTCTTCAACCCAGAGGGTTCAGCGGCATTCGGGCATGTCAGTCCGCTCGCCTCTCAACAACTCTCTCCTGCACACGCTCTCGGCTTCAGGACGGCACCGACAGAGTACAAGCAGCCAAAATGTCGCGGTCCTTCTGAGAGCTATTGGATTGCAAGGTATGTGTTTCACATGAAGCTTCCAGAACTGGGCGTGAAAGTTGACTCTTGCCTATGCATAGCGACAGCGCATCCACGGTATGTGGCGACGTAGACGTCCATTTGTCAGGCCCACTGATATCAACTTGGCCGCATCCCATCGAGCAGCAAGCTCCGCCAGTCCTACGGAAGACAGATCACTGCAACTTGAGTGACTCGGAGAATCGTGTTCCTGAAGATGCTAGGGCAGCAGGGATGTTCATGGGGTCACATAACAGAAGGTCTCAGAGGTGCGTCTCATCGCTCAATTGTGTCGCAGCTGTTCATATGTTCGACTTCAGCGCGAAAGCACCTACGAATGGGGACTTGAATGCATCCCCCAGCTTTGCCTGCGGATCATCTTCCGTGTACGTCGCATACATCCATTCTATACGAGCTGTTTTTGACATGATCTGTCTTGTAGAAATAGAGAGCCGCTCGCCGCTGCCTTATTGAACACGGGTGACTATGTATTGCCCGCTGTAATCAGTGGGTATGACTTTAGGGGCGTAACATATGGCGCTGCCTCTTTGCCGGCTGGAGCTACCTTATCAGCAGGTGCTCCTCTGCCCTCCAACGGTGATTCTTGATCTCGGCCTCATGTACAAACATCTGCTCATATGACACCTTCAGATGTACCATTCGTCGTCTATCCCGCCATCCGTTCCTCTCCGAAGCAGGAACATGAGCAGTGGTCTTCTCTGCCGGAGACCAAGCACTGCACACCTTCTGTCGGACGCGATGTGTCGCAGAGCCCGATAAACACTGCGGCCGCGACACATAAACGACCAAGAACACCCGCAGCCCCAGCATTGGTCGGAGGACCTGTCTCGCGGGATCGTCCACCGACTACATCCTCATCCGCGTCCTCTGGATCTGACGGCTCGGAAGTCGAAATATCCGACGACTTACGCGTCGCTTCAACGGACTTGATTACTTGCCAATGGAGACACATAGTGCCTGGGTTTCCGCCCTGCACCCATTCTTGCAGCCCGCTGGACATGTGGATGCACATCCGCACGGCTCATGTGCTCGGTAATCGCTGCAAGTGGGGCGAGTGCGACAGAACGGGTGGCTTTTCCAACCTCAAAAGGCATGCTGAGCGTGATCACCTCTGCATAAAGTGGAGATGTCCTTCAACCAGATGCGACCTCTCACTCTCCAGGTTTGATTCGCTCGCGCGACACCTCAAGACGAAGCATTATTGCACCTCTGGTGACGCTGTCGAAGAAGATGATGAGATTGAGTCAGCTCGTAGCGGCTTAAAGGGCTCACAAGAAGCACAAAGGCCTCAGAGGGCCTCCAAAGCTGGCCGCAAACGGCCTGCGGACGAGAACTTGGATCAATCCTCGCGGAAGAAGCCATACAAACACATCCGATCCCAATAATTGTACGCTAGCCGCCTCACATTTCGTTTGCTTCATCTTTTGCTTCGTTTTTGATACTGTCTATATAATCATCACACTACGGATTGCTGTAATATATGTACTCGACAAACATGCGATGAATGCAAAGCGGGACGCGCAATAATCTATTTCTCGCACACTGTTACATGAGCTCAGAGCTGAGAAGCACGCAATTTGAGACTTCCACATGCTGTTACATACAAATATATTAGTTGTATTATCATTTGACGATATCGAACAAATCCACCGCGTTCACATCAAAACATTCAAGTATTCAAGCCATTATACATTATCATTTGCCCTAAAGATAACCCATTGAATCGTGGACAAACATTAACAGTGCGACTCGTGTGCACTGTCGCCGAATGGTTGCTCGACGACATTATACGCGTTCAATCATGTGACCGCGGTGTCTTGAACAAGCGCCCGTGGCACTGACCACACCCTCGACCGCGACCATTGCAACCAACTCGTACTCGCTCTCGGTTCTCGAGAATCCACAGGACGCTTTTCATTCTGACAATGGAGGCTGGTCGCGATTATGTCTTATGGCTTGTTTCTGTCCAATAAACCCTCTGTGACTGGAACTGGTGTCCAACGGCGACGACGTTCAAGACATCAGTCATCTGGAATGTCTCACTTATCCCTTTGGCTCGCAAGAAGTACAACATTTATGTTATATTACGCTGCAACATCTCCAGAGCGCCTTGCCGATGCTTTCTGTCTCGCAACATCTGAAGGAGAGTGGATAACCGATACGAAATGCTGTGAACAAGTACCTATCGTTGGGGTTCTCAGTTCTGAAACCTGTAGCCAGCTTCGTTGGCGAATAGCTACTATGTCTCGCACTAACAGATCGTACTGGATGACGCATTCAAGCTTCGATGTTGACGGTGAGTGGGATGCTTATCCGAATATTCAATTCATCACAATTCCTTCTCATCAGCCACAATCCGGCTCATTGAAACATTACTATTGGGTGAAGAAATTATGATCCTGTGTCAGTGGCGGGAATATTCATGCCACGTCGCATATACCTACAGGTCTGTGTCGATGATTACGGGTTTTAAACTCATATAGAAAGCCCTCCCTCTATTCTCACCAGGATATCATTCGTACATTCGAAACACTCAGCGCCCACGGTGACATCTTATTGCGACCTGTCGATAGGCTCTGAGGGCTCTGTGAATTGCCGAAGGTGATACCATTCGTGTTCAGCCAATGTTATATAAGACCTTGTATGCTCTTAAAAATATCACACATTTCACAATGCAGTTATCGGTTTGAAAACCACCTCACGTTTAAGATGAGCACCGTGAGTGTCATTACTCCTTTGATTGAGTACTAATGCCATGATTCCATGCAGATTCCCCTTCTCAACAAAGCTCGTCGTCTCATGAGTTCGACTGATGCAGTTCTGAGCGCAGAGGAGTACAAAGAGCACCTCGTTGCCACCTACTGCAATTTCATTTTAGCATCTTAGCGGTGCCACGCTTCGCGGCCACAGGCTGACCGCGGAGGCATCGGTTCCGGTAGCTAGGTACCGCTCAAGGGTCTTCCTATCTAGATATTGATTCGTGCGCCACGACAGGCCGGAAAATCCATCACAACGTGTTCGGTGTGCCACACACAATTGATCAATGGCCACTGCGTGTAATCGCGTCGGATTGGGCTCGGCGATCTGTTGACGCGTTGAATGCACGCCCCGCGCGTACCGCGCTCGCCCTATATCTATCCGGTGCTGTTCACCCTTGACTGCAACATCTGTCACGTACTCTCCTACGCAGACTTGTATCTTCCTTCTGCTTTACGTATCTCACGCTACACACTCTCCGGACTCATTCCTCCACTTGCCGTAACACTTGAGACTCTTTGCCATGGCCCAAGCTCGCACCCCGCTACCCTCTACAATTACCTACTCGCGATCAAATTCCGCGAACCTGGCACAATATGATCACGGGGCCAAAATTCCAGTTAACAACAAAGGCGCCTTTATTACCGAGTACGCTATCTGTTACTATCTCTGCAGTGCGATTGTAACAACCAATTCATCCATCGCGCAGTAGAAAACAAACACCCGCGTCTTCAACAGCAGCAGAAGAGGAAGGGGGCTCTGAGGTTAATGGTCCTTGTGAACCGGACACCGATTCACAAGAAACCATACCATCGCAGCCTGTCCCGTACACTTCTAGGTCAGGAAGTGGGCAGTCGTACGTATCGCTTGCTTTTATACGCGTTGTAAAGTGCTCAACAAAGGCCTGTAGGTCCGAGCTGCTGGTGGGTGGCCACTCCGAGTGGCCGAGTGGCTCGGCGCCACTCCGGACAAGTGCCGACCCGGCTGCTCGCTCGTCCGACGGCCTACGCCTCCCTTTGCATCTATCGGAGGCAGCCTATGAACATGATACCTTGGTCATTGGCTACCCAATACTAGTTCCCGCCGAATTAGGTGATACATGGGAGCACAGTGTGAATGAGGAAGACATCTTCCTCCCTCGGGCTGATCACTCCGGCGCGGTAACAGATTCGTTCTCTGATGAAAGGTGCGTATCGACTCGTGTCCTCGTAGTCAGCAAACTAACGATATCTGCATGAACTACAGCTATTGGAGTTTCCTCCGCTCAGCAACTCCGGAGTCGAAGCCCGGCCGAGTCGACTCGCGCATTCAAGAGGAGTTGTCCACTGTGCGTGAGCGAGACTTCGATTTCGCACTGGTTTTGGAGTACGAGCGAGAGAGGTGTCTAGGCGGGTTCGCGGACGGGGCATCATAGTGAGTATTCTCGAGATCGTCTGAGACTCGGTGTTGACTTTCATCTGCGCTCAGCGCCTCCGTTCTCGAGAAACGGTTCGGCATGAACATGAATTGGTCGGCGCCGCATATGTCCATCCGTAGACGTGCCACCGAGCCATTCATTTTCTCGCATCAACGTGGCAGATCACAGAGGTATGTGCTATGTATCATCGATGGAATGCAGCTGATCTATTTATCTGAAGCCCTAAGATGCTATCTGACCACGTGCAAGCCGGTACATGCGAGGATTCCCGGCAACAAGAAGGCTCCAGGCGGCCACCTTCGCGAAAGTAAGTATGTCGAAACGGAAGCATGTTGGGTATGCCATACTGATCTTTGACTGTGTAGGTCAATACGGCATCCGCCCTCTTCAAAATCGCCCAGCAGGTCCAGCCCAGAGCGTCAAGAGACAGTCAGCGGCGAAGAGCTTAGAGACGTGGTATGCGCTGCGGCGGCTTCGCCGGCTGAAGTCGACTCCCAGGCCAGCTCGTGTGGATCCTCCCTGGCATGCTCTCGCGGCTCCTCTCCTGTCAGATTATCATCTCGCTCTTCGTCCCGATCATCATCTAGTTCAGACTCATCGTATGTCCCATCCGACGCGGAAGGTCTCAACGGAGCTTCTCGGAAGCAGAAACGCAAGCAACAACCTGAACCTCAAGCTGTCACGGCAAACAAGGCCCATTTGCAGGATAGCATCCCCTCAGCTGTAGTCGGGGGTGCAAAGCGCAAACGAGCTACGCTGGCATCGCGACAACCCCCTTCAACGAGAACAAACGTCAATCCTGCAAGTATTGCAGTCCCCGATCGGCCAAAGGCATATGCTGTGGACCGTGGTGGTGATATCAATTGCCCATGGCCTGACTGCTCGCACAGTGCGAGCGTGCTGCAAATGCGCGACCACCTTTCCCAGAATCATAGGCGCGATTCCTCATGTTGCTACTGGCCGGGGTGCCAGGCAAACCGTTTCTCTTCAGCGGCGAGGCACGTTGACGATCATCACCTCAACATTGAATGGATATGTCCCGCCTGCAACAGTACCTTCAAGAGCGAGCGGTCGGCGAACCGGCATATCTCCCAATCTTGCGAGGCGTGGCAGCGTGTCGATATTGAGGAGGTCAAGGAGAACTGGACCAGTGATGACAACGGTCAGCGATCGATTCAAAGCGAGTTTAAGTCCTTGGGGAATGAGAGGCCGACTAAGCGTAGAAAGATATGATTCCTTAATATTCGGATGCATGATAAGATTTATACCCTTTCATTTCCTCACCCACTGTACTATGTCTTGTGTACTACTCAGACTTTGCATTGTACATTAGATCAATTTGCTCGGCCTTCTCACAAAATGAATTCATAAAGTAACAGAATCATCATATTTGTGCACAAGGTTGACACGAGAATGTGTCTGTAAGTCGCCGCGGAAGAGTCGGGCGTCCACGAGTGACTTACTGTTAGCACAAGCGCTCGTCCGGTTCAGAGCGCCCAACGACGGAGGCCACGGACGCGCAGGTCAACCTTAACGGTGTACATGGCCACGGCTTCCTTTGCATCCTCGCCTTTCCGTCGACCTATGGCTGACCTCACTCTCATCTCGTCTGACAATGCAAAGTTCCACGTCCACCAAGTGATTCTCAGCAAGGCACCCATGTTTTCCATGCCTCAGACAGCAGCTCGAACGACGATGATCACGGCCTGCCTACTGTCCTAGCCCCAGCTTGCGCTACTCGCCTCCCCACGTTGTCGACATTCGACTCCGAGTCGTCTTTCCTATGTGCGGTCGCGTCGCTGGAAGCTGCCACGGAGGACGAACTCGAAGTGGAGAAGGTGTTCGATGCTGTGGCGCCCGTGCGGCCTCTCTTATATCCTAGGCGTGTACCCTCTTGCAGTAGTCCCGGTTCCGAGAATACAAGCTGGGGATATGCATCCGCAGGCTCGTAGTATCATGACAGCAACACTCCCACTGATCCGCTAGCTACCTCTGTTGCGCAGTCCTACTGCTTGACCCTCTCCCTCGCAGGAAGTACGGTCTCTGCGATAGCAAAAATTGCAAAGCTTCCCAATATTGTGTTGTCGCAGTGCTGAGCGTTGCGATCAGCTTTTTCACTGGAAGCGACGTGGATGCTCTAATGCTTGGCAGCGTTTTCAGCGCATTGAACCAATTTTCCTCCCTGGAATGGCGCGGCGAAGTAGGAACCGTATGTTTGCAAGGAATTTCCGAATGCCCAGCTAGTCATCCTGCGAATATACGACGTCGACCACCCAAGTGTTGCTCCTCCACTGTGCACATGCATGTTCGCATCCCTACGTTACAAGTCGTTATCGGAATCCAGGGACGTTGCAACCCGGCGACTGTCAATTACTACTACCGTCCACCTGTCTACCATAGATGAACTCTGGCCACAGTGTGAGCTGTATATGAGGCTACTACAACACGATGTATACCCTCATGATCGATTAAGGAAGGGTCTTGCTCCTGTGGACGAACATATGAAGCTCGAGCTCGAGCACGCTTGACCTTGATGTCCAACCTGCAGCGTAACAGGGTGCTCTCTTTCGCGGCTCTGCCTTGCTTGCATCCGTTGTGCGCGGCTGACTGCATCATCAGTAGCATCGACATTGAGAAGAGCTGATGATCGATCAAGACAGACTGTCAATGCTGTTGGCCATCGACAAATGCATCGTCGGTGACATATAGCTCCATTCCAACATGCCAGTCGCCGTCGCTACATAACGAGTCCACACACCGACTCTCTCTTTTCTCCGCCCACATCCCCCGCTCACTGCCTGCACACAGTCTAACGTGTATCGCATCACTATGTCACCTGCCAATCTTTTCTTTCAGCCTTTCCGTTTCATAGTCACGGACGTTGTGGACGTTCCCTTGGGTCCTGCTTTTCTTCGTCAGCTCGGTTCGCATCCTGACAGTCGCGTGCCTTTCGAAGTACTCTGTGCGGCCAGTGTTATGCTCTTCATGATATTCTTCACCTGTTGGTTGGCGTGGGTTCTACGAAACAAGGTGCGTCAGAGAGATTTGGGTTCCGCCAGCTGTGCATTTACGCGTGCGGGAAATGGACAGGATGTCAAGAAGCCGACTATATGCGACGCGCTGGGAGCGTCGATAATCCTTGAACGAGCTTTTCGCGCAGCGATGCCGTGGACGGCGATTACAACTATGGTCCCACCTGAGGGAGAGGAAGCGAACATGTCGAAATCAGGAGGAAACCTCTCGCAAAGAACCTTGAACCAGGATGATCGCATAGCACCACCATACCCAGCGAGGCTCGATATACCGTGGCCTCAAACTCCTCTCGCCGAACCATTCGCCGAAGATATCGTGATCACTTCGACACCACAAGCAAAACTGCACTCTGCGCGTAGTGGCTGTGGCGTTCACCTTGGCTGCGTTCTACCTAAGCGGAATGCGTGGCTCGGAACTCGCATGACGGACTCGGTCTCTGTTAACCTGCTGTCACAAGATGAGACGATCACCTCACATAAGACACTGGAGACATCTCCAAGCCTCCCTTTTTCTGAGATCAGTGCGATGCGTACTCCTATGAGCAAACAAATACAGGCAGAATCGGCGAAACCATATGCCCTGCGCGAGCAGTATGCGCATATAGGCGCAAATTATAAGACAAGATGCGTCCTTTCGTCTGCAGACCAACGGCGGCAGAGGCATTGGCGTGCTTGTTTGGTGCCGAAGTGCTCGATCTACTACGTCAGGGCGGTCAAGATCCGACTAGCAAGGGAAGTGTCAAGGATCACCCTCCTGAAGCTATGCAGTTGCGATTGGGCGGAATGGTCAGTCGAGGACAAACCTCCCGTGCGAGCGACGTGTGGTGGATATTCAACCCTGCGCAAAGCGCTCCGTGTTGCGCCTCCCGCATCTCCGATCTCGCGAGGTGTCTTGGGGATCGCAGGTCGGGCCGTGGAACCCAGACGTCGGCCACCTATCCTCGTTGTCGAAGATTCTATGCTGAAGGCTCTGCTGCTGCGCTTGGCTTCTGAGGGGCTCCCTGCGTCGGGCCTACTTGGTTTTCCTGGTGTGTTACGGCTGGATGAGACGATCTTTCGGTCACTTTTTGGAGCTTGCTATGTGTCTCGTGAAGATCGTGCCATCAGCTTTGTGTCTACGACTGGGCGCGCCGGTCAATTTTCTGACAACAGTCATGTGGAAGTCAATGTCAGCCGTGACAAGGAGCCACTCGAACAGTGCTCTCCTGCTTTCATCCGCGAGCCAGACGCACAATTCGACCGCGACACCATCGACGGCGAACTACAAGCAGACGATATCAACTTCTACTTTTCACCCGCGGACGGACCCGTGCTGAACAAGCTCCTGCGCAAGCATGGCATCCTCGCCTGGAAAGTCCTGCACATGAACATGTTCCCATGGGGAGCAGCGTTCACGTTGCGTCTCATGCTGCACAACCCCGCTATGTGGTGGAGCGGCTTCAAGCAGGAGTACATCGCGGGCATTGCTGCCGTCGCCCCGAATGACCGGACCGCGCATCGGGTGCTCTGGCTGAGGGACCATGCGGTGGGCGTGCGGCTTGATTGTTGGGAGGAGTGGACGCAATATGTGGCGAAGAATCCTCGGAGTCCGTTTGTGTTTGATGTGTGGGAGAGGCAGAGGGAGGAATGTAGGCAGAAGATGGAGGAGGATATGGCGCGTCGATTTCGGTGAGGGGTGATTCGCGCTGCTTAGCGAGGAGGCGATGGAGAAGCAGGTCTTCTCCCCGTGCATTGATACAGCTAGCTATCACACTCGGTGAGCTTCTACCACTCCAGTGTTAATGGAAGTGGCGAAGACACGTGCCCGAGAGATGAGAGATGAGAAGGATGGTATGATAGCCGTAGGCCCGTGGTCCAGTCTACTAGTTGTTCAGCGCACCGCGCGATGTGCCATGCAATTGCAATGAACGACACTTTTCTTCACTTGAAAACATCGTGATGGCAAACACCCGTCGCAGACCAGCCAATGGAATGCACGAGTTCCCGACAAGGCAAGCCTCGTCGTCGAGTTTAGCTCTATGGGCGTCTATGATGGCCGATGGGCGCCTGTGAGAGCTGGTGCTGGACATCCAACGGATGCTCTTATGTTGTGAGGAACGTCTTCGAAGCTGGTATCTCCGGTGTATGATTTGCGAACCAAGGAAGAATCCGACTTGGGCATGAAAGCGAAGCTCAGGGAGGGAGTGGCTCAGTCAAAAATCCAGTTGGCAATCGGTCGCCGTATCTGTATTGTCTGCGTCTGATTCGTGTTGTACGATGCTGTGCATTGCAGCAGAGTGATAGTAGCAGGTGAGAGGAGACTCGAATGAAACGTAGACGGTCACTCACGTCTGCCAGCATGCTTTTGAAGTCCACAGCGTAGGTGGCGCTCTTGGCAAAGTGAAACGATATGACCCATAGGACGCTGCTTCACCCGACCCGTTTGCAGCGCATCCGTATCGACAGGTTTCGCGTCGACTTCGTGGCTTTCTGTGCTGTGTAATGGCCGACAAGAGCCGAAACAACGGGGTCGAGTGACGACCAGGAGACATGATACCGCCACAAGGAAGACGGCGAGAAAGAGATCTCAAAGTGAGCATGCAGCTTCGTTGGTATTTTGTTCATGTAAGTCTACCGCGTTATCGAGTCCTTCTCAGGGGACCAAAGATCTCTGGCGTTGGGTGGCGAGCTGAGGCGGTGGACAGGGCACACTGAGCAGGACGGCCTCGAGCGGCAACAAGCCTCCCATCAAATTCTGGGGTATCACGCGGACAAAGGCATCGGGTTTGGAAGCATTTTGGAGTCAACATGCGATGCCACTTGCACTGTGCAACGTGTTGCGACTTCGGACATCGCGCCACACCGAGCGACACCTCGCATAGCATTACCGGTCCCTTCTCCCATATGAGGGCGTTCAAAGATATTCCTCTACTGCTGCAGTATGCAGGCTGACTTAAAGGAGGCCCTAGCTGCAGCATTTGTCGAGGAACTCGATGGAGATAGGACAAGGGCGGCGGTCCAAGCCCCAGGCGCCTATCAATGGGCCCATCAATACGTTCTATGTTCCGGACGATCTTGAAGGGTCCTTTGCGGTTAAAAATCATATCCGATGTTTCGCGCGAACTCTCACGCGTTGTCCAGTGGCCATGTCAGAAGTCAGCAGTGCCTGGGCACGCTGGCATGCGTAATAGGATTTTTGCCACGCGAGCGGCACCTCGCACAGCATTACCGGTCCCTTCCCCCGCATGAGGGCCTTCAAAGGTATTGCTCTACTTCTGGCGGCACGTACGCTGAAGTAAAGCAGGTCCTAGCTGCAGCATTTCTCTAGTAGCTCAATGGACGTAGGGCAAGTAGGGCGGTCCAAGCCCCAGGCGCCTATCAATGGGCCATCGATACGTTATATGCTCCGAGACATTTTGGGTGGCCCTTTACGTTTTAGAAGCATATGCAATGCTTCTTGCGCAACTTCTCACAGGTTGTCCTGTGGCCATGACAGAAGTCATCAATTTTCTGGGCACGCTAGCGCGCGTCACAGGATCCCCGCGACGCTACGCGACCCACCGCTCCGCCTCGGCGTTGCTCGGAAATTAAAGATTGTCGTGTGGGCGTGTGGCCCTAATGGAAACTCCGCGATGTATTGATCTGGACGTTCTGTAGAGGCTTCTATGGGGGCTTTGACGTTCCCAATATGGTTTGTGTCCTCTCAATATAAATCCTCTCCTCTGTTCCCTTGCTCTGCATTGTCGCCGCTTCCCCATTGCCTCTTGTCCAGTCTCTCCTGCCAATTCTAACATCTCCAGTCAAGTTGTCGATGCTCACCATGGATGCTGGTTCTTCTTTCAATGTCAACGACTTCATTTCCTACCCCGATTGGGTCCGCGAGGATGCGGAGTTGGGAGTTAGAAAGTCAGAGACTAGGTGCGCATCTCGCATTGTTCTCGCATCCACAGCTTTCTGACCGCTAGGTCTTAGTGCTGCCGTCTATCAATCGATACCAGATTACCCAAAGTAAGTTCATGAAGGCTTGATGTTCCTTTCATAACTGACGCTGGAGACTGGCCAGTATCACAGCATGGGAAAGGAGGTTTGATCAGCCGGGACCGTATGTCAATTTGTTGCTGCGTGCCTAACCTGGTCACTATACGTGCGGTGATTCTCATTGTCTGTTTTGCAGGAGCAACTGTCCTGGAATCGGTGGCGAAGACATCAGTGGCAGTGGACTCGGAATTGGCTCAAGCGTTCCTGGTCCTTCGTCATTGTGCGTAGAATTCTGCCCTGCGTCCTCTGTATACAGCAGCTCATCCTTTACCTGCGTCAAGTTTCTTGGGTAGCAATGGCCGAACTTTCCATCACCCATCTTACAATATGGGGGCCGACATGTTCATGGCACAGTACGTGTACTACGCTACATTTGTAGCCCTACTCTGATGATAAGTTGTACTCGTTCGTCAGAGCCCAGCGGTATGGGAACGGGCAAATTGCGCAAGCTCCAGTAGCTCCGGCGTATATGCGTACGCCTCAGCCCGCCTATCCACCAGGTTTCCACACCACTCCCTTTCGAGCCGCACCGGTGGCAGGAGGTGCAGATGACTCTTTCCCCGCTGCCACTTGGCGCCTCGCAAGGCACGAGATCGAGTTGTATATGCCCAACGGCGCTACGGATGAGGCAGTCGGACGTCCTTCAAAACGCTCTCGCCACAATGCCACCGAGCCAGGACCTCCTCTCACAGTATATGCACCTGGTGCTTCTCCTTTGCTGGGACTTGAACACCATCTGTCCATTCCTGCGAACGACTTCGATATCAGCAAGATTGATCCCATACTTCTAGCTGAGTCTCCTCTCGGCACGAATGGTGGATCTACGTCGTCGCGGGCCCATGATTCGATCGCAAGTTCTTCATCCCAGCAGGTGCATGCTTTCGTGGCACCGCCGTCCGTCCCTGTCGCGGGCCCATCCAGGTCCTACGACACCTGGAGTTACTCACTGTTCGAAAACATGCCAGCGGCAAGCCAATCGCCAGCTCCTGCAGTCTCGCCACCGGTTGCGTCCTCCTTTTCTGCGGGCCCATACACAGCTGCCTTGGCGTGCCCGTCTCATCCCTTGCATACTCTTTCTGACCTCGAGATCTCCCCGCACGGCGGCTATCCCCACTCTGGCTCCGTGCCTCCTCCGCAGCAGTCACACGTATTTTCTCTGGGTATGACCTTGACAGCAACTAACTCAAATCAACAAGCCTCACCACCACATGGCAATGACGAGCATACCGGGGACGCGGGCGAGACTGGCGAATACCTTTGCAAGTGGTGGCTTATTGAGGAAAATAAAATCTGCGGTCACATATCCAAAAGCTGGGAGGACCTCCATGAGCATTGCAAGAGCCTGCACTTTGATCACAACGCTGGCTATGTTTCTTGTTGCTGGCAGGACTGCAAGAAGAAGAACCGGATGAAAATCGAGGGGCTTTACAAGCACCTGAAGATTCACTACCAGCCGCCTGTTCAATGTGGATGGTGCAAACATTATTTCAGCAGAACTGATTCCCTTCGACGACACGGGAAAATTTGCGGAAGTCGTCCCACTTCGGCAGTACCTTCAGAGTTGATGCAGGAAGGAACCTTGCAGGATCTACAGGATGCAACGGGGCCATCGGAATCTCAAACGCTGGCAGGTCTGTTGGGATTGGAGAGAGAAGACGCGTCCGAGCTTGCCTCAGAGGCTCGCGCTTTCACTGGGCCCCCGGAATCCGAGGTCTCAGAAGGTCTTGATGGTCCTTCCCAATCTCGGACGACATCGGAGGACAGATCTACCGCTCGCGAGACCCATGAAGTCCCTCGCTCCACAGAAAGGATGATGACGAGGCAAAGGCTTCGGTCGAAGACGCAAGTGCCGACGTCGAAGAAAGTGAGGCCTACGCAACGTCGTAAAACTGCCCATCGCGTGCCGCGCGAAGAGAGGAGGATCGAAAGCCAACGTGGAGCGGAAACGATGCATCTACAAAACGGGATGACTTTGAGACCTCGCCCAGCTGCTCCAGCCCCCATATCAGGTCGTGCAGAAGAATCATCTAAAAGCAATCGGGTTTCAGCCACAGATGAGCCTGCTCAAGATTCTGGATCGCGTGAGGGCACTCACCGCCCATTGAATGACCAAGGTGATCAATCGCTGAAGAGGAAGAGGCATTAGATGGAGAGGTATTGTCTTATCACGGATTTCTTTCTTCGTTTTTCCATTGCTTTACTTGTACAAGTATAATTCATCATCTGCGATGTTGCGTGCATAGCAAAGTGTTCCTAGCATGATTGTATATCCATTACGGTTCCTTCTCTAGTCGCAGTTCCTCTCATACGACGATGTATAGATGTTCATGTATATAACGTGCCATGTCTGTGGAAGTTGGATAATCTGACTAAAATGGCGGGATTGAGAAACATGTAAAGATTGGGGCGACAACTGTGTACCTGAGAGCGGATGATGTCGATGAATGATGCGATAGAGAGCGACCTGAGCAGCTAAGGGGCGCAGCGGCTGCATGGATGAATGACATTTCCCCGGCAACATCCTCGAAGCAAGCCTGCATGGAGGCTTCATGCTGTGGAGGACTCGATGCGAGCCGGTATCGTTCGCCAAGGTTCAAATTTCTGCGAAGGTTCCAGATAATATCAGTAATGTCTCGAGCAAAGAAGCCTTCCGACTCTACATCGATGATACCCACATGAAGCTTCAATATCCTGAATCTGATTTGGTTCAAAACGCGGAACGCGATTCGCTAACGTCACCATTAATAGCTCGACCTCAGTATGCCGAATACGCCAATGGCGGGCAGATAGTTGAGGGGCTTGCCACGAGCGGTTTATTTGAGAATAAGCTTTTCACATCGTGGTGCTGACCTGCTGCGTTCATGCGCATTAGAAATATCAGCATTCAATGTAACATACGCCTCCGAGCGATCGAATGCAGCCAAACAGCATACTTTCGTCGCGCTCGCAGTGATTTTGCGCATGAGTTTTCTCCTCGACCTCATTTCGTTCTTCAATGTTGCGTTCTCGCCGGAAACGATTGCAATTGTGTCTTGATCATGATGAACGTTGTCGGCGAAGAGTTCATTTGATCGAGACTTCCAACCGCGCTCGTCGCCGCAATAATAAGGCAATTGCTGTGGTCGTGAAGTACCAGCTATGAGCTTCTCGCTTCGCCCAATCCGTATAATGGCTATAACGTCGTTCAGAGGTAAGCCAGGCTCAACCAGGACGAAAGGAAGCCGGATGCAGTGACGAAGAGAAAGATATCTCAAGAGGGCGAGAGCTATGAGAAGGCGCACAAGGTCCATGCAATCCTGGATGACTCGACCTTCTCGGAAGACAGATACCTCACTCGCCAACTCCACCACTCACTCATCTCACACCACGTATCACTCAGAACTAATGGAGTTATGGTATTACCTCATGCTCCCAAGGTATATTACTAGATCAGTACTTAGGGGACACTAGCTTGCTTAAACTCAGCACCTGCACGAAGAAAAGCCCATTCATGAGCCTCGAACACCACAGCACAGAGCGGCGATACAAACCTTACACGGTGATGCCGAGGATGCTGATAAGGACGGTGACCTTGAGCGTCACGAGGATGTTCAGGACGTCACCGGCGAGGCTGACGATCAAGCTGATCAGGCCGCTCAGGCTGCCGTTGACGAGCAGGAGGATCGCGCAGACAAGGCAGCCGAGGACCTCACTGTTAGATAACAATGATCAGCGAATGTGCGAGAGAGGTTGGATGATGAAAGCCACGTACGCAAGGCCAGCAAGCAGAGCCGTCACACACTCCAAAGCGTCAGAGCTGACAACAGCAAGGACTGCAGCGACAGCCTCAAGGATGAGCTGTGCATACGAGTCAATGATACTGTATATGGGACACTGAAGAGGGAGGTGCTCACGGTGAGGAGGCCAACAATGGCACCCGCGACTTCAGCAACGGTGAGCAGGACGCCGTCGGTGGTCCCGAGAATCACCGATGTCGACTCGCCAACGAGAGCGTTGATCTCAGTGAGCGCATCACCGAGGACGGCCTTGATGTCCAATACAATGGGCTCGATGATATCGATAGTTGCGTTAGCGGCCGTGAGGTAGTCTGCATCAACCTTCTATGAGCACAAAAAGGCGAAGTAGGATTGGATTGGTGGAAGAGAAGCAACGTACGGAACTCGACGGTGTACTCCGTCACCTTGACCGTCGTCTCATTAATGATCGTCACAACGTTCTTGGTGTCACGGGGAACAAGGCCCTTCGCGCTCGGGACAGAGTGCACGGGAACGGTCTTGGAAACACCGTTCACGAGCGCGGCGGTCGGGACCGCGGCGTTCGTGGGGGCCGCAGAGGTGAAGGCGCTGAGCGCGAGGGTGGCGAAGACAGAGATGGCACTGAAGGAGAGCATTTTGAAAGGAATGTAAGGGAGTGGTGACGATTAGCTAGTGAGAGAGGAGATGGGAAACTATTTGACGGAGGTCAATGGAGTCCGCCAGTCTTGCGGGCACCCTTTTTATATGCTAGAAAATGTGGCTGAGACCGCATGGGCCCGCCCCGCCGTCGCGGCTGCTTCTAGATCCGTAAGTGGTACCATACGCGAAGGCGCGATTGACCGGGAACACTAAACCCGCATGGCATGGGTTGATCGAACCGGCAGAAGCTCTCGCTAGCGTCGAGCCGTGTGCTTGGTCGCAACGTCGAATGCAGGGTAGGCGACCAGAAACACACTTCCATTCATCGGTTTTAGTGGCCATCAGGGCACGCAGAGTGTCACTGAAGAGTTGCTTTCTGAACATCTATCAATGCGGGCCAGTATCATCGGTGGAATGCGTCCACCACCTTGAACTTGGCAGCATCCGATGCGCATCGATTCGCCAGGAACGGGATGTGCTTCGCGAAGCATTGAAGTGGGTGATTACATGTACGCGTCCGCGTATTTGATTCTATAGTAACGCGCCGAGCGGGCAGTGCTAAAGGCGCGTTGAGCCAATCGCATCGCAACACGAAATGGCAGAGGACGCACCACGGACGGCGGATGTTCGTATGCGAGAGGATACCTTGCGATCCGGCCCAAACATAGAAATGATCGGCAAAAACATCGCAGAAATTCCGATGGGATGGAGGTGAAACATCGCTAATGGAACGATGTCAATTAGCTGTTGCCAACGCACCGGGTAAGCGTTTACGCAATTAGCTTCTCGAGTTTCACTTCCCGTTGCGGAGGACTCGGTCAGCGATTATTGCGATGACAGAATGCGCTGGCATCATTGTCGGTCCCGAGTACTCTGCACGGCTGAAAGAAAGACTGCAAAACTCTTGGGCTCAAGAATCAGCATGTTCAGAAGACGTCTAGGCACTATCCAGGTCGGAATTATGGTCGGAGTTGAATACGGGCACTCAGCCAGCTGTGATACGTGCGATGAATCGAAGGATGCGTCCTTCTGGTCAGCTCGATGACAGCGTGGGCACAAATATGTGGCATTCTGAAGAGAAGCTGAGACTTGTACATGCTGAACGCATGGTGCAAGGAAGCTGTAGCTGTAGGCTATGAAAAAAACTCCCGCAAAGGGAGCTCAGAACAATAAAGATGCAACATGCGTTGGCGGATGAACTGGTCGTTTGAGAACAAAGACGAGCACGCTCACGGCTAGAGGCCCCAGCCTAACAGGAGCAAACAATCGCCCGCTGCCGAGCTGTGGCTGACGGGCGCACCGAAGCCACATGAATTCGACGGCCAGCTACCTGACCAGAATGTCCAATATCCTTCCCTCGATCGAGAGCTTTGCCAAAGTGAGCGAGCATGCTCTTCCTGCCTCCTCCCAGTGACGCTCAACGTCCTCACCGAAGGGCACGGTCGCAACAGCCGCGGGCATCGGCACGCTTGGTGCGTCTCTCTCTCTCTCGCGGAAATCGCTCAGTCCCGACACGACGCGTTGCAGGTGTCGGATTGTTGTTTTTCGGGCAGAACTATCTCATCTACCCGTCCGCCTTTCCACCTGGCTCGCGAACAGGTACGCTACGCGTATTTTCGCCATCCCGGATGACTCTATCTCGCCCATCGAGGACTCACCGATGTTCTAGAGGTCCCGCTACCTATCGATTTCGGTCTGCCGTACCAAGATCCAGAATTGATCACACCAGATGGCGTGAGGCTGCGATGCTATCTGCTTTTGCAGCGGAAAGATATGTCGCACGTGGATGCACCGCCTGTGGATACGACGGAGGAAGAGACCGATGAAGAGGTGTGTATCAGGCTCTCTCTCTTCTTTTCTCCACATTGTGGGTCCATATGCATCCATGTACATCTACTTATGCGCCTTGCGTGTGCCAAGACCGTGCCTTGCGTTTTTTCTGCTAGCGTGCAGCTTGGGCTTGTCCGGGGTTGCTCCGTTATCCACTCGTGCTGCAAATTACCCGTGGATCCTCTTGATGCAGATCTGTCAATCAGATTGCTCGCATTACGACCCGCGGATGTGCCAACGATTGAACGTCTACACCATGCATCTATTTTGCGGGATCTTCTGAATCACTGACGAAGTCCCCATTAGTTTGCCTCCCGCCGTCCTACTGTCATGATGTTCCACGGGAACGGTGGCAATGTCGGACACCGCATCCCACTCGCGAAGGTGTTCTACGTCAAGATGCGTTGTAACGTCTTCATGCTATCATATCGAGGGTCCGTATGCTTTGCCATATCTCTGTGCACTGTGCCTTCAGGCTAAGACGACCGCGCAGGTACGGCCGATCTGAGGGAAGCCCGTCAGAGAAGGGCGAGTAACTGCTATTTCTCTCGCCACAATCACGCTGATCGCTCGGATTCAGGTATCAAAATGGATGCACAAACTGCACTGGAGTTTATTCTCTCCCACCCAGTGCTATCACGATCGCCAATCGTACGTACAACGGACACTTCTGCACTCTGACCCGCGTAACAACCCTCCTTTCAAGGTCCTTTACGGCCAATCCATAGGCGGCGCCGTGGCCATCGACCTCGCCAGCCGGAACCCACGCGCCGTACATGACCCCACTTTTCTTCACACATCTGAGCATCCACTCATCCACGCATCTCTCCTCCACAGATCCGCGCGCTCATCCTCGAAAACACCTTCCTCTCCCTCCCACGGCTCGTACCGACCGCCTTCCCGATCCTCGGCCCGCTCTCCTTCCTCTGCCACCAAAAGTGGGACAGCGTGTCCAAGGTGCCGCTTATTCCGCGCGAGATGCCGATCCTGATGCTCAGCGGCGTGTGCGACGAGGTCGTGCCCCGTGAGCATATGCAGGCACTCTGGGAGATCGTGCAGCGCCGGGCGGGCGGCGGCTCGCGAAAGGGCGAGGAGAGCGAGAAGGACGGGCGGAAGGTGTATAATGTGGTTGGTGGGAGTGGCATGTCGAGGTTTGTGGAGTTTGAGAGGGGGACGCATAGTGAGTTGATGTGATGTCTGTTTTCTTTTGGGTCTTAGCTGAAGCTGCTCGCATTCAGACGATACGTGCGTCCAGAAGGGATACTGGACGACCGTTGCAGAGTTCCTCGCGAGCTTGGATGACTGGCCATCCCCTGCATCGTCCTCGTCATCGTCATCGTCATCATCCTCACTATGAGCGCCTTACACCTTTTCCGTCCTACGAACATTTCACGCCTACACTAGCTCGAGATCGACGTCGTTAAGCAGGGCAGAGATACTACATCCTTGTTCTGTCTTCCGTTTGTACCTTCCCTTTTGGCCCCTCGTTTGTCGGAGATTTGTTGTACATCAGGATACCACACGGTGTGTCTTCTATGGGTTATAGTTATAGTTATAGTTAGACCTTGATGCGATCATGTGCGATTGCGGTCTTTGAAGGGAAAGTGGTCTGCTTCCCGGCCCTGGCATCTTCACTGCAGCTTTCAGTATCCCGCTGGGACGTCCCACTTAACGGCGCCGTCATCGACGCACGTTTGATTGCATGGTTTTGTCTTTCTCTATATATAATCTCCTTACGTGCTCCATGCATGCATATAGCTGCCGATTCCATCGGGCGTTCCCATGCGCGCTCCCAGGGACCCTCGCAACTTCTTTGATTGATTGACGCGGAGGGCCGTCGGACGTTTTCAACCATGTTCAAGGCTTTGACGTGTTGATCCCCGATGATTGCTTTAATTATCGTAACGAACAAACTACGCAGTGGCATAACTCTTTCCGGCTGATGGTCGATCGCTTCAAGTTTATCATATCTCGAGGATCCCTGCTCATCTTTCTAGTTGAATCGAGGAGGGTGACCTATGAATCGTCACGCATGTAGCAAGTTTTGGGCCTCAAATTCAGGGTCAGTGCCGCACTTCGAACATGCTAAGGCCCTTCTCTTCACCTGGAAGCAAAGGCCTCAGTGCATCTCTCCTGTGACACCATCACAATCTGCGGAACATAGTAAACTCGTTCAAGACGATTGCCGCGTAGTTTGATCGTACCACTTATGTTTTCACAATAGCAAATGAACAGATGTATGATTGGGTCGACTAGGGCGCCCTCTCGGTGGGTTGAGTGCGGTGCCGAAAGTTTGTGAGGCGCCGATCACCTTGAAGGACCCATGCATGATGTGGTCATTTTTATGTAAGTCTTGCGTGGAGGAATGATGAGCGCTGAATGCTGTTCATGCATAGCGCGGACAAGACGTGCCCGGAGCCAATAATGTAAAGATCCAAGAACTGTAGTCCGTGGGCATTAATCTCTTGTACGGTCATCGGAGGACGTTCGCTACTAGTATACGCTTTATTTGAATGAAATATAGACAGCGCAAGGCCGGCATTTCAGCATCTCGTGGCCCGTGCAAGAACAACAGTATCAATATCAGCTCCTCAGGTCGCTCTATCGTAATGTTTATCGACATCATCCGCTCTCAGGTACACGGCGGTCGCTCCAGTCTCCAATGTCCACACTGCTTACTCGCGTCGTTTCAGTCAAATTATCCAACCTTTATAGACATGGCACGTTATATACATGGACATTAATACACCGTCGTCTATAGAGAAGTCATGACTAGAGAAGAAACCGTAATCGATACACAATCATGCGAGGGACACTTTTGCTATGCACAGGACACCGTAAACGAGCAATGATACTTGTACAAGTAAACCAATGGGAAAACAGAGAAAAGAAACCAAAGTGAGAAGATGACTCGACGTCTAATGCCTCTTCCTCTTGAACGAACGGACATATTGATCACCTTTGTCGTCCAATGCGCGGCGAGTGTCCTCATGCGATCCAGAGTCTTGAGCAAATTCGTCCGTGGTCGAAGCCTCATTGCTTCCAGATGACCCTTCTCCACGACCTGACGTTGGAGCCCGAGCAGCTTGACGAGGTCTCAGAGTCATTCCATTTTGTAGATGGGTCGTTTCCGCCTCACGTTGAACCTTGGTCTTCCCCTTCTGTTCAGCACGCCGCACCCGAGGAGCAGCTTTACGACGTCGCATAGGCCTCATTTCTTCCGGCGCCGGTTCTTGCGTTACCGCCCGAAGCCTTTGGGCCGTTAGCGTTCCTTCATTGGAGGCACGAGCCTCATGGGTCTCACGCGCACTAGCACTGTCCTCTGATGTCGCCCGAGATTGGGAAGGACCGTCAAGAGCTTGCGAAAACTCGGATTCCGGGGGCTCAGTCGGAATGCGAGCCTCTGAGCCAAACTCGGACGCATCTTGTCTGTCTGACCCCAACAGATCTGCCAGACTTTCAGGTTGCGGCGGCAACGTTTCATTTTGCGGCTCCTCAAGAGTCCCTCCTTGCGAGGGTTCTGCCAAAGTGGGACGACTGCTGCAAGTTCTTCTGTGTCGTGTGCGGGAGTCAACTCTTGAGAAATAGCCCTGGCACCATTCGCATTGAACACGCGGCTCGTAGTGGATTCGAATATGCCTGTAAAAGCCGGCGACTTTCATGGGTCTCTTGGAACGGCAACGCTGCCAGCAACAAGAAACTTGGTGAGCTTTACGATCGACGTGACTCCAGCAATGCGAGCTGAAGCTCTTCGAGTTCTTAGACTCGTAACCGCAAGGTTCGCCCTTGATCACCCACTTGCAGACATATGCGTCGTTGTCGCCTGCACCCTCGGGATTCGCTTCACCATTGCTGTGCTGTGGCGGGGCTTGATGTCTTACATTGTTCGCCCCATCACTCATAACCGGATGAGATGCAAATGTCTGCTGTGGTGAGGGTATGGGGTTGGAGTTAGGGTATCCGCCGTGCGGAGGAATCTCTGGATCCGGAGAAGCATTCGAAGGCTGAGACGCGCCTGCCACAGCAGCTGTGTATGCAGCTGCTGGGAAGGAGAAGGGGTCCGGAGGCAAGACTGCAGCGATTGGCGATTGGCTCGCCGCTGGTATAATTTCGTACGATGGGAAGTTCCAAGTCGTGTGAGACCTAGAGGGCCCTGCGACAGGGTCGGCCAGTGGTACCATGAAAGCATTCACCTCGTCGGATGATGAAGGTGCAGATGAGTCATGTGCCTGCGAAGACATAAATTGGGCATTCATGGTTATAGGAAACTCAGCTAGCAGGTCCGGATCAAGATTACTGAAGTCGAGGTCGTTGGGAAAAACGGGCGGGCTATATTCAGGCCGGGACAGAGCAGAAGGACCGGATGTATAGGATTTCGTAGAAGGACCTCTGGGCTCAGTGATAGCGTGTCGAAGCCGTTTTGAGGGACGTCCGACAGTCTCATCCGTAGTGCTGTTGTTCATGCTCATCTCGAAATTGGGCTGTCCGAAGCGCCAATTAGCAGCTCCAAATGGAGCGGTCTGTTCACCCGGTGGATAGGCAAGAGGACGGGGTTGAACCATATTTGTGTACCCTGAAACTGCTGGGAATTGCGGATTTTGACTGTGCCGATAGCGCTGCGCTCTGAGAACAAATACAATTCATCATCAGAATCGCGCCAGAAATATAGCATAGTACACGTACTGCGCCATGAACATATCGATACCAGTATTATATGACCGGGCAAAGAGGTTGCTATCATCGGCGCCCGAGACCCTTAATGCAGATAGGATGAGTTGTAGAGGAGAGAGGATGCAAAGGATAACTCTGCGCACGATGAGGAAGGACCGGGAAAGCCGGCGCCAACTTCGAATCCATTGCCACTGATATTTGTGCCACCAATCACCGCCCTGGTACTCCTGCAGAACAGAGAAGATGATGAGAACCATCGTACATAGAGCGACGCCGTTATGCACACAGAAATTAAATGACATACAGTCCAGGCTGACCATATCTCCCCTCCCATGTTGTTATACTGGCCAGTCTCAAGCGTCAGTTATGACGAAAATATCAATAATGCGTGAACGTACTTCGCATGGTCTAAAATCGGTTCGACGACAGCAGCACTAGAACAGAGGTTAGGACGCTGTAGATCCGAGACTGATGTGAGATGCGCACCTAGTCTCCGATTGATGACCTCGCAACTCCGCATAGTCACCGACCCAATCGAGGAAGTTGAAGTCGTTCGCACTCGTAGAAGAACTAGCGCCAGTACCATCCATGGTGAACATCGATAACTTGACTGGAGATGTCGGAATTGGCAGGAGAAACTGAACAAGAGGCAGTGGGGGAGCGGCGACAATGCAGAGCAAGGGAACAGAGGAGAGACTTTATATTGAGAGGACACAAACCATATTGGGAACGTCAAAGCCCCCATAGAAGCCTTTACAGAACATCCAGATCAGTACGTCGCGGAGTTTCCATTGGGGCCACACACCCGCACGACAGTCTTTAATTTCCGAGCAACGCCGAGGCGGAGCGGTGGGTCGCGTAGCGTCGCGGGGATCCTGTGACGCGCGCTAGCGTGCCCAGAAAATTGATGACTTCTGTCATGGCCACAGGACAACCTGTGAGAAGTTGCGCAAGAAGCATTGCATATGCTTCTAAAACGTAAAGGGCCACTCAAAATGTCTCGGAGCATATAACGTATCGATGGGCCCATTGGTAGGCGCCTGGGGCTTGGACCGCCGTACTTGCCCTACGTCCACTGAGCTACTCGAGAGATGCTACAGCTAGGACCTGATTTACTTCAGCGTACGTGCCTCCAGAAGTAGAGTTATACCTGTGAAGACCCTCATACGGGAGAAGGGACCGGTAATGCTGTGCGAGGTGCCGCTCGCGTCGCGGGGATCCTATTACGCACGTCAGCGTGCCCAGACATTGCTGACTTCTGACATGGCCACAGGACAACGTGTGAGAATTTGCGCGAAACATCGCATATGATTGTTGGCCGCAAAGGACCGTTCAAGATCGTTCGGAACATAGAACGTATTGATAGGCCCATTGATAGGCGCCTGGGGCTTGGACCGCCGCCCTTGTCCTATCTCCATCGAGTTACTCAAGAAACGCTGCAGCTATGACCTCCTTTACTTCAGTATGCATACTGCAGCAGTAGAGGAATATCTTTGAATGCCCTCATCCGGGAGAAGGGACCGGTAATGCTACGCGAGGTGTCGCTCGGTGTGGCTATTGATGTCCGAAGTCGCAACACGTTGCACAGTGCAAGTGGCAACGCATGTTGACTCCAAAATGCTTCCGAACCCGATGCCTTTGTCCGCGTGATACCCCAGAATTTGATGGGAGGCTTGTCGCCGCTCGATGCCCTTCTGCTCAGTGTGCCCTGTCCACCGCCTCAGCTCGCCATCCCACGCCCGAAAATCTTTCGCTCCCCTCAGAAGGACTCAATACCATGACAAATTGCATGAGAGACAGACTAATCGGGCGGCATGCTTACTTAGGATCTCTTTCTCGCCATCTCCCTTGTGGCGGCATCGCGTCTCCTGGCCCTCGCCCGGTTGCTTCTTCCTTTGTCGACCGCTAAACAGCACAGAAAGCCATGGAATCACTGGGCGATGTGTGTTCAAGGACGCGCTGCAGGCTGGTCGGGTCCAGCAGCATCCTAGAATCACGACATTCCACTTCGCTGTGGACTGCGAAGACGTACTATAAACGTGAGTAGCCTTTCATGTCTCAATCGAGTATCCTCTCACCTGCTACCATCACTCTGCTGCAGCGCATAGCATCGACAACACGAATCCGGTGGAGACAAAGCAGATGCGGCGACTGATTGTTGACTGAGCCACTCCCCTCCCTTGATTGCGCTTCATGTCCTAGTTCAACTCTTCCGCGGTCTATGATTTCTACGCAGCGGAGATCAGCTTCGAAGGTGTTCCTCCCAGCGTAAGAGCATCCGGCCAACCTTCACAGGCGCCCAGCAGCCGTCACAGACGCCCATAAGGCTAGTCATCGATGAACCTTGCCTTGTCAGGACATCATGCATTCCATTGGCTCTTCTGCGACGGGTGCCTTCGATGCTTTCGACTTTTTACGAAGTGCGGAGACTATTGCTGCTGGGGCGTGTGAAGATGTTGCTTGATGTGGATGACGTGGTAGAGAAAGTGAGAGATGTCATGACATCCCTGTAAGCGATTCTTTTCTCGGGACAAAAGGAGAATTATATTCTTTCGTTTGATAGGCTTCTTCAAGACCCTGGTTTAACAGTAGTTTGGAGGAGGAAGGCGCCAATCTAACGGCCAATGTGGAGGATGCTTCACGGAGAAAGGAGAAGGTTGAAGTCGACGATGAATATATTTGGGATCGAGGTCCGCAGCTTCGCTAGAAGGCTGGTGGAAACGCCGTCGTCTAATTCTGCAAAACGCGGATGCATTGGAAATCAAAGAACAAACAAAGTATGCCAGCTGCAGACGAACCGGCATCCGGTGCACCATCGTATCTGCTCGGCGAAAAACAGAGTGATGTCGAAACGCATGTCTACAATACCATGCTGTCCGCGCAAAATGGATTCTCACGCAAAATGAGGAATGACTCAATGAGTATGCCATGCACGAACTCACCCATTCCCTTCTCCTTCCCCTTCTGTAGAGAGGGTGGACCTGTCACTCCATTGAGTGTATCTATCGTATTATGAGGGATGGCTGTCGATAAGACTGATTGACTTGAACGTTAGTTCGTTTGTGCGTTTTCGCGCCCGGGCCGCCGGATGGATGCCCATAGGATGCCCATACTAATACTCGAGACTCAATAGAACGTTTACCACTGGACCCGACGTATTCATGTGTGACTGATGTAGCACCTCGTCTTCATATGTATCTTCAGTACGAGACTGTCCATATATTGCACAAGATCATAAATGCGCCGACGAATCGCGGTGCAGCTGGCACAGTACGTTGTGACCCAGCGTCCTGAGTCCGCTGTGAGTCTGAGGCCCAAGCTTACACGTGCACGCGAGACGCGTCTAACCAACAACGCGTCTTTATGCCAGTGGCGCATCAAGCTGCAGTTCACGTTTGCCGCCACCATTGAGTTAAGACGTCTTCTGTACCGGAGGTAACAGCAATCATGTCTGTATGTGGCCATCCTGCTACATGTTTTGGACTGTGAGGTGACAATACTTAGAAGGAGGCACAGTCCACACAAAACGACTCGGAGTGGGTCAAACTTGTTAGCAACGACGGGTACAGCTTTCTTATCCGAAAGAAAGTGGCCATGGGCAGTGGCACACTGAAGAACATGTTGAGTGAAGAGAGTGAGCAATTCGAATTCGCAATCATCCGACTAAGACTGACTGAGGGGCAGGCAACTTCAGCGAGGCAGTGACAAATACCTGCGCGATCAATGAAAGGTGCATGCTGCTTTTCGAGAAGGAAGACTGCCACGTCGCTAATTTGTTCTACGTAGGGGCGTCGTGCTAGAGAAACTGTGTGAATACCTGAGCTACAAAGCTCTATATGAGAACGCTCCTCAGCGAGATATCCCCGACTTCACCGAGCGCATCACGCCTGAGATTGCTCTTGAGCTGTGAGTTTCTCAAGACTGTCAGGCCTTGTCAATGACTAATTTGCCTTCATATCTTCCAGGCTAGTAGCGGCAGATTACTACGAAAGTGAGTTTGTCGCCAAATGACTCTTGGCTAGACTGACCGGCCCACACAGCCTAACGATCCTTTCGAGCCTGCGCTCTACTGCGTTTGCGTAAGTGTCAACCTGTCCCTCGCTTTGCTTTGCTCAGCCCTGATCAGACTACCCAGCATACGTACTCTTCCCGTGCCTATTATCCATTCATCCTTTATGGAATTCATTGCATCGCCCATCATGCCACAGACTTGCAGTCCTGGATGAGCCACGAGCAATGCTGACCTTACCGAGCCTCCTGATCACCGTTGTATATCGTCACACACGCCCAATCTCTATTACTTCATACACCGTACAATACATGCGGCATAGGTTAAACACCTACAGTATATACTCGCGTACACGTATCGACCCGACGTCCGGCTACCCAAGCTCTCAACTGGAGCGCCAAGGTGGACGAGCACCGCCGTTGCCGTATTCAGTCGGATCGAGGTCATCCCAATCAATCAACACCTCATTCTCGTCATCCTGAAAGCCCGCCAAATGATGAGAGAATGCCCCGCTCATAGTTCCGCTGGATCCGATGGCAGATGATCCCTGTTGTTGTTGACCTTGATTTTGGCTTTGGCTTGGACCTGCCTGGCGCTCTGAATGGTGATGACCGCAACGTACGGTCCCACGGCATACAGGGCAAGTACGAGCACCTTTGAGCCATTGCTATGGAACGTTCAGTAACACATACGGTCTGATGATATCTGCGCACACTCTCTCACCTCGAGACATGCCTTATGGAACCAATGTGAGCAATCGGTGACCTTGAGCACTGGGTCTTCTTGTTGATACTGTAGTACGGTCAGACGATGCGTTGCACAATGCACAGAACATCACACTAACGTCATCCAAACATATAGGGCAACGCTCTTCACTTTCACCAGGTATAGCCCAATCCCTGTATACGCCGCTCGGCAGCGAAGAGACGATTTGAGCAGATGTGCCCCGCGGTCTCGCCTCGCCAACTATGGTCGACAGACGGAGCAGACCTTCATAGGAGGTATCCAAGTCCCCGTCTCTCTGTTGCAACGACGAACACAGCCCAATGATGCATCAGAAACATTGACGTAGATGATACAGGTTCAAACTTACCACATAATCACCCGAACGAGTGCTCCGCAACGTTCCAAACCGATTCAACAGCTGCGGGAACTCAGAAGAAACCCAAGGCGCGTCGGGCTCGCCTGGTCTGCCAACCCGGGCAGCATGTGGCGTGGCAGCCTGCATTCTCCGAAAGATCTCACGGGTCCGAATACCAGCTGGACTACGAGGCCGAGAAGGGGGGAAGAGGCCCAAACTGCCATACGGAGGACCAGAAACCCCACCAGTCCTGCTTTGTTGAGCGGGTATATGCGCGCGGTATGGTAAGGTTGGAACGACCGGTCTGCTGGCGGGCCTACTCCAGCGAGACTGCGCGGTCGACGGACCGACAGGAGCATCTCGCCACGGACGCGTCGAGGAGCTGTCGTCGGTTATGTCACTCCAATAATCATGTGTGGTACGTTCCGATCGTGATCTGTTGTTTGATTCTTCATTGCGCTGTGGCGAAGAATGCAGGGTTCTGTTGGGGCTCTCGGCTGCAGCCTGAACGGCGCGATCCAGATGTTCTGCGAGAAGCGCACGCCTTTCTGGTCCCCGGCCACGCGCACGCACACCCGGCTCGAGGGTTGATGCAGGAACAGAGGACCACGGGCCTGTACCTTCGTCGGAAAGGCGCCGAGCCGCGGCCCGAGAAGAGCCTCCTGTCGTGTTCGTTGGACGTGATGGTTCGGCAGACTCTGCGATGCTGCGAGCGACAAGCGCATGCCATGGGTCATTACGAGCATGGCGTGAGCCGGGATCTGGACGATGCTCGTGTGCAGTTGTTGGAGGACCTGGATAGGATGAAGGTAGGTCAAGTGTCCCAAATGCAGGCTAAAGAACAACTATCGGTCTCTAATACAATCGTGAGAGTATAATAGGACTTACCAGAGGACGAGAGTCAACGCTCGAAGCGGTAGCAATAGAATTCCGCTGGAAACGCAGAGGAGGCAGCGATGGCGGACGCGAGCCGTAGTCCTGACCACGAGCGCTCGAGTCTCCTTCAAAGCCTGGACGTCTACGCACGGACTGGTTCGATCTCTCCAGTGCTGCCCTGAATGGCCCATCATGATACGCATCGATATTCGCTACAACGTATCTTCGCGCATTGGAAGGCGACGCACGCTCTTCTGGCGCGCCACCCGCCTGCACCGTGACGCTATGCGTGGAGCGTGACGCTGACGGCTGCTGCGGCGTCTGCTGAGGAGACGAACCGAATACGTTAACACTGAAGGACGACCGCCGCTCGGCTCGTTCATTCCGAATGGTCGCGGAGACATCTTGGAAGTCATAGCCGTTTCCGTCCTCTTCAGAGCGTGCATTGCCTGTAAAAGACACCGCAGGTGCGTTCTGCTCACCCAGCTCCTCTCGCATGCTGCGCAGTCTAGCCAGAGTGTCCTGTCTGCGTCGAGATGTCGCTTCCAAGGTACTGCGCGAGCGACGCATGACATACGATGCCATGGAGCCGTCCCAGTCTTCGAAGCGCGACACAGATGTTGTGTCGGCAGCTGTTGCGCGAGGCTGGTCGCGGGACGCAGCAGCACGGTGAACATATCCATAATCTGCGTCGGATGTAACTGAAGAGGGGCGGGACGTGGTTCGGAAAGAGGCCTCTGCTGATCTCGCGCCGGAGGCAGCCGCCGTATTTGGACTGTATTCGCTGATTACATCCCAGATAAAGCCGTCTTCGGTAGTATTCGAAGGTCCTGTATTGTTAGTGCTGGGGACAACATGCGACGGGCCGACGTCTTCGCGACGGTCAGCCTGACCCAGCATGAAGTCATCATCAAAGAAGTCTGTATGAGTTATTTCCCGCCAAGCACTAGGAACTCCTCGACCGGGTCGGGATTCTTCACGCTGACGGTCAGCACTCGGCAGATGGGGCGTGTTCCAATACCAGTCGGCAAGCTGATCTCTGTCCCGACGTTCATCAGTGCCCCTCTGGCTGCCCCTGCGTGATGCATCGTTGGTGTCCGACATTCCCCTGGCCTGCTCCGACCGTGTTGCGAATGACGCTGAATAGCCTCCCATGCTTGGTATAGGGTGTTCTGGGATGGTGGGGGACACTAGTCTGTCGAAGATCTCTCTAATATTGGATCTCTCTACGTCCAGACCACGTGAGATCGCCTCCTGGGCGAGCATGCGGCGACGTTCAGCAGCACTCTCGGACACCAACGAGGTAGACGGGCCGGGGCCCGTGTTGTAGCGATACCTCGCCAAATCGCGAGCGCCCAAATCAGCTGCAGAGGATGTTTGAGGACGCCATGAGGTCGGACGCCACGATGTCGATGGGGGATCCGGACGCTGTGATCGATTCGCGTTTGTAACTGGCTGACGGGCCGCATTGTCCGCGGTCGCAGATGCATTTGCACTGCTTTCGAGTACTGGGGAAGCTAAGCATTCAGTGACAAGATGTTTGTGATTTCAATGCATCCTACCATTCCGGATGGCATTCTCTGTGGCACGTAGCCTGGCCATCTGTCTTGCTATCACTCGGAGTTCAATGATGAACCGTCGGATGAGAGCAATTTCGCGGGTCTCGCAGGGACCGTTCTGCTCATTCACGACGTGTGGCCCTCGAGGTCCTGTCGGTGGTGGTATACGAGAATTTGTCCCAAGAAGCCCTGAGTAACTAGAAAGGCGTCTTTGCATGCCAAGTAAGCGGTGTGAAGCTAGCCAATCACCAGGTTGGAATGGAACACTTGACAGTAATGTGCTCTTACCTCCTTGTGCTGGCTCGACGCCAGGCAGGCCAGCGCTAAGATAGCGTTCAAGGGATCTCTCAATCTCTTCCAGCCTTGAGAGTGCCTCCTCTGGACTGATACGATCACGGCCGTACGCATCGGTAGAATCTGAAGAGGAGGAATAGGGTTGAGAAGGGAAAACGAGTGAATGCTTGACATACCAAGGGTGTCCGACGGTGGTAGGAAAAGCTCAGATCTGGCAGACGCGGGGATTTGTGGAGGCCTGGACCTGTTATATGTATCTGCTCATGATGGTTTACTGATGTTCGTGGATAGCGGCGGAGATATGAAAGCGTACGTTGTGTTTCTTCCCGAAGAGCTGGGCTATCGAGATTCGCAGTCAAGAGATCCTCTGTACCGGGAGGCGCGGGGACTGGTGCGAGAGCCATTCGAACTCGGCCCAGTGCCCTGACATGTCCCAGCAGATTCGGGACAGAGGAATGGGAGGAAGCGGACGAAACGGGCGGCTCTTGGACCATTGTAGACGACATAGACGGTTGTACAGAAAGACTGCCTGCGCCGTGGTCAGCACTCTCGCGACCAGAATTGCTATTCGGGCCGTCGTTGAACCAAGAGAGGTCGTCCAGATCACGGAAGGGGGAAGGTGGAAGAATGTCAGGTAGTACGGGAGGGGATGCGATATCTCGGTGACCAGAATGAACAATGTGTGTGAACGAGTAGGACGATTCGGGATATTCAGCAAAATCAGCTAGATTGTCAAGGTGGCCTTCTATGGTGGATCGCGGCTGATCAGGAATTGCAGGTGAATCAGCTGTGGCATCGGTCACGAATGGAGGGCGCGCTGGCAACGGTAGACTAGGACCTGGCACGGGATCATCGGAATGTCGCAAGGCAGAAATGTTGCGCTCAAACTCATTGAACCGCTCCAGCGACAGTCTGCTGAACTGGTCATTCTCCTGAGTGGCTGAAGATGACATGAGCGAGGCTGTGGTGTGCGCGGAACCCGAAGGCGGTGGAGGCGTCTCTGAGACTACACCCTCCATGGTCACAGGTAGGATGCCGACATTCTGAAGCGCGAGACCAAGAGGCGGGCTGTCTTCGCGAAGCGGGCTCAATTGACTGGAAGAGGCTACTGCTGTAAATGCGTCAGTAGGCACGGTCAAGCTGTTGGAAGAAGTGCTCGCAAGGCTACGGGCGGAGGAGGGTCCAGCAGAATCAGAGAGGAAGGAAGGACTATCGACATATGATGAGCCGCTCTCGCTTCGAGCTCGTTTGTTCCGTTCACTACCACCGCTATCAGCGCTCCCACTGGCATTGTTGCTTCCTCCGATGCTATCCTCGCCGATACTGCTGTCTATGTCAATGTTCAGCTGGTCAAAAGAGCGTTTAAACGAGGTACTATTTGATGATAGGTCTAGCTCCAGTCGGGGAGGGTTACCAGCCATCGTCGAGGTGGTAGTGGTTCTGAACGAGAGGCAGAATGCGGTGGAATACTTAGGCTATAATTATGATTGATGAGTTCAATGTGCTAAGCTTAATACAAGATGATTAAATAATAGTTACATTTTGCCACTTCAGAAATGTTATCTATCGGCGTTCTCCGGACTATACATTCCGCCTTCTTGCCTCCTCATCTGCACTCGATAGCCTGTAGCGAAATGACATGGCACCCTGGTCTTCTATTATGTGAATACGACGGAAGGCCGCGTTGGCAGTGAATGCGACAATTTTGCAAGTGGCTGTGAGTCAAATGGAGGCGCCCGGAGCTAACGGGGACAGGTTTAGAACAAATTGAGCCCGTGTTCACTCGAGTACATATCCTTCGCCCTCTCTCGCGCTCGTCCAAGCTGTCTCTGGCCAGTCTGCGTCCATCATGCATGCTCTCACCCATGCGACCAAAGTAGCTCTACGTGGCGCAGGGGCCCAACGAGCAGTGCTCGTTGCGGGAAGGCGTCATGCCTTACAGGCCGTGAGGCGCGCCATCCCTGCCTCTGCTCGAGGCATCCAGTCCGTTGCACAGACAGACAGAGTGAGTACACCTAGTCTACCTCATCCTCGTGAGCTACATTTGACACATACTACTAGGATACCATTACCCGTCTCCTCTACTCGATTGGCACCAAGCGCGAGGTCGAGAGGTATTTGAGGATCTTCTCTTCTTCTTCCGACGCTTCGAACCCTGCCAAGTTTGCCGTCATCAAGATTGGTGGCGCGGTGCTTGAGGAGATCGATGAGCTTGCTCTGAGTCTCAGCTTTCTCTATCGTGTCGGACTCTACCCTGTTGTCCTGCATGGCGCAGGGCCACAGCTGAACAACATCATTGAGAGCGAGGGGGTTGTTCCCGATTACATCGATGGTATCCGTGTCACAGGTCAGTCCCTGTCCTAAGGTCCTCCGTCTTGAGAGCTGACTATGCGTACGCCACAGATGCGAAGACGCTCCAGATTGCACGTCGAGTGTTCCTGGAGGAGAATCTCAAGCTCGTTGGTGCGTTGGAGAAGCTTGGTACTCGTGCTCGCCCTATCACCTCTGGCGTATTCACTGCGGACTTTCTGGACAAGGACAAGTACGGATTGGTCGGCAAGATCACAAAGGTGGACAAGCGTCCTCTCGAAGCATCTATCAGGGCGGGTGCTTTGCCTATCCTTACCAGCTTAGCAGAATCCGAGTCTGGCCAGATCCTCAACGTCAACGCTGACATCGCTGCGGGCGAGCTTGCGAAGGAGCTTGAGCCACTAAAGATTGTGTTCTTGAACGAGAAGGGTGGCTTGTTCCATGGTGTCACTGGAGAGAAGCTTGACGTGATTAACTTGGATGAGGTGCGTGGTAGTACATTCAGTGCCGCTTCGATATTGAGCACAGCTTTGAGCAGGAGTATGACGAGCTCATGAAGCAGCCATGGGTGAAGTATGGTACAAAATTGAAGCTTAGGGAGTTCAAGGAGCTCCTGGACCACCTCCCGCGCACATCATCCGTAGCCGTCATCCGCACTGATATGTTGCAGAGGGAGCTATTCACCGATAGCGGGGCGGGCACCCTTATCCGTCGTGGATACAAGCTGTTCCACCACAACTCAATCGACTCCGTTGGCCCGGATCGCGTTCGTCAGGTCATTCACGATCGCGACCCTGACGTACTTTCTGGGGACGACAGCGTCACCGGCGTGCTGAACAGGATCAAGGAGACGCCGTACACAATATACGGCGACGAGCCGCTCGATGTCCTGGCGATTGTGTCTCGTCCGGAGGGCGAGGTCCCGGTCATGACCAAGCTGCTCGCATCTCGAAGCGGCATCATGAACGGTATCGTCGACAACGTCTTCAACGCCATCAAGAGAGACCACCGCCGGCTCTTCTGGACTGCGCGCGCGGACGATGAGAACCGTGCATGGCACTTCGAGCGCGCGGACGGGAGCTTTACGCGTGCCGGCAGGACGCTCTTTTGGTACGGTGTGCACGATGTGGACGAAGTTGAGCGCATCGTAAAGAGCTTCGAGGCGAACGGCCGTATCAGCAGGTCGTACCTCCCCGTCGGGCCCTCTGCGGCCCCGAAGAGTGGTAGCGCCGCCGGCGTGCGCTCCTACTCGACTCTCTCGCGGCGCCCTCTACCTGGATCGTCAAGAAGCTACGCGACGGCCGCCAGCGCGCCATCGACAGAGCCCAAGCGCCTTGCTCTAATCGGTGCGCGAGGATTCACTGGTCAAGCTCTGACCACGCTCCTCTCCGCTCACCCGTACCTCAATCTCACTCATGTTTCGTCCAGACAGCTTGCTGGATATCCCTTAGAGTCATACACTAAGGCGTCTATCAAGTTCTCGGATCTCTCCATGGAGGACGTCGAGCGGATGGAGAAGGACGGCGAGGTGGACGCGTGGGTGATGGCGCTGCCGAACGGCGTGTGCAAGCCGTTTGTGGATGCGGTGGAGCGCGGGGCGAAGGGGCGCGCGAGGGACGCGGGGAGCGTGGTGGTGGACCTGAGCTCAGACTATCGCTTCGAGGATGGATGGACGTACGGCCTACCGGGTGAGGGCTCCCAATCATCCATGTAAAGGCTACCGAGTAATAATATATTCTCTTATTTGGCTTTAGAGCTCTACTCGCGCGACGCGATCCGCGCCTCAAAACGGATCTCCAATCCGGGCTGCTACGCGACATCGTCCCAGCTACTAATTGCTCCTCTCCTCAAGTATGTCAAAGAAGGCGCGTGGCCAACGGTGTTCGGCGTGTCCGGATATAGTGGAGCCGGCACCACTGCTGGCCCTCCCGCTCCCGACGGCCGTCCCACCACCATCGCTAAAACCACTCCCGAAAGCCTCTTCGGGGGGATCAAGCCGTACTCGCTGACAGACCATATCCACGAGCGGGAGGCCGCGTGGCACCTTTCGCACCTGGCGGGCTCGCAGGTCAAGCTCGCATTTGTGCCCACTGTTGCACCGTGGTTTAGCGGGATCATCTCCATTATGTCGATGCCGCTGAGCGACAAGCTCAGCGCGCGAGATGTCAAGGCCCTTTACGAAAAGAAATACAAGGGCGAGAAGCTGATTAGGATCAAGCAGGAGGTGCCGATGCTCCCTGATGTGGAAAACCAACATGGTTGGACGGTTGGTGGGTTCCAAGTGCATAGCGAGGGCGATCGGGCCGTTGTCGTGGTGAGTTGCACTTTCGGTGATCATGTCTGCTCTGAAACTGACTTCATGTTGTCAGGGTGGTCTTGACAACTTGCTCAAGGGTGCTGCAACACAATGTCTCCAGGTAGGCGATCACACGTACTAACTCGCCATGTCTTTCATTAATGGGTCATGTTGGTAGAACTTGAACCTCGCGCTCGGGTATGACGAGTACGCTGGGATTCCGGTGGCTTAGACTCTGCACGATTTAAAATATTTCGCCCGAAGCACAATCTATCGTTTCTTGGCTTGAAAATCGCGCCGCTCGTGCGCAGCTTGATTATGTAGCACTGACGTAGTGTACAAGGATGTTAACCACAATTACTTCTACATGCTATGGTGCCTACTGGGAATATATGCGGCGGAGTCTCCTGGAGGCTTTGCAAAACCCCTGGATTGAGATAGGAGTAGGGGGGTATAGTTAATCTGCGGAGGTGCGGTGCAGCAGTGCCATCGTGTTGACACTGACTATTTGACATATATGCGGTCTGCTGGCTAATCATCGTGAGGCGGCATGTACTCGTCCAACTCTTCCGGACTGAACGGAAATTCCAAGTCCGCAAAGCTCGAATCGGCCTCCTGCAGAGGTGAGGGCGACCTGCGATCGTCTTCGAGGACTTCAGGTCCTGGAGATGGAGCCCGCGGCGCTTTGTTAGGTTGGTGAGCACGAGACGTGGGTGTTGCGGCGGGCGTCAGCAGCATTGCTGCAGGATTGTTCGCACGAGTGATCGCGGCCGATGCGGCGGCGGCCGATGCCTGGGTCAGCGCAGACCGCATGGAAGGCGGCTTGAACGGCTTCTGCTTCGTCGGGAGGACGGATGGCGGGGCGTACTGAGAGCTGGAATACGCTGTGTAGCTGATTGGCCGCATCCCAAGCGCACGCATATGAGTGCCTACGGATTGGGAAGGACGGAGAGAGGAGGGTGGTCGGTCCGGGATTGCTGTTGCTACTGGCGTGGACTGCACGGACTTGAGCCTGGTGTATGGTGCTGGTGCCGGTGCTGACTCGGCGGGAGGAGTGATGGGAGTCTGTACAGATGGTCTCCCGTCAGGTGCAGAAGAAATCGCAGAGGAAGAGCGGGTTGGCTGCTGTGTTACGCTTCGGCTGCTTGAGAGAGGATGCGAGCCGTATGAGCGTCTACGCTCGGTCGGTAGCTTAGACGCATTGCTCAAGTGAGTAACAGCAGTCGTGAAAGAGGTCGAGGAACGCGTGGATAGTGGCTCATCCTTCTGAGTCGGAGAGCCATTGATAAATCCGGGCACTTCCACATCTTGCATCTGGACACTTATGTCTCCTTGGTCTCCTTGGAAAGCATCTGCACGTTGATAACGGAGCGTGACATCGTATTCGTGTGCATCATGACGCCTGCTGAAATCCACCGAAGGGGCAGCAAGGGAGGTTTGCTGTGGAGATTGTCCGTCTTCAGCCGAGTGAAGATGCGTAGAAGCCACGCGTGAAGGTTCTGCGACGACACCGTCCTCCCAGCTCTTCTCTGCTTGTTTCTCCATCGCACGTTTCTTCAGGTAGGCATTCGAGTTCATCTTTCTCACCACCAGTTTCAATGATTCGTCAAACTCCGCTCTAGCTGCTCTGCTCACTGATTCCATCGAGCTCGACGAAGATGTGGTTGACGGGGATGCAGTGCGCGTAGATAAGGATTTGCGTGTGTTATGGCGCCTCGCAAGAGCCGATCTGGATGACGATGATGACACCGGCGGCGGAGCCGGTAAGAAGGGATTATGATACTGCTCGCTGAGGGTCCCTGTTCGCTGTATGCCTTACGTAAGAGTTAGTTGGTGCATAGTGCAGGTGTTTCAGAAAATGTTAACCTTTCGTAGAGGGCCGCGTAGTGTCGAGTAGCTTCCGGATGTCATCGGACTGGGAGGACTGCCAGCGAACGTCATCCATATCTGCATCTGCATGGCGAGCAGATGGATGATACTCATAGAATTGCGAGCAGAGAGGTGCGACATCTATCGACATATCACCTTCAGCCATGATCATGCCTGAGAGTGCACAAGGGAGACTCGAGCTGGGATGGGACATGAGAAGACGTGCAGAGCATGCTCGGTATTGAGGCTTACAGATTGGATTGTAGTGAATACGTGAGCAATTGATGAGAGCGTTCCAAACAGAGCAGCCGGAGAACTTGATAACGTCAGAAAGCAAGCGAGGATGCAAGTGGAACCCTTGACGTGGATACGAAAAAGAGCCCTATGGACACACAAGCAGGCATTCTATTTCATCAGAAACGGCGCTATTAGCATATTCATGAAGAGAAGATACCTTTCTGAATGAAAGCCAGGGTGTCGCGACAAGATGCCACTTGCTACTTAGTTCAGGGTCCCTGGTGGTCGCTTGTGTACCAAAGCGATACAGAAATAGCGTTTGATTAGTCTTAAAACGTAAATCCAATCTAGCCACACACCTAATGGCTGGATAGAGTGAGCAGTAAAGAAGACAATGGGAATGAAAGGGAGGAAAGCGCGTTCGGCGGTGGCATGCGTCGCGTCTCCACGTGACCGTCAGGAGTTGCCAAAAGAAGGAGACGCGTGCGGCGCGTTCGACGCCGGCGTCTCCAAGCCCTTCGCCTCATCTCACCGCTTGTACTCTGCCCCTTCGAGGGCGTGGCACATCATGCCTGTCGCAAGGCCATCGCAGAGCGCAGAGACAGCGCGTGCTGCCGCGCTCCAGGCGGAATTCAACGAAAAGAAGTGGGTATGGGTCCCAGACGACAAGGACGGCTATCTCGCCGGCTGGGTCATCAAGGAGGAAGGTGAGGTTGGCGAGGTCGCTATTGCTTCTGGAGGAGAGGTGCGAGGTCTTCTTGTTAAGGTGGTAGATGAGCTTGACACAAGCATTGCTTATGGTAGATCCGCAGGCTGCCGTTGTATGCACTGTCCAAGATGAATCCGCCCAAGTTCGACCGTGTCGATGACATCGCGGACTTGACGTTCCTGAACGAAGCTAGTGTAGTACACAATCTACGGTTAAGATATGGCTCTGGAGCGATCTACGTGAGTAGTCTTGTCCGGCGAATTGGCCTCCGATCAGTCTTCCGGGGTTCTTCGCAATGTGAGCGGCGGGCCATGCGCCAGCTGCGTGTCTTTATTACCGGTGCGCTGTTTCAAGACTTTGCGTATCGTTGGCACGTGTTTGAATTTGTGTGGGAGTGGCGGATGTGATTGAGACGACGAAGCCATTGCCTTCATACATGGGGGTCCATAGGCATGGTTCCATAGACGATGATCATGGAGCCCGAAGGTCTCGTGGCATTCATCTTAAGGAATCAATACGGCAGATAACAGGTGGACGGCATGTCCGGCGGCTCACATTGAAAGTGCAGATGGTCAAATTTATCACTAGACGTTTCTGTTACTCTGAATACAAGCGCATGGACGAGACTTGCAAGCTAAGCTCTGACATCGTTTGCTTTCGCAGACATATTCAGGCCTATTCTTGGTGGCCATCAATCCATATCAGAATCTACCCCTGTATTCAGATGCCATCGTCCATCAATATCGCAGCAAACGTCGCGATGAGAATCCACCGCACATATTTGCCATTGCAGAGCGCGCATGGATTAACATGGGCGAGGAACGTGAGAACCAGAGCATCCTGATCACGTACGTTTCTTCTGGCCTGTAGAAGCGTCGTTCCTGCATAACCTTCCGCAGAGGTGAATCTGGGGCAGGAAAAACGGAGAGCACGAAGAAGGTCATCCAATATCTCGCGGCGATCGCCACCGATGCGCACCCGCCACAGGCGAACCACTCACAGTCTCCGACTATCCCATCGTCGTCGTCTTTTAGCAATGTCATGCCTTCGACGGGTCTTCCGAGCAGAGCGGCATTCAAGCGCGCACGGGGTTTGTCCACTAACTCGACAGGTTCTGGCTTCACTGCGAGGGATCGGTTGGGCCTACTTGAGCGCCAGATTCTGCAAGCCAATCCGATTCTTGAGGCGTTTGGAAACGCTCAGACACAACGGAACAACAATTCGAGTCGATTCGGAAAGTTCATACGCATCAGCTTCTCGCCGGATGGAAGTATTGCTGGCGCAAACATCGACTGGTATTTGCTCGAGAAGAGCCGTGTCGTAGTCAGGAATGAAGCAGAACGCAGTTTCCACGTCTTCTACCAGTTGCTCGAGGGGGGCGGAAGCTTGAAAGGTAGTTTGAGGCACTCTCCTTATAATCTCATTCGCTAAGTCTTGCTTATTGCTTGCAACAGATGTTCTGTTGCTGGATGGCGGAGTAGAGGATTATGAGTACCTGAACAAGAGTCGACGTGAAGTCGATGGGATTGACGATCTCGAGGAGTGGAACTTGTTAAAGGTATGGATCGCATCAATGTGGCGCTAGAATGCTTACGCGTGCAATCAGAACGCGTTGGACGTTGTAGGCTTCACTTCCGCTGAGCAATTCGACCTCTTTCGCATAGTCGCAGCCGTCCTACACATCGGCAACATCACTATCACCTCTACTAGATCCGATGATGCAGTGATGCCTGATCCATCGCAGGCTGAGCGTGTTTGTCATCTTCTTGGCATACCTTTGACCGAGTTCACAAGGGCTGTCCTGCGTCCCCGCGTGCTCGCCGGTCGAGAGTGGGTGACGCAGGCACGGACACAACAGCAGGCACTGGAAGAGCTCGCAGCGCTCTGCAAGACGCTTTACGAGAAGTCGTTTGGGATGCTCGTTGATCGAATTAACCGAGCCCTGGACCGCCCCTCGTCGAAGTCGACGTTTATCGGCGTTCTCGATATCGCTGGCTTCGAGATCTTCGACGTCAATGGCTACGAACAGCTGCTCATCAACTACACAAACGAGAAGCTCCAGCAATTCTTCAACCACCATATGTTTGTGCTCGAGCAGGAGGAATATGCGCGCGAGGGCATCGAATGGGACTACGTCAACTTTGGCCTTGACCTACAGCCGACCATCGACCTCATTGAGACTAGCGGTAGTGCCATCGGTGTTCTCAGTCTGCTTGATGAGGAGTGTATCATGCCGAAGGCGACAGACCTTACGTTCACCAACAAGCTCCATGCGCTGTGGGCAAGTGAACCTGCGCCAGGTGAGGAGCCGCATCCTGGTACCACGAAGTACGAGCCGGCGCGCTTCGAGCAGGGCTTCATCGTACATCACTACGCAGGTCGGGTCGAGTACAGGACAGATGGGTGGCTGGAAAAGAACAAGGACCCGTTGAACGATAACCTCACTCGCGTTCTCGCATCTTCTTCTGAGCGATACGTCGCGTCATTGTTCTCAGAGTACGGTGACGGCCCGTCGGCCGTGGCTGGTCAAGTCAATGCAATGTCGGTAGGCAAGAAGCGGATGATCAAGAAGGGCGCATTCAGGACGGTGGGACAGCGCCACAAGGAGCAACTCGCGGGCCTGATGACACAGCTCCACGCTACGCAGCCTCACTTCGTTCGTTGTATCGTCCCGAATACGCTCAAGAAACCCGGACGCATCGACGTGCCGCTCGTGCTGGACCAGCTGCGGTGCAACGGTGTGCTGGAAGGCATCCGCATCGCGCGCCTCGGGTACCCCAATCGCCTCCCGTTTGTCGAGTTCCGCCAGCGCTATGAGGTGCTTACGCCTGGCGTAATCCCGCGCGGGTATATGGACGGGCGTAAGGCCTGTCTGCGCATGGTCGATGCACTGGAGCTGGACAAGGCGAACTTCAAGATCGGCACGTCCAAGATCTTTTTCAAGGCGGGCGTCCTTGCGGAGCTCGAGGAACGAAGAGACGCACTCCTCTTTGACATCTTCTCCAGATTGCAAGCCGTGGCAAGGAAGTGGACTGCAAGGAGGCAGATGAAGAAGATCCTCAATCGTGCTGTTGCCATTCGTACGATACAGAGAAATGCTCGTGTTTATGGCGAGCTCCGAGATTGGCCGTGGTGGCAGTTGTACACAAGGGTTCAGTAGAAGTCCTTTATCTCTCATATTGGTCACTGACTCACAGTTGCAGGTCCGCCCATTGCTTGTCGCAACTCGGAATGACGAAGAGCTCCGCAAGAAAGAGGCTGAACTGGTACTTATCAAGGAGCGCGCCGAGCGGGAGCAGAAGGAAAAGGAGGCTCTTGAAGGTCTAAGAATGCGCCTCGAAGCTGAGAAGAGTAAGGTGGAGACAGAACTGGAAGCGGAAAGAGCTCTCGCCCTGGACAAGGATGCTCTGCTTGAACGTAGCAAGAAACGCGAGGCAGAGCTGGAGGATGAGGTTGCAGCTTTGCAGGCGGATCTGGACATACTCGATTCTCAGCTTGATCGTGCCCTCAAGATGCAGAAGGAGAGCGAGGAGAAGCATGAGACTCTCAGGCAGGCATTCGATCAAGCTGCGGAGCATCTCGTGCGCCTCGAGGCTGAGCAGCAAGAGTGGGAAGGGAGAGAAGCTGACCTGAATCAGCAGCTGGATATCGCTCAAGAGGAGACTGATGTCTTGAAGGCAGAACGCGAGGAGTTGCAGAAGATTGCTGAGGAGCTCAAGGATCTTGCCGCACAACGCGAGCAGGACTTAGCTCGTGCTAAGGAGCGGATGGATTCTTTGGCCTCTGACCTCAATAATAAACTCAGTGCTGAGTCCCGAAACAGGTATTCACGAGCCACCCATCCTCGCACCCGCGACTCACAACATCTTTTAGGGACGTTTTCCGTGATAAAGCGGATACACTTGAGCAAGAGGCTCGACAAGCCAAGGAGCAACTTGCTGAGATGGCGCGGACTGCCACTGACTACTCGAACATGATCAAGCAGAAAGAGCAGGTTATCGATCGCCTCACAGCTGAGCTGGAGAAGTCGAAGGGAGAGCGCGGACAGTTGCTAAAGCAAATCACCGAGCTTCAAGCTAGAGTTGATACTCTGAGTGTGGAGCTCGATGCTCAGCACAGTGATCGGGAACGCGATTCGGCTCTGCAGTCGAAACTCCAAGAGGAGCTGGACGAGCTCCGTGCGCTGCTTGCAAGGAAGTCTACAGAGGAGACTCGGCGTTCTGAAGTCGAGAAGAGCAAGGAACAGGAGCTCACTGACTTACGTGGGCAAGTCAGCCAGCTGTCCCGTGAACTTGATGATGCTCGTAGGGTTGCAGTGGAGGGCAACAATAACCTGAAGGCTGAGCTGGATACCCTGGATCGAGAGTATCGCTCGCTGCAGCAAAGCTACAACTCACTCCTCGAACGTGAACGATCAGCACAAGCTCAGTTGACGCAGACAGCCACCGCTCTGGCTGAAGCGGAGAAGACAAAGCGAGCTTTAGATTCTGAGCTCCAGCTGGTCCGATCCCGCCTTATCGATACCGAAAGTCAGCTTGTTGAGATGCAGAAATCGAAGGAGGTTTGTTTCCGAGTAATATTGGCCATGGTTGATATCATCTCACACGCATTCGCAGGCTCTTGAACGCCAGTTGACTGCCGCACAAGCCAAATACGAGGACTCTGAAGACGTCGTTCTACAGCTGGAGCGAGAGAAGAGCGCTCACGATCGACAGGTGGAGGCTATCAAGAAGCAGCTCGATGCCGAGTCCGCGAAGCGTAGCAAGCTTGAGAGGACGGCATCATCTCAGAAAATCGAGATCGCTCGCCTGAAAGAGGTGAATACTAAGTTCGATCGAGAGCTCAACAAGGCGCTATCCGAGCTGAAGGCCAGAGCGTGGGAAGTCAAGCAGCTCGAAGCCAAGCAAGACAAGACGATCGTCGAGCACGTCCATGTATTGGAAGAAGCAAAGCGCGTGACCGACCGCCAGCTGCTGAAGGCTCAAGAAGAGCTCGAGGCAAATCGGGCTTATCTGAAGTCCCTTGAGAAAGCAAAGAGCCGTCTCATGAACGAAGCGGAAGACCTTACGCGCGAGAGAGAGCATGTACAAGTAGAGCTCCGTTCGAAGGACAAGAAAGTGCAAGCCGAAGAACAGAAGGCGATTCGAGCACTGTCAGGACTTGAGCAAGAGAAGCGCGCAAGAGAAGCCGCAGAAGCGCACGTCAAGCGCCTGCAGATCGAATTGCAACACACACAAGAGCAGGTAACCGATGTCAAGACGCAATTGGCGACCGTACAGAAGGCGAAGGACAATCTTGACCTTGAGCTCACTCGTCTCGCGGATCAGACTGATGCTCCCATGTCAGCTGTCAGGCTGCAGAGACAGCACGAGGCTCGTATTAGCACGCTGGAGAGCCAGCTTGAGGAAGCAGAGATGGCAAAGGACACAACTGCCAGAATCAAGGAGCATGTGGACCGTCAACATGCCGAGATTCGTCGATTGATCATGAATAATGGTCCTAAGGACGATTCTTTCAGGACCCGTTTGCTCAGGGAATTAGAGCTCGCCGATGAAGAATTGGAGAGAGAGATGGCCCCGCGCAGCCAGCAGATCCGCCATAACACCGGCCCGGACACCCGAACAGCAGCGAACCCAACAAATTCCAAGCGTTCTCATGCAAATGGTGCATCTCGCCATCGTAAGGAACTTCATCCTGAAACCTCCCGCACCTCAGACAAACAAGCCTAAGTCACTGCGCTCAAGCACCAGGTTCAGGTGTTGGAGATTCAGATGGCCGCATCCACGAGAGTGAGGCAGTATCTGGAGGCATCCCTCAAAGAGATGACTGTTGAACTCGAGAACTCCGATGGCTCGAAGCAGTCGCTCGAGCAGTATCGGGCACGTTTGGCAAGGGAAAACGCTCGCCTTGCCGAGCTCCTCGAGGACGAAGCGGAAGCTAGGAGAGCAGCAGAGGCAGCGCAGCTCAATGGTGTGCAGGCCATGTGGGACAAGTTCCAGACTACGATTCAGGACGAGCGACAGAACTATGCTCGCCTGGAGGAGTCTCGCAAGGCTTTGGTATGCCGTGTATTCCGTTCTTGCTTTAGCACACTTACAGGTCGTTGCAGGTCATACAGCAGAGGGCTGCGAATGTGGAGCTGGAAGATCAGCGTCGTCAAGTCCAGGAGCTTCTCCTCGCAAAGAAACAAATGCAGTCCGAAATTGCTGACCTTAAGGACAGACTGGAGCTGGAGATCGTTGCGAAGAACGAAGTCACGAGTAGGCCTTCTGTCCGTTGGAGTTTTGCCGATTCGCTCATTCTACTGCAGACGCCAAACGACAACTGCAGCAGCGTCTCCAAGAATTGGAGATTACCTCCTCTGCATCAACAAATATGTCCTCCGGTATGTTCTATCTTATTGCGATCCTCTCTCCCATTCTAATGAAGCGCTCTTCAGAGCTCCACGAAGCCATGGATTCGTACAAGGCGAAGATCGAGTCGTATATTAAGCAATTGGAGGAGTCGGAGGTTGCCAAGGTCAAAGTCACTCGTGCAGAACAAGCAGGTAAGAAGCGTACATCGTACGTCCTTGATCGATCTGACACATTCCCAGCGCGTCGTGCTCTTGCCGAAGCTGAGAAGGCGCATGTAGAAGCCGTCACGGAGCGCAAGGCTGCAGAGGAGAGTCTCAAGGTTGTGCAAGCCTGCATTAGAGACTTAGAGGTGAAACTGGATGATGAGGAAAGAGAGATGTCCGATCTTAAACTTCTTCAACAGTGCCTTACTGATGCAATGGAGAATGAATGCAAGTGGTACCAGGAGGATTTGGCTGAACGTGACTTCACCGCAGATCAGACACGGAAGAAGTATCAAGGTGAGGGCGTTGCTTCCATTCATCATGCATAAGCTGACAATGCTGTGTCTTCTCTCAGCCGAGTTGGCGCAGCTCAGCGAGGGTAAGCATCCCCGCTGCTTGCAGCAATGTTCGATTAATGACGCTTCCGCCTTACAGAGTTACAGTCTCAGCGAGATAACATGAGTAGAATACGCGAAGAGAACAGGAAGGTCCGGTCGGACTACGATGAGCTCCAGCTCCGCTACGATGAAGAAGTTTACAACGGGGGATCGTGGAAGAAAGACAAGGAGCGCCTTGAGACCAAGAACCAGGACCTCACCAAAGCTTACGAATCCTCGACCGCTGCCCAAAGCGAGCAGCAGAACCAGATCGTCTCTCTTCACTCGCAAGTGCGTGAACTGCGGAGCGTGCTCAACGACGCAGAGACGGACAGGGCACTGCTCCAGAAGGCACGGCGCGCGCTGCAGGCTGAGCTGGATGCGATCAAGATGGACAAGGTCGATACCAGCAAGATGACATCCGAGACAGAAATGCAGAAGCTGAAGCTGGAGAAGCAGGACCTGGAGCGGACGCTGGAGGAACAGAATGATCGTGTGGGAATGGCATTTGAGAGAATGAAGAAGGCCGAGAACTACGCGAATGAGTGCCAGATCGAGTTGGGCAAGATCAGGGTGGAAAATTCGGAGCTGGACAAGCTCAATGTGAGCATCGTTGATGATCCCTCAGTAGTTCTCAGTCTCACCGTATACGTACGATGCAGGCCAACCTGGAGAAGCAGATCAAGGAGCTCAACGTGCGCATTGTCGACCTCGAGACCAAGTCGCTCAACTCACCACGTCCTCCGACGACTTCGCGACGCCTTGAGAGCCGGATCGAGGAGCTCACGAATCAGCTGCACCAGAACTCGAAGGACAGTGTGCGGCTGCATCGCTCTGCGGACAAGAGCGCGCGCGATGCGAAATATCAGCTGGTGGAGGCGGAGAGGCAGAAGGCCCGCCTCGAGGAGGAGGTGAGGAACTATGAAACGAAGATTGTAAGCATGCGGAAGGCGATGGACGAGCTGGTGAGTGCTGAGCGTGCACCATCGAGCGTGCCATGATTTGTTGATGATGATGTCCTATAGCAAACGTCGGAGAATAACTTACAGTTGGAGAAGAGGCGAGCGGAGCGGGAGGCTGCGGATCTGAAGCAGAAGGCACTGAAGTGAGTATTGTCCACATGCATATTGAACTTGTTCATGCTGATGTTTTCGCACGCAGCCTCGAACGCGAGGTGGAACGCCTCCGGAGTCGGCTTGAGCGCCCGTCGCCCGCGCTCCTGGGCTCACCCAAGAGTTCTCCACGCAAATGAAGATGAAACGAGGAACAATGTATCCACCTCCACTTCACAGCACCCCAGCGATAACTTAGATATGCCAATACCCTCATGATGCTATGACATTAATGACTCACTTGGGCTCACGACCATGCACCCGCATCTGTTCAGCACACATTAGTTATTCACACCCACATCTGTTGTATCACTATGCTATGACCGGCCGGACTGTTCTATTAATCCCCGTATACCTTATTATCCTGAACTGTCTTGTTAGCTCTGTCCCTCTTGATAGCTCGCGTATGCGAATGACTCTGTCCACGTATTGTTATTGCTCTTTGAAGAATGGATCACTCTTTTATTTTGTTTCATCCATGAGGACTCTTCCACCTGCAGGTGTCTTGTATTTATGGTACACTTTTCAATGATATTGTTTGCAACGTACCAACACGGCTCTCTGATCCCTGTAGCATTTATTGGCTTCCGGTAGAAGGAATGTTACGAACGCCACACGTCGTCGCCTAGACAACAGGGACCCACAGTTTAGAAATCCACGGCAATCTCCGAAGCTGCATAGTAAGTAAAGCAAGGTTTTCAGCCACACGATCGGGGAGGTGGCGAGTAACAGACTCGCCGTGTGGTCGAGCGCTAAGCAAGACTTTTGGCCCACCATGGTATGTCATTATATGCGCTGTTGCTGCCGCTCGTAGGCGGAGATGCTGATGAGATGTCGTTTGTATGGCGGCGTAGCCCAAGGAGATCCGAGACATCAAGGAGTTCCTCGACGTTGCCCGGAGAAAGGATGCCCGTGGTGCGTATGCGCGTTTCGATTATACTATGAATGGTTGCTGATTAGTGGTTTCGACTGCTCCGTTTTTGTGTTGGTTGCGTGTATCTGAATGATGTCTACGCTGGTACCGTATTTAATGACGAATCGCGCATGTGGCTATAGAGGCGAGGATTAAGAAGATCGCGGTAGCGGGCGCGAAGACAAGGACAAAGTTCAAAATTCGGTGCTCGCGCTACCTCTACACGCTCTCGCTGGATGACTCTGAGAAGGCAAAGAAACTCCAGCAGAGCCTGCCACCAGGTGCGTCCAGGTGTCCCCGCGTACTTGTTCTGTGATCAAACATTTGCACAGGTCTCAACATCGTTGAGATCAAGAAGACGCCCAAAAAGAAGTAAAGCCTGAGCGACGCGAGATGTATGGGTCGTTGGCTTTGTGCGGTGGCGGGCGCGTGGCGGGGAGTTATGTGGAATCCAGATGGCGAGAGGTGGAGGTCGCTCGCCCTGGACAGAGGAGGATGTCTAGTATCGACTTTCGCATCATGTGGGATTGTATGCTCGGTCCGGCTCTATTATGCATGCATGCAGCGCGTCACAGTGTGCGCTCTTTCTGTATCACTATCATACATTCTTGATGTGCGTTTAGATCTGCAGGCGGCTTGTGCCACGCTATTGCTGGGAAACTCCACAGACGACCTGCTAACAGGACGTCCAAATCCATTCCGCGACCGACGTTCGCTCTCGCGCGGGTACGCCGAGCCTTAGTGTTAATCACACGTGCCATAGTCGACATGCGCGCATGCCGTCGACTCACTGCAATTAGCCATTCAAGAAGGTGCATCGGAACGGACCCTGCTGAGGGGCGCACACTCTACGCTACCTTATCCTAATTGTTGTGATATCATGCAAGGCGACCATCTTCATGCGCTGAAAGAACCGCAGTTGCCATGCGTTGCACCCGCCTTTTTGGAGCGCAATACAGCTACAAGCTCGGCAAGCGAAGAAGCGGCAGGAGTCTCTGTGGACAACATTGATGCCCTCCGTGCGCGGAAGGACGTACGTTCGATGAGTATAGGAACCACACCGCACTCGCGTTCGCAATCATGATGATTCTTCGCCCGTGGATAAGTTCGACGCTTACTAGCACGTGTAACACGGTAACGCGACTCGAGCGATTCGATGTGACTGCCTCGGAATCGACTGGACGAGGCTGTATTTCGTTAGCGGTAGGATCGACCTTGCGCTTTCTCAGCTGGGTGTGGATGCGAAAGTGGGAAGAGCTGGTTAACGTGTATTATTTTGTGCGTTAAGTACACTATACGCTGCTGGGTGCAGCCAACCATGGTAAGGGTACGGTGCGCTAAACGGGAGGCACAAGATACAGAAGAGCATGGGCGAGGACATCAGCTGATGCACCATTCTCTGCAAGAACAGGCAACTCCTCCATATCACGCAAGACCCTATCAAGGTACTCCGCAGCTCCCGACAAATGTGCAACTCTACAGCACGCCGCATGGATGCGAAGATACTTCGGACTTGGGAGAGGTAAATTATGATGTGCGACAAATTGCACCTGCGATGGAATGTCCCCGCCTTTCATGAACAGTTGCGGATCTGGACCCCTGATTTGTATGCGATAACAATTCTCCTGAAAAAACAGTGTAGTCAAATTAAATTGGCAGATAGAAATGACAACGTGCCTTGTCCTTAACTTCTTCAAACCAGAGCTCCAAACAGTCCATCATGTCATGTATGTCTGTAGTGAGCGTCATGATGTTTTCCAGACGGTGAATTTTGGATCCCTCAAGCTCCTCTCGAATCTCCCGGTAGCCAAACATATCCAGGACAGTCCATACTCCGGCTGCGTAGTCGACCTACGAGAACACGTCATCAGCTGTGAACGTTCAAATGTAACGGACTACGTACCTTGTCGCTAACTTTGCCATCAAGGTTGTTGGTAGATTCCGGGAAAATATGACAGCATTCTGTCTTCAGAATCCGCTTTCCAACAGCCTGCTCTGCCACTTTCTTGTATTTCCTCGCACTGGCGCGGTCTACTGCGCCAGTGACCATGCAGCGGAAGTCATCCCTGATCAGCGCCTATTCGGAATGGGTTAATTGTATCAAAATCCGTGACGGTCCAGTCAAGACACGTACACTGGATTTAGCTGTTTTATGATCCTGAGGACTGTGTTGCAGGACTTCCTTGATACTTTCCTGTAGTCGATCAAATGACGGTCTCGATGGGTGGCTAGAAGGGACAGGCGTCGGACCCTTTGTCTTTCTGACTACACGGGAATTGCGATTATCTTCCGCCGAAGACGAATACAATGGGGCTTACAAGGGCGAATGAAATGCTGCAGATAAAACTCGCCAAGTTGGTATAAAACCTCGTTTCTATTGTCATGATTCCGGTTGCATGATGCGATTTCTAGCAGGACGCGGGCACGGGACTGATCTCCAAGGGGGTGAAGAATGAGGTAGCCAAGAATGCGGGAGCGGACGAGGTTCTGTTCATGACCCGATGCAGCTGCTTCGGCTTCGAGCACCAGGGAGTAGAGGCTCTTGGCGTTCGCCTCAGTGGGCGAGTTCAAAACCTCATTTACGGGAGGCAAAGCAGTCATTGTCGAATATTTCGGGTGGCAAGTGGCGGCTAGTGGCGGCTGTGACTGTGAGGGACTTGAGGTTAAACTTGTTGGTTTGCAATTCCTTTCGATTTCAAACCCCGCTGTGGCTGAAGTGGCTGGAGGTACAGTCGTGGACAATCAAACACGACAAAAATAAAACGAATTTATTCCGCCCAGAACGGCTCGTTACTTTTTGATTTTGAGTACAGATTCAGACTCAAAGTGTCGAGAAACGTCCAAAAACACTTTCTTTGTATTTTTCCCATGCATTTTTGGCATCCGCCAAATTTTTAGGCCAAAATCAGAACTTTTTCAGCTACAAACATACAGATCAGGTACCATGTATGATTTGTTGGTCTTGAGCTCAAGTCACAATGGCCAACTTGCGTAATTTTTTGCTGAATTTCCATCGTTATTTTTGGCAAATTTTTAACGGAATGATGTACAGGAACTCAAAAGGAGTCAATTGGCGCATTTTATGTGATTTGTAGACCTCTTTTTGGGGGTCCGCCAAATTTTAAGAGGTTCTGGATCAGAAAATCACCTTTTGTGGGCAAACGGTTCGAAGAATTTGCCTCAAATTTATTTACAGATACCCTCTCATCAATCCAGATCGATTCTGATACATATCAGACATTTTAGAAATATGTCTTAAAATTGTCGTGTTTGGCTGTCCACAACTGTACATAGCCTTCACGTTGCATTTCATGAACAACATTTCATGAACGACACCTCAATACCGATTTGGGGTACGAGAAATGAGTGAAAAACTGCGAATTTTCTTCGACTTTTCCCTGCTATGACACCCTATCATTTATGAGTCAATATAGGCAGCTTGGCACGAATTAGTTCCCAGGAAAGGTGCAAAATGAGCCCTTTCCAATCCTTTCCCCAAAATTATTCACTTGACATGAAAGGCTAGATTTTTGAATTCAATTCTAAAGCCTTTCCTGCAGTGAGAATCGGTACTTTCTTAGAGGTGTGAGTCATTCTCTCTGATCACACAAAATCCTCAGATAATTTAGGAAGGTGTAGTATGCATCAGCAGTTTTCTTTGATTTGCTACCAGCACAAAGTCTACATTATGAAGCCTAGCTCAAACACTAATGTATTTTATGGTGTCGTGCATTCAGATTAGTAATATATGAGGGACCGCACTGGACAAAATGATTTAAATTTTGAACTAGCAGAGAAAATTTCACCTGGACCTCACGAACTGCAGACCTTACTAGATTGCCATGCCCGGCCAGCTCCGCAACCTAAGAAGGTCCGAAGGTCAATTCCCCACCATCTGCCAATACCACCGGCAATAGCGCAGGAATTTACCTTACATAGGAATGTCGATCAACGTGGCTGATAACTATGATCAGCGCTAATCAGATGATCAACTGCACCTCCTGGCCACTGTCGGCCCGCACCTGGGCCACTGGATCTCCCCACCCGCTGTCCCAGATGTCGAAGCACTGTGCGTCGTCATCGCCGCTGACAGCGACGACGACCCTCCATCTTACTCATTTCTTTTACTTTTACTTTTGTTTTTTTTAATATTCTTGATGTACATTACTCCCTCAATGCCATAGTGTAGAAATCGGAGTGTATTTTGTATTCTAACCTGCCGTCTCAGGCACATCACATGAGACATGTGACATGACACATCATGATGACTTGTTTAATGCGCCACCCTGCTTTTCACTCTGCCACCGACAATCTCACTTTGATGTCATCTGCTTCATCCACTCAGCTCTGTGGTGGCCATGGGGCATGTAAAGCCATGCCGCAAGCCACACATGACTGTAGCCACCTTCTCAAAGCAGACTCTGGGCATGACTCTGGGCATGACTGGTATCGTGGAGGACAATAAGAAGGTGGAGCAAAGGCAGGCTCTAAGGACATCAGGTACGTTTTTCTTTACTACGGTGGATGATATATTAGTATTTAATGTATCATGTTGTAGGACTCAGTCAACAGTCACGCAAGATTGTCACAGAACTTAGAGGTGAGGATTTGCCCCCTGACCACAGCGGCATGAACATCGAGGATGTTCTCATGAACATCCAGCAAGAGGGAGGAGGAGAGGATGCAGACTGGGAGGATGAGCCTGCAGATGAGTCATTCATCCATGCACTCAGGGATATAATGGGCTCGAGGTGCATTGCAATAATTGTGCGAGGATTGCTCCATACTTACATCCTTCCAGGTGGTGAGAACGATGGTACAAAGATGCTCGGACATGGCGTCAATGGGTAGACCGCATGGACACCAACTGGCAACCTCTCCTTCTCGGTCTCGTGGACTCTTACCTCCAATGGAAATATTCGACAGTGGTCATGCCTAGCGAGAACCCCTCCCCTTATGATTTTACCATTGACACACTTGACATCTATACCCTGGCAACATCAGCAACTATACACTGTGGAGCCGAAGATGTCTCTGCTTCTGAGGCCCTCACGCATAGCGAATACCTCGGGTCATCTCTGATGAATCCATCCCTGGCTATCTCCTTCTCCACCCTCGAGCTCTTTCACTGTATCAGGCTCTTCAAGCCATCCTTCAGTGTGGAAGCTTTCGCAAAGCTCGTATTATATTACTACAAGATTCCCTTCTGACGTCACTACTGCACTGCCATCACAAACACATTCGACATTTACCTCAGCATTTTGTGTGAGGTCTGCAAGTGCATCGACGCTACGCTAGGTCGAGACACACCTAACTGATGTGTCCTGAATGCATGCCCAGCCTGTGCATATGAGCTTGATAGTGAGCCATCCCTCGAGTGATGGCGCATCTTCGCAATGGACAACAATAATTCACTCAAGCAAATCGCACAGGTCGGCAGCCGTGCATGCGGTGACATGCACAACTTTAAAGCGAGCAACTACTTCTTATTGCGGGACTTCGTCGATTGCTATGCCAATGAGGTGAAGTCGAGGCCTCGCTCGAAGAAGGTTGATGCTTGCAGTGGACAGCCTGTGCAAGACGATGATGAGGCTGAAAGCGACGGTGATGGCGATGTGCCCAGCATGAAGACTTCAATGATGGTAGAGGGGGATCTGACGGACAGTGATGATGGCAACGTCACAACAGCTCCATGTGTGACCAACTGGAAGGCAGCGGCTTCCGAGGATCACAAGCGTATGTGGGCCATATTCGATGAGGCAGGCATTTTTGTAGCTGCCTGCAGGCACGGCCTCGTGCTCTGGGTTGCGGACATGGTTCAGAGTGGTGAACTGTGAGTTTACAATGCATTTCAACCTGTTTCATGCTAACGATTGTCACAATTAGCACAAAATATCCCCTGGCAATCTTGGCCAAGGCACTAGAAGTCTTCGGCATCAGGCTTATTGTGCCCTATGATATTGGGTGTGTATTCCAGGAAACCACGGCATGAAGTTCACTGGGGCCAGATTGGCTGCAAAGCAGCGCTCGGTGCTGCGTGAACACATTTCATGGATATACTCACAATTACACTTGCCAGATGCAGAATCACCCGAACGTCATTAAGGGGATGGGCCTCGAGGATGGCGAGACTCTCGAACACCTCTTCAGTGCATCCAACAGCCTCGCATCGGTCATCCGGTACATGTCACCCTACCGTCGGCATGTCCTCATCGATCTCTTCTTCCAGCAATGGAACAATGAGAAGTACAGTAATCTAAGCCTTATGTTGTACAACAACTGCATACAGGCCCTGAAGATCATCAACGAGGATTTGGTCACACTGGCCAACACCATGCAAACTCTCGGGGTCAGCCATGACGATCTCATCAAATGGTCTTTAAAACATTTCGAAACTTTGGGTCAAAAACCCCCGTGGGATGTGCACACCATTGCATATGTTGAGAAACTTCAAGAATGGTGTGCCGTGCATGTGCAAGTGGAAACTGCACATGCACAGTTCGTCAGTTCCATCCCATCTGACTATACTTTCGTCCTACCCTCCGCTGGCACTGTCGACTATTACACTGAGGCATCACACACACAGAAGCTCGAGACAAAGTGGCATTACAGCGAGGAGCGTGAGCGCATGCTCCTGCATGAGGTTGCTACCATGGAAGTCAAGATGGGCATCATGAGGCGTTGACAACTGACTGATCGCGAGTACATGGAAACAGTGAAGTATATTGCCGAGCGACAATATCACCGTGCACTCGAACATCTTCAACGCCTTGTCATACAGCGTCTCTTTGAGCTTCAATCTCATGCAGACTGGTAAGTATCATTACATTTTGTACTCGTTGTTGGCTAATTCTGTTTGCAGCATATCGGGTGCGCACTCACATTGCAAAGTCCCTGCAAACCCGGTGCAAGGCAATCCACAATGCTGTGAAGACGTACAATGCTGCGGCCCTCACACTCGATCCTCCACATCCCACTCTCAACTGGTCGAAAGTCTCACACTACAGCTTCCTCGATGACTTTGCGCTGCTTCAAGACACTCAAAATGATATTTATCAAAAGCCCTGGGCCTTTCCAATTGCACGCGAATGTATGAAGAAGTGTCACAGATTTTCGCCACAAAGTCCACACGTGACTTTTCTCACGCCACAAATCACGTGCTTCACCAATATCTCACGCCACTCAGCCACAGATGCGACACGTAGAGATCAGGTGATAGTCCACATCACATGTTACAGTCCAGACCCGCGGATGATACAGTCAGACCTGTCTATTCCAGGATATAATAGAGGCACTCATTTGAGAACAAGGGAACAAGGACTATTGTTTAGGATCATCTAGGCAATCAGCTCAAGGTATAGCCTTTACCACGATAGGATGGATCGTCTCACCATTGTTACGGATGAAGACCGATCTTCTCACCTATTGTTCTACTTATAGATAGATTCTCCCACTTATTGTTCCGTGTATAGTTTAGTAGTGTAGGCACGAAGACAGCCAATAGCATGTTCTGTAGTAGTCAGCACCTGTACATGTATATAAGACCAGCATGTAGAGGACGAAACCTCAGATTGTTTCTCCTCGTCTACCACTGTAGCACCCACTGAGCCTACCAGCTCCACCATATATCTTTCACCCTTCCATATGCTTGCTACCCAGCTAGTAAGTGTTAGGCTCTCCAAGCCACTTTAGGGATCAGGGGGGTCAGGGCGGCACGTTCCACGTGACCGTTCCTTTTTTAGTCTTTTTGATCTCTTGTCCAGTGGTGCTGTGACATTAGAAACAATCTGACAATTTTCTGCACCCCTGCTTAGTGTTCAACACAAGTGGCCATGTATTTTCAGTGCAAGCAGTTTCAGCCATAGCACGTGGCTTTTTTGACACACAATCCAATCTGACTTCTACCAGGCATGAGCCTCAGCAAGACACTGAGCAGCCCAAGGCAGCAAAGTGCAAGGCCACAAAGGCGGAAGACCCTGACGCTCATTACAAGTGCCAAGAAACCAACAAGAAATGCGGGAGACTCCTCACACTCGCATTGCTAGGCACATCATTCACAGACAGACAGCGTGCAGCAGCCAGAGTAGTCGACACTATGCACATCATCAAGCGCGGTATCATTCACAAACCCCGCAGTCACACCCCACCACTTGAATGCTACAAGCCGAGAGCAGGACGTCTTACCACTGGTAGTCACAAGCCAGCGCCACCCCCAGAACTTATCACCTCCAACGCTATTCCCCCAGTCATTGTCGCTCCACAGCCAGTGCGACCACTCCCCAACTTCGTCAAAGTTAACACACACGTGAGACCAATCCATCCACTTCCATCGAGAATCAGGCCCACACTTCACCTCGACACCCTTAAAAAGCAAGTATCCGCTACTCGCTTTAGGCTCCAACCCTTACTAGGAGCCTTCTGGGAATGCCTCGACGAGAATCTAAGAGGCAGAGGATTACAGTGCCTATCGTCAGAATTAGACAAGGTCTGTGTGGACCTTTACATGGGAGCTCGCGAATACACATTCGTTGAGAAACAGGTTATCAACACGGTCTGCCTGAAGATAGGCAGAATCAGCTTCAAACAGATTGGGAAACAGGAGACACTGGACAGGATAGTCAGGGTGCTGTTCGAGATCTCAAAGAAGAGATACTTGAATTTTTTGTATTAGCTATACTATAACGCAATGTCAGACACCGGTCGAGCACACATGTCCACTTTTACGCAAAGAATGCAGGATGTGCTTCGACCAAACATCGAGACAACAGCACATGATGGAAGCACACCTCGTGCTTCTAGACAACCATCACTGGAGCTCACCCCTGAAGACTCCGCATCACACGTTGGAGGACCATCATCCCCAACACCATCACTCCTCCTGGCATACATACCCCTCACATGATCATATGACAGACACGAATACGAACGTCTCGAAGACGCCATCAGACAGTCCGCACCCGACGAAATACCCAATAACATTCGTGAATGGGTGATCGTCGTAATGAAGTCAATGGTCGACAACGAACTCAAGAAAATGTACAATGTACTCGGCGACAAAATGTACGAGCACAAAAGAATTCTTGAGGCCTCCATCGCATCTGCTCAAACTGAGTAACGACTTAAGGAGGCAGTACTCAAGTCCGAGAACGAAAAACTTTCGGACAAGATCAAGGCTCAGGATGCACATATAGTTGTCCTAAACGATGAAGTCACAGGAACCAAGGGGCTATGATTGATATAGAAAAAGAGATGATGAAAATAAAAGCTGAAAACACCAAGTTACGGCATGAGCTAGCTTCGCTCAAAGCAAGCGGCGTCTCAACGATGCAAGGTCACACCTCCGGCATGGTCCAATCGCACAAACTGCACATCAAGATAGCTGAACCTCCACACTACTCGGGCAAAGGAAGTCTGGAGGACTGGCTCCTCAGCATCTGGATGCGGTGAAATGAGATCAACGACGACGAGAGAAAGATTACCACAGCACTACTGCACTTGGAAGGTGGCGCATTTACCTATATGTCAGAATACGTGACAAAGGCAGCAGCACGGCAATCACTCGGCACTTGGAAAGACTTCATCGACATTCTCAAGGTAAACTACAGGACCCTCGACCCAGACAAGGATGCACAACAACACTTGAAGGAGATCTGCTCCAAGACCTACATCACTATGGTCTCCTTCACAGAGAAGTTCCGCCAATGGGTCACCAAGACCAACTTGGGGCACACTGCACTTATCGGCTACATCGCTGAACACTGAGACAAGGACGTACGCCAGGCAATGGTAACACGAGACAGCTTAGGTATCACCGACCCGATCACATGGCTGGAGTATCTCGACCTATGTCTCCAACTCGAGTCCAAGTTCAGAGCTTACAAGGCAGGACAGCGCGGAATGACAATGGCATTATCACAGGCACCACGAGCCCAGAAAGATCCTAATGCCATGGTCGTTGACTGAGTATCCCAACTCACCAAGGAACAGGAAGGATGGCTGGAAAAGAAGCTCTGTGTACATTGCGGGAAGCACCCCTTCATATTTAAGCAGTGCTGCCCAGACCCCAAGTACAAAGGCAAATTGGAAATGCCAAAGTGGGGCCAAGCAACAAGGGCTATATCTACACCAGCAGCATCAAACAGTTCTGACGACAGCAAAGCGAGAGAAGAAGCAGTCCGTGCTTTCCTTGCCAGCTATGACGCAAAGGGCAAAGAGGCAGAACCGGAACCAGCTGTCGAAGCAGCTAGGATCACGGAGGTGGAAAATGATGAGAATTTTCTTTGGCGGGTTCTCTGAGGTCTGGCCAGAGTTTCCATAGACATTGTACTAGTACCTACTCGCTCTCGCATGTACCAGTATCGAGTTTTCTCTATATTGCATCAACTGGTTCGTCAAAATATGTGATCGATTTACCTGTTCACCTCAGACAGGGAGTAAGGGAAGTCCAGACTGAGGCACTCCTCGATTCAGGAGCATATTCCTGTTACATCAACCCATGGCTGGTTGATCGGTTAAATTTTGCTACGATCTCACTTGAGAAGGAGATCAGGGTTTATAATGCAGACGCATCTCACAACAAGGGTGGAACTATTAAGAAAAGGGTTCTTCTCAGTATAACTATCAGAAACCACACAAGCAGACAAAGTCTTCTGGTTACCGATATAGGCCACAAAGACGTTATACTAGGCATGAGTTTCCTTAAAGAGCACAATCCCGAAGTGGATTGGAGAAAACTCACAGTTGAATTCACCCGATGCCCACACAGATGCACACCCTCACGAGTAGCAGTCCAGGAGGAGGACCTGGAAGACACAAACATCCCCCACATCGAAGACTTAATGGAGTTCATCAGTTTCCAGGAGTTAGGTGATAACTGGAACAACATGGACAGCTTCATTAAATGGGTGTCATTACATATCAGAGGACCCTGATGCACAAGTCATAGCATCGCTCATTATGGGTCTTGACACCAAGAGGAATCAGGATAGAACGCCGCAAAATGGAGAACAGGACAAAGACTACTGGTCAGCCTATGTCCCCAAACACTTCCACGAGTATGGTGGTGTGTTCTCCAAGAAGCAGTCAGAACGAATGCCCACAAGAAAGCCCTATGATCATCCAATCGAACTTGTTCCAGAGGCATCATTACCATGCCCGGCAAAGCTATATCCTATGAGCCTACAGGAAAGGAATTCGCTCGACACGTGGATAGTGTCACGAATCACTCGGGAATATCCTCCAAACATAAGCTAATGTGTCGGCACAGATGTGATCCTGACTAGACATGAATTACCTCTAACATCCAGAACCAACTCATGGTGGTCGACGTGATAGGGCGACTAGAGAAGGCGGTGGCAGGATAATGTGTATCACTACACAACTGCAAGCAGGCCCTCAGTTGGGTGGCCTGAAGTCCCATGTCGGA